CCATCAGGTAATCCGTCTGCTCATATAGCGTAGTATGGAAAATGTCGGCATAAGAGGGAGTCCGTTAGCTTTATTAACGGATTACCTTCGAGATCGTAGACAAAGAGTTAAGGTAGGCGAATATATTAGTGACGAGACATACGTGACTTACGGCGTCCCACAGGGCAGCGTATTAGGACCGACTCTTTTCTCAATTTACATAAACCAGCTTTGTAATATGGTGCCGAAAAATGGCCGTGTCTTCTCATATGCAGACGACACGGCCATTGCTTTCTGTGGCGATACATGGGAATCTGTATATAAATCTGCTGAAAGGGGTCTGTTCAGTATTACAAACTGGTTGAGTTCACATCTCCTAACGCTAAACATCTCCAAAACAAAATACATTGCATTTACCATCTACAACAACACACAACCTGGATCTAACAAAACACTCAAAATCCACTCTTGCGATATGACTTGTACAAACTGTTCCTGTCAAAGTATTGAAAAAGTGACTCACATAAAATATTTAGGTGTAATATTAGATCAGCGACTATCCTGGCATGTACACACAGATATGACCATTGCCCGTACCAGGAAACTGATATGGATTTTTAAAAACCTACGACATGTAATGACTAAAAAAATGCTGACAGAAATCTATGTCTCCTTAGCTCGGTCAATTCTGATTTATTGCATACCCGTATGGGGTGGAGCAACGAAGACGAAGTTCATTGAGCTAGAGCGAGCACAGAGGTCTCTAATAAAGGTCATGTATTCCAAGCCATATAGATTTCCAACCAACGAGCTGTATTCCCTCAGCAATATACTATCAGTCAGAAAATTATTCATTCTCCATACTGTGATAAAATTACACAAAGTATTGCCCTACAAGCCACTTCTAACGGAAAGAAGACGAAAACATCGCGTTGCACCGACAGGATTTGTTAAGACTACGTACGCTAAAAGGCAATACTATGCAAAGTCCGCTTTTTTATATAATAAAATCAATGATCTACTCAATATCTACCCCTTGTCAACTAAAGACTGCAAAAAGACAATAGCTCAGTGGCTGAAGGATAAAACCTATGATGAAATAGAAGACATGCTGCAAGCATCCCCACTGTAACTGTAGAAGCACGCATGCATTACACACACACTGATACATATTTAGGTACACACAACACACATCCACCCACACACATGCGCAAACACACACACACACACACACACACACACACACACACACACACACACACGCACACACACACACGCACATGCGCTCACACACACACACACGTTTTCTTTAAAAAAAAAAAAAATGTTAAAAAAAAGTTTAATCTAACTCTAATTCAAAAACCTGTAATTTATAACTTTGTATTAGTTAGAATATAAGTGCATGTCCTTTTTTATATCTTTCCTTGTACACCACTTTTATCATTTTAAAATATGTTACTGAAGAGCGGGGCCTCCTAGCACAGGTATATCTTTTACTTAAAAGGAGGTCTCTATTGTAAGATTCAATGTAAAGTTGTACAAGTTACTGCAATAAAACATTTTTATTTTTTTATTTTTTTTTTATATATGCCTGTACATATCGCATACATATACCTATTTGGATAATAGAGATTCAATATATAAAGACTCTTTTCTTGAAGGTTCGAAGGTCGTATCGGTTCGGAAATAGCGCCGATGAACTCTGGCAACTCGCCCGCGCAGCCTACTAGTCAGTAGCTGGCTGCGCGACGACACCGCGTCCGCGCACGCTGCTCATGAGGAAGAACCCCTCTGTGGTTCGAAACTAGTAAAGTATTTCTCAATTACACACGTGAGTAACCCGCGATTTTTAGTTAATACCTCATATTATTGCGCTTACCCCCAGTTTTCCGCGAGGCAATGGTATCGCTGCGATCGAGACGACCCTTTCGTGCCAAAGCATGGGACTTCTACACCTTTTTTTGTTAGGGACAAATCATCAAATGGCTTCTCCTGCCCAGGGTGAGATGAGAGGGATTGTCAGACGCATACTGCTTTAGACCCAGGCCGCGTTGCCTCATTGCGCTTACAACGCAACGCCGGCTGTCCTACACTTCATTAAGCTATTTTTAAAATAGCCTTCCTCCAAAATGAATGTCATTGTGTTGTCTAGTTCCTATAGGTATCCTAGCTTCATATAATTTATGATGTTTACCTAACTTTGTACGTCAACCGGTGCCAACTAGATCTGACAACAAAGATAATTGTGTCTCAAATAGCATTAAGATATTTTGCTCATAATAGGTAGTATATTATTTATTTTACAATATGTCGCGTGAAAGTAATTATGGTCGAGGTTCTGTATGAATAAATATATTTACTAACATACATTTTTTTGTGGAAAATCATGGAATGACTTTTCCCGCCCGGGGTCGGGTGGGAGGAAATGTCAGACTCTTACTGACTAAAAACCCCCCTGTTCCTTCTCCTACTCTGGGCCGAGGTCGCGGTGCCTCATTGCGCTTACCCCGCAACCCCGACTGGTGGGTAAAGGCCTTAAGTTGGACTTTCTGATCGGACGAAATACTTTTTATTGATGTTTGGTTGAAAATGTTGTGTGTCCAAAAATTGGATTTGATTCGTTAGTCAGACGAGGAGCTGTTAGGATATTCGAGTTTCTTTGGACAAAAAACGGGAGTGTTTTTTCGTCAATAAGAGTCTGACACTCTCTCCCATCTGACCTTGTCGGGAGAAGTCATTTGATGATTTTTCCCTTACAAAAAATGACCTTGGAATACGAATTTTTATAAGGAACCCAAATAAATATCTGAAACGGCCGCTACCAAAATTTTAACAAAGCAAATTAAACTATTAAATCCTAATTAAATACTCCACATGTTTTCTTATCACTAACTAAATCCGTTACAAGATAGCGAAGGAACAATTTTTAAAATAAAAGCCTAAATGATTTGAATTAATTCATCAGTTTCAAATGATTCGTTGTAGTAGACACACGTGTCTTAGCAGTTTATTTAAATTAAAATACTATTAATTTATTAAATAAATATTAAAAGGGATTACAAGAAAAGCAGTTGAAGAACGCGAAACTTACGCCTTGTAAGTGATTTTTTACTACTTTCGATTTATTGTTATAATTATTTTTTCACTGGTTAGAAATTTGCAAATTCACTGTGGTTATTTTTATACAAAATATGTGATATTAACGCTATAATAATATGAGGACATAGTATAAAACAAAGTCGCTTTCTCTGTCCCTATGTATGCTTAAATCTTTAAAACTACGCAACGGATTTTGATGCGGTTTTAATAGGTAGAGTGATTGAAGAGGAATATTAATATGTACAGTGCGGCCGACGTATCTTGGCGAGTCTGAAGTTAGCCGATTAGCTGCGCAGTACACAATTTTGTTCCTAAAAGATCCATTGCGCAGACAAACGGCTAACTTCAGACTCGCCAAGATACGGCGACCGTACTGTACTTAAGTATAATCCATTAAATAGTGGAAAAATTGTGTAACAGCGCTGCATCTATGCGAAGCCGTGGCGGAATGGACCGTCTTTTATATACACTATAGCTACCAAGTGTAATCCAGTATCTTACTTTCTTGTATTATTTTATTCAATAGTTTATCATGGAGGCCTTAAGGTTATGGCCCACTTCTCATACATGAGAGTGCGGTTTCGGAACCTGGCAAGTACCAATGTGACTTTCTCCGAGTTATATGTATTTTTCAAGATTATTTAGATAACAGACGACGAAGAAAAACATAGTGTAGATATCTGGATTAATAATTTCTAATTATAAGTTTGAAATCGTCATTTCGATTTGAGCTAGCGTAGTGGTTTTTTTTTTATGGTATAGGTCGGCAAACGAGCAGACGGATTACCTAACGGTAAGCAATCAGCGCCGCCCATGGACACTCGCAACGGAGGAGTTACGAGTGCGTTACCGACCTTTTAGGGATTAGGGATTTAGAGATTTTGGGATTGAGGAGGGATTGAGGAAGAGGAAGGATTGGGCCTCCGGTAACCTCACTCACACGGCGAAACGCAACGCTGTGGTTACTTCACGCCGGTTTTCCGTGAGGCCGTGGTATCACTCCGGTCGAGCCGACCCATTCGTGCCGAAGCATGGCTCTCCCACACTTGAATTGGTTAATGCTCAAACCTTATCCGTGTGAGAAGAGGCCTTTGCTCAGCAGTGGGCATTATATAACGCGATGTGTGATGACGTAGCCACCTAAACCGAAATTAGTTTTATGTCAGTATTGTTTACCACAGACTTAAAAAAAACAGTCTCTATTTTTTTTTGTTATTTCACTATGTAGACTTTAATTTTCATGCCCATATATACCATTCCAATAACAAACGGAGAAACCTTCGGAAAATCCGATAACAGTTTCCCCAACACAAATATGCATGTGATAAATTGATTCTATTATTGACACGCTCACTGCCACATGCGTGGGTTCTCGCTGGTGGGGGAGTCAAAACAGCGTTCTCTCACTCTGTGCCGGGGGTTGACCAAAGTCAACATTTTTATGAGTACAACAGAGACAAATATAATAATACTAGCTTTCGCCCGCGACTTCGTTCGCGTGGAATACCTGACTGGACTTCCTGCAGATTTTTGGTATAGAAACTACCCTATGTCCTTTCTCGAGTTCCAAACTATGTACCAAATTTCACACAAACAACAACAGGTTCAGTAGTTTAGGCGTGAAGAAAAGACAGACAGAGTTACTTTCGCATTTATAATATTAGTTTGGATTTGGATAACTTCTTTTACAAGGCTAAGTCTAAAAGCGAAGTTAAAATAAAATGAGTTTCAACAAATTTCTATCACAATTGTTTATAATATTAAAGATATTCAAACAATGAAATAAAAGGACCCATACGCACTCCAAAATTCGGTAACTTTACATCGAAAAGACCTCTGTTTACGGACTAGCTGAAAGTGTACTTACGAAAAAATTTTGAGCAATGGACGTCATATTAAATTTGTTTTTTTTTTGCCCACAGCCCAGCGCTCTGAAGTCTAGGTCTAAGTACTTAGAAATCACGTCGAGAAAAGTGTCTTACAAAGCAAAAACGTTCTTCGAGAATGGAATCACATGAGAAGAACGTCTTCACAGTGGGGAAGGAACTTAGCCCCACGAACAATGATATAGTTGAAATGAAACCAGCAGGTTAGTAGTTCAGGATTTTTATGGGATTGGTAAAAGAGTGTGAATGAAACCCCTGATGGTACGCAATCAACGCAAACTTGTATCGAAAATGTGTCTTGGTGGCCCGGGGTTAAGGAGCCCGCTTCTCATGCATGAGGGTGTTTTTCTTTGTGAGTGGAAAGTCATCAAATGACTTCTCCCCCCCAGGGCCGGGAGGGAGGGAGTGTCAGACTCTTACTGACTAAAAACCCCCCGTTCCTTCTCCTGCTCTGGGCCGAGGTCGCGGTGCCTCATTGCGCTTACCCCGCAGCCCCGGCTAAACATCAGCCCTATTTTGCCCCGACTGTGGTGGTTTATTGGGTCTTTGAGGCGCGCGCGAACGCTACGCGCCCTACGCTCGGGTCCGGTTCTGGTCGGGCGGTGAGCTACCCTTACTCGCCGTGCCCGCGCTTAAACCTGAACTTCTAGAAATGCAGGATTGGCGCGGTTGTAAGGCTTGAAGCAACTCTTTGTTTTCAAATCCACAAATTGTTGTTCCAGGTCAGGATGTGATGTGCATATAATTTTTTATGTTAGTACGCCCCCACGACACAGAAGTAAACCCTAGAGTAAAGCAACGTTGTTAAAAAAATCGAAATATAAGTTTAACATCTCTTCTTACTTTTTTTCTTACTCCAACAGCGAATGGCGTTGAAGCAGGCCAAACGAAACAGCTGAAGGATCTGGACGACCTTCTACCGTACGTTGGAGATTTTGGCTGGTACCAGCGCATACTGTTTCTGCTGATGATTCCCTACTCCTTCTTCTTCGCTTTCGTTTACTTTGGACAGATCTTCATGACTTTGGTGCCTGAAGAACATTGGTGCTACGTGCCGGAGTTGGGAAACTTGAGCGTGGAAGAAAGGTGGGTCTATTTCTTAGAACTGTTGTAGTAGACTATCTTGTTAGTCAAGAAGAATCAAAGTTTTTAGCTTATTGCTTTTTATATGATAGAGCGACAAACGAGCTGAAAGATTACCTGATGGTAAGCAATTGGCGCCGCTTATGGGCACCCTCAACACCAGGTTAGGATGCCGTTGCCTTTTGGAGATCAGGGTTTTGGAGGTTTATGGGTGAGGGTTGGAGGGACGGAAAGGATTGAGCCTCACTCACTAGGTGAAAAACAACGGTGTGGCTGTTTTACACCAGTTTTCTGTAAGGCCGTGGTAGCAATCTGGTAGAGCAGACCCATTCATACCGAAGCTTAACTCTCCCACTCCTCCAGACGACCAGACCTTTATGAAAGACTTAGTGCTGCTTTTTCAATGATTAGACAAAAGTTACCTGGGGAATAATTATGATGCTGTCGCGTCAGAATATTTGTTTAAGACAGTGACAGCAACAAATTTATTCCTCAAATAACATTTATCTGACTATTGAAAAATCAGTCATAAATCCACTTGATCATCAAAAATAGTATTTATAATTCTTCTTTTGTTTCAGACGCCATCTGTCGATACCATTAATCGACGGAAAATATGACAAATGCTCCGTTTATGATGTAAACTGGACATCAGTACTCCAGAATGGAACTCTTACTCCAAACCCAGAATGGACCGTGAAGAAATGTGAACACAAATGGGAATTCAACTATTCCGATGTCCCTTATGAAACTATTGCGTCTCAGGTAATTTTCTCTTTACCATACCTTAGTGCATTTATCACCTGAATAGGAAACCTCGCTACATCTTCACTACATGAGCTGCTGTTTACATGTGAACATTAGCTCATGACGATACCTAAGTACGTGTGTCGCCTGGACAGTCAACCTCGCTACATCCTTGTTGACTGGACATCTACACTACATGAGCTGCTGTTTACATGTGAACATTAGCATAATAATTATTTGACAAAATCTCCATGTCTCATTTCTTCTTACAGCAAGGATGGGTGTGCGACAGAGATGACTATCCCGCGACTGCTCAAGCGGTTTTCTTCTGTGGAGGCATAGCAGGAGGGTTCATTTTTGGATATGTGGCTGACAAATATGGAAGACTACCGGCTTTGATTGGTAAGTTAATTTTAATAACGAATATATTATTTTGTCTGCTATCCTAAGATAAAAGATAAGACAAATTTACCAAAGAAACATAGACATTCTGTGGTAACTTTTTAGAAGAGATTTACTAGGGATTGGGCCACCGGTAACCTCACTCACACAACGCTGAGGTTTTTCCACGAAGGTTTTTTTTTTTAAATTCGTGATATCACTCCAGCCGAGCCGATCCACACTTAATTACCTTAGTACCAGATATTTGATACTAAGTGCTTTCATAGAAATAAGTGAGAGCTTCCATTTTAAAGTGTCTGTGCTTAAAAACTACAATGATTAATAAATTTCTTTCTAGGTGCGAATTTGGCTGGATTTGTGGGTGGATTAGGATCAGTATTTACAAATGCTTTCTGGTCATTCTGCATCTGTCGTTTCATCGTTGGATTGGCTTACGACAACTGCTTCATCATCATGTATATCGTTGGTGAGTTTCCTATCTTTGTTACTGTTGTATTGACTCTGATTAGTAATACTAATCAGTGTCGCACTAGAATTGTCTATGTCGTCATATCACTATAAAGAGGGTGGTCGAGCGAGTGTCGGCCATTGACAATGTAACTCTGGTGCAGTGAGCTGCCCGATTTTGTACTGTGTAATTAAAGTCAAGTATCCAAGAACCAAGTCTTTTAATCATATTACATGGTGTCAGAAGTGGGATTCGAACCCACGCCCTCACAATCTCAAATTGTTACCTGTTAATGATATAAGTAATCCATGTGGTAAAGGCAAAACTCAATACAGTTCCAAAGCGTACGGCGCTTAGTTCAAACTTTAAAGAGCCAACAGACCACCACTGATGATGGCAGGGCTGATGTTCAGCCTGGGTGGCAAGGCAATCGCATTAGGAAACCGCGGTCTCAGGCTAGATCAAGCGAAGGAATGCGCTGGTTATTATTCAGTAAGAGTCTGACACTCCAGCTAGCCTCCCCCAGGTCGAGAAAAGCCTTATGAACAGCTGAAGTTTTCCTCTCCTTAAATAAACACTATTCTACTCTACCCATAGATATGTTAAGAGCTGATTAAGGGACGACACAATTTGGAAAAACAAGACAGCAGTGCTATGGTCATATTAAAATATTAACACCATGTTTTTTTACAGTGCTCGAATACGTAGGTCTAAAATGGAGAACATTTGTGGCCAACATGTCAATTGCTGTCTACTTCACATTTGCTGCCTGCCTTCTACCCTGGATAGCTCTGGCAGTGAATGACTGGAAGATCTATACGCTCATCATCAGTGTTCCTCTGGCGTTAGCTGTTCTTACTCCTTGTGTTGTACCTGAGAGTGCTCGGTAAGTTTGAGTTTTTTATAAGACCCTAATGGTAAACAATCTTCACTTCTTGGACACTCTTCACACCAGGGGTGACACAAGTATCGCCCACTTTCGGGAAGGTTTGGGAGTTGACTTAATTCTGGTCGCGTAAGATGGGGATAAATATTCTCTTAAATGTCAGGAACCAAACCAAGACTCTCGTAAATAGGAAAGTTTTTTCAACAATATGAGAATTTTGGCTAATGACGTTGAAGAGGTTTTTAAGAATATAATCTTCTTCACTAAACAAATTACAATTAAAAAAAAATATTTTTTAGCATTCGTCATGGCATTCGGCAATGCAGAAGATTCGATTGTCATTTTTCGTTTTCTTATTGACGCCTTATAAAGGTGACTGGTGAATTTTGCAGTTACAGTTAAATATATCTATATAAGCTAATTCCGTACTACTTAATTTCAGATGGCTCATATCTCAAGGCCGAATTGACGAAGCTATCAAAATTATGCAAAAATGCGAGCGAATCAACAAGAAGAAAATACCTAATGAAGTTATCGAAGAATTTAGGGTAAGTTATTTATAATTATTCGGTATTTGATAGGATATAAATAAACGAGCAGACGCATCACCTGATGGTAAGCAATTAGAGGACACTTACCTGGCATTACTAAGAGAAACAAGTTAACTTTTTACAAAGACCGGGTAGTAACGCTCTCTGTTTTTTTCCATTGGAACCTCCACTTTGAAACGAGCAAATAACTAGAGAAACGACTGACAAACTAATGAGCAAGTTTTATGTTTAAATATTTTACCTTTTTGGCTGATTCGATTTGAACTTTTGACCTCTTAGTTATTACAACTAACATCCATTTACCAGCTACAAGACTTCCACTGTCTTCCAAAGACATCTCCAAGGATTTTCAGATCTGCTGGCTGGAAGCATCCTACATTCATCAGATCCCTAATACCTTCATTAGATCTATCATCATCATATCAGCCCAAAACGTCTACTGCTTCACATAGACCATCCTCAAAACTTCCAGATTCAATATTTGGATGCCTGCTTTCAACTCCATCTTGCGACCTGATCACTAAGGCCACTAAACCAACTATGTATTTACAGGTCACAGCCACAGAAATAGCAAAAGCTGAACAAGAATGCAAGAACTACAGTGTCCTAGATCTTCTCAAAACTCCTCGTCTTCGTCGGCACAGCATTCTCCTGGTCATCATCTGGATGTCCATTGCCATGGTCTTCGATGGCCACGTCAGAAACGTTGGGTCCTTGGGCCTGGACATCTTTAAAACCTTCACCGTTGCTACCTTCACGGAATTCCCTGCCGATGTTCTGCTGATCCTGATATTGGATATGTGAGTATCGCTTGGTTTTTCGGACCACGAAGTTTAGAGCCTTTAGTTTCGAACATATAGTTGTTAAAAAAACATATTGTTATGTTGTTGCTAATGACCTTCATTATAACTTATTGACTGAAGGAACTACTACTGAAGTACTATTAAGATTTGAGATTTTGGAAATTTCTCGTAATATCAGTGAGTTTGAAATTGGCTTGTAGAGGTATAAATTACTAGCTTCCTTCCACCAGGCTTCGCCCGACTGGCATGTTAATAAAAACAGCCTATTTTAATGTAGGGTATCACAAATCTCTTTTTCTTTGTCTTTTTTCTTTTCTTTCTATCTACATTCCAAATTTAAATCAAATTGATCGAGCCGTTTTCGCGTATTAGAATAGCAAACATACATCCATACATTTTCACAAACTTTTACATTTATAATATTATTATGATTTTTTTTTCAATAATTTCTCCTTTTATTTTCAGCATTGGACGTCGTTGGCTGGCGTTCAGTACGATGGTCATCAGTGGAATTTTCAGTCTTTTAGCATGCACTGCTCCTATTGGTAAATATAACATTTATTTGAATACTTTGTCTGTCGATTGACTTAAAACATCCTGTCACTTCTCTTGCTCAGAACAGTACGCGAGCAGAGTAAGCAGAACGCGAAATCAAATTGTATTTTGACGTCAAGAAACTTGAATGTAATCAACATTGGCTGCTATTCTACCCTAATTAGACACTACTTTACTCACATCAGACGAGGATTATGCTCGATTAGTTTCAAGTCTCGACAGGGACTATAAATCACTTTTGACAGTCTTTTACTGAGTAAAGCACTAGTTCAAGTCATTACGGGACTCTTGAACATGAGCTCTGACTGTCAGCCGACTATGAAGTAGTTATTTACATTAATGTATCTATTTACGCTTTTTACATAATGTACAATGGCGTACTTAACGCCTTAGGCGTTCTATACCAGTCTACCATAAATTTTGTATGTCTCACGATAGTTACTATTTAAAAATGTATTATTATTAACCCAAAATAGTGTCAAGCACACATGGAAACGAGATGATATCCATTATAATTAAAAAATATTAAAATTATACAAGCAATTAATGTCAGCCACTAATGACTGTCATGTACTAACATTATCTGCGCTCGAAAACTAAACTTAATTCTGTACACTATTCTAACCACAATTTCTTTCTTCAGGTATCGCCTCAGCCTCTCTAGCCATCGTGGGCCGTTTCGCAGTAAACATCTCATTCAACATCGGAATGCAATACGCGGCAGAACTTTTGCCAACAGTGGTACGAGCTCAAGGCATCGCTCTAATACACATCAGTGGATACGTCGCTACTATACTTACACCGTACATTGTTTATATGGTAAGTAGACCGAAAAGACCGAAAGACGAAAAGACCAAAAGACCAGTAGACCAATAGACCAAAATGTCAATCAATTAAAAAGACCTAAAAATTAAGCGATACCGATTACCAAAAGTCTTTCAAATTGGAATACTTGAAAAAGTCTTCTTTGAAATAGATTATTTGACTATTACAATTAAATGGCTTAACTGATTTAATATAACGTTATGTAGTGATATATATTTTAGCATAATACGACTTTTTAAAGAGGATAATCATCAAAAGAGTTCTTCTTCTCCCGCCTCTCGGAGCAAGAGGAAATGTCAGACTCTTACTGACTAAAAACCCCCCGTTCCTTCTCCTGCTCTAGGCCGAGGACGCGGTAAATTATTGTGCTAGCTCTGCCTAACATTTTTCTTTTGATTTCAGGCTACCATAGCAAGAGAAATCCCGCTACTAATTCTAGGTGCTTTGGGCATATTTGGAGGGTTCCTATGCCTGTTCCTCCCAGAGTCCATGGGCAAGGAAATGCCTCAAACTATCCAAGATGGTGAAGAATATGGCCTGGACCAGAAGTTCTGGGACTTTCCATGCTGCAATAGGTAAGTTATTTATTGGTCTTATACTGCCCTTTGATAATGATAAAACATATTGTGGATAGATTTAGGCGCACATAACTTGTACTACAAGAAAGGCTCCTGTGTCAATACGAAAACTAAAAAATGCTCTATATTAAATATGTATTAATAAATAACCGATACAAATGATCAATTCATCTCCGTGTGAGAAGATGCATTTGCTAAACAATGAGAACTTATAGGCTAATGGTGTGTGTGATATCAGAGTGATGTACTAGCTTTTGCCCGCGACTCCGTTCGCATGGAATAGTGACTTCCTGTTGATTTTTTGGTATAAAAACTATCCTATGTCCTTCTGGAGTTCCAAACCATGTCTGTACCACATTTCACACAAATCGGTTCAGTAGCTTAGGCGTGAAAAAAAGACAGAGTTACTTTCGCATTTATTATATTATTTTGGATTGAAAAAACCGAAAAATGCTCCATAATTCTTTGCCTAAACTTGAATCCGAGATTGTTTTAATAATCAATTTTAAAATGAATTAGGTACGTCATTAAATTTGAATTAAGATACCCGTGATTCGTTAACTACATTTTTATATTCGGTATCTACATATTGATCAAATCTTTATTAACTTTTTACTTTGATTCACAATTAGCTAAAAGGTTTAAAAAAAAAATCAGTATCTCACCGTCAACAAGAGGCCGTAAAAAGAAACACCATAGTATCGAAAATTAGATACGGTTGCAATATACTCAACGTTTCTAAAATTTTCTCTCTCCTGAACCTTTTCCTATATATAAAAGAACAAAACAAAACGGATTACCTGATGGTAAGCAATCAGCGTCGCCCATGGATACCCGCAACGGAGAAGTTACGAGTGCGTTGCCGACCTTTTGGGGACTAAGGATTTTGAGATTTTGGGAATTAGGGGGGATTGGGGGAGGGGATGGATTGGGCCTGCGGTAACCTCACGAACACTGCAAAACATAACGCTATGGTTGTTTCACGCCGGTTTTCTGTGAGGCTGTGGTATCACTCCGGTCGAGCCGACCCATTCGTGCCGAAGCATGGCTCTCCCACACTTAAGATATAGGTAGAAGACTATTGAGTTTGAAACTCTTTACCAATAACTGAAAAGTATTAAGATAAGGCGTCGCACGGATTCAATGCTGATACGAAATTTCTCCACAATTTAATGGGTGTTATTATACATATAAACCTTTCTCTTCAATCACTCTATCTATTAAAAAACCGCATCAAAATCCGTTGCGTAGTTTTAAAGATTTAAGCATACATAGTGATACAGGGACAGAGCAAGCGACTTTGTTTTATACTGTGTAGTGTTTAATAATTCTTTTTTATTCTTTTACAGGAAGAAGAACAAAGAAGTAAAAGAAGAATCACGATATTGATGAAGATGACGGATTTTGTATTGATTTTCTAAAACAACTATTGTGATACTAACTCTATCTACTTTATTTTGAATGCAATAGAAATGAAAATTGATTGGCACACGTACATAAGATAATTTGGTTACGCTGAGAGTGATTTCAATAATTATGAATCTCACAGTTCTGAACAAAATTAGTTAGCCAAGTTTGTTAGATCCAGCTTATAGTTCACTATCTTCCTGCCCGTGACTTTGACCGCAAACCTTAATATATTAAACACTGAAAAGGTCTTCTTGAAATATTGCATCTTTTAAAAAATACCGCATCAAAATCTGTCACGCAGTTTTAAAGATCTAAACACACATAGAGACAGACAGCGGTAAACTGAGAAAAGCTCTACAAATAATTTCCCATGAGTAAGCCCTTAAATTGTCAATTTATATCGATGTTTTTACTAAATGTGTAATTCTTTAATATAATTATTATGTACTTATGTTTTGTGGAATGAAAAATAAATTATTTTTTCGTATAAAAACAAATGTATTGTCATTTTTATTTATGACTCCGTCCCTGCTTAACACGGGTCTCCTACTATATCTCTCGCTAACGACGAAATTGCCCCACTACCCAGATTCCCCTCTACCTTTCTAAAATTATTAATTATCTTTCTTATATATAAAAATGGATCGCAAAATGTGTTGGTAAGCGCATAACTCAACAACGCCTGGACCAATTCTACTGATGTTTTTTTGTTGCGTTTTTGTTATTGTCACGAGAAGGTTCTTTAAAAAAAAAATATTAGACAAGTAGAGGGGAAGATTAGGAAAGAGTGACCCCTTGACAGCGAGACAGTTGACCCCGTGCGAAGCGGGGGCGGGCCGCTAGTTTAAGATAAATTAGAAGGAACCTTACCCTGACAATAACTAACATAACAAAAAACATTCGTGAAATGGTTCAAGGCGTTGCTTGTTGAGACCATTTTTAACCGACTTCAAAAAAAGGAGGAGGTTCTCAATTCGATTGTATTTTTTTTTTTTTTTTTTTTTTTTATTTTTTTTTTTTATGTTTGTTACCTCAGAACGCCGTCGTTTATGGACGGATTTGCAAAATTTTTTTTATGATTGAAAGGATATGCTTCCAGATTGGTCCCATTCTTTTCAAAATCAAGTTTTGATGATGGGATCCATGAGAAATCGAGGGAACTCCTCAAATATTATAGGCAACTATATAGTAATTTTAATATTTTCATAGAGCACTCAAGCATTTACAGTCAAAAAGTAATGTTTGATGAGGTGGAACTGGTGAAGAAGATCAGAAATGGATGATGAAACTTGACACTCGCATAGATATCACAATCAAGGTAGTTCAGCAACTATGAAAATGCACTGTAAACCAATGATCTTAAATAATTATGTTGGAAATGTTATCATCGAACTGATTTAATGATGATTATGGAGCTGGAAGGTAGGCACTGGAACTGCGTACCTAATTAATATATCCTAGCCGTGTTTGGGCTTGTTAGAATTGTTATAAGATGCACTTTGGCTGTAAGGTACTATTGAACTGATGTGATGATGAAGCTGGAAGGTTGGCATGGGGCCTAGTATTGTGTAAGCTTATTAGAGCTGTCAAGAGCAATGGAAAGGGCTATGCTCATAGTTTCCGTGCATGTTCGAATCAGAAATGAAGAAATCCGCAGAAGAACCAGCGTCACCGACATAGCCCGAAGAAATGCCAAACTTAAGTGACAGTGGGCACGGCACATTGCTCGTAGAACAGATGGCCGATGGGGCCGAAAGGTTCTAGAGCGGGACCGCACACCTTTGGGGGCGGAGTTTGGCCTAGTATTGGCTATTTTGCATTAGTCCACGTGGACTGCGTTTACACATTAGTGGTGAAATGCGTCATTGTGTTCTTATCGTTTTCCTGGTAATAGGCTAAGAGAATTAATTGGCATTTTTAACAAAACAGTCGTTTTAAATGGGTTACAAAACAATAATTGCGTCGTACAAAACAATAATTGTGTTTCTTTTGTGTGCACATATGTAGATAATACTTACTTAAAAAAGGTTCATACATTGAATGAGTCATAAATGTATATTTACAATAGCGATGGTCTTTTATATTTTTACCAACTTGTCTATATATGAATGTTCTTAGTAATAACAAAATAGTATTCTTCATTTAATGGGTTACAATTGATACAAAACAATAATTGCATCGGTCTTTTTTCTATGTACGAATGTATTTAATCATAGATACTAAATTAGATTGTATTTGGTATCTTTGAACTTTATCTGTCTGTTGATGAAAATATCTAGTTTTTTGTTATTTGGCGAGAACTAATATGAATTTATGATAAGATTATTATTTTATTTTAACTATAAGTCATAAGTATCTCATGCATCATATCATCTCTCCTCGAGATCAAAACGATTACACAGTAATAATGTACTATGATATGTATTTCTACGTATAAGTATGACATTGGTAACTTTTTCAAAAGAAATGTAGGAACGATATTGACTTCTTTGCCATAACACATTATAATAAAAAAAAAACACTAAACGGCTACAAATAAAATAAAATTTTACAAAATAAAAAAACCGCCTTCAAAAAAAGTCAAGCAATAAAAGTTCCTACACTAAAAAGTAAAAAATAACAATTTGAATTACTGTAAAAAAACTTAATTTATAGGTAAACTTATTTGACATTAATATTTTGCAAATATTCAAAATTTATTACTTATTTTTGGAGTCGGTGCCAGCCCATGCAAGGAAATACAAATGGGCAACAATCCCTTGAAAAACTACCTCTTACTTAATTATAAAACTACTTAATACCTATTTGCATACTCAAATATAGGTATATTAATTAAGACATAAATACAGATTAGACTTCTCTACAAAAAATGTCCGATTTGCACATTTTTTTAAATAAAAAATATGTACTTACAAAAACATTTTAAGTACATTGAAAATGTTTAAGCATTATCTACGAAAAATGGCATCGGATATTAAAAACCTAACTAACATTAAGTTTCAACATCAAAATGCTGGCACCGACTCCAAAAATAAGTAATAAATTTTGAATATTTGCAAAATATTAATGTCAAATAAGTTTACCTATAAATTAAGTTTTTTTACAGTAATTCAAATTGTTATTTTTTACTTTTTAGTGTAGGAACTTTTATTGCTTGACTTTTTTTGAAGGCGGTTTTTTTATTTTGTAAAATTTTATTTTATTATATAATAACTGCTCTCGCGCGGTTTCACCCGCTACTCAGCTCCATTTGATCGTAGCGTGATGATTTATAGCCTATAGCACTCCGGAATATTATCTATCACTGAAGGAATTTTGGCAATCCGACCAGTGTTTCCAAATATTACCCCCTACATACAAACTTACAAATTTTACCTCTGAAGGAATTTTGGCAATCCGACCAGTGGTTCCAAATATTACCCCCTACATACAAACTTACAAATTTTACCTCTTTATAATATTAGTATAGATATAGATTATATTTATTTGTTAATGTACACACATACATATATTTAGTAAATAGGACAAAACTTTAAAAAAAATTGTGTACATAACACATGCTACATATTACTATTAGGATTCCTTTCTACGGTGGGTCCGTACACAGAAACAGTCATTAAGATACACGATATAGTGTGTAAGTCATCATCAGCCTGTAAGTGCCCACTGCTGAGCAAAGGCTTCTTCGGAGAAAGTTTGAGCATTAATCAGCACGCTTGCTCAAGGTAGATCGGCGATTTCAAACTTATAATTAGAAATTATGAAGTCCAGGTTTCCTCACGATGTTTACCTTCACCGTATGTCAGTGGTGTCTAAATAAGGCGCGTTAAATTATGTCTAACTAGCTACTGTCTAGCTCCATTTAATCTTAGCGTGATGTTTTATAGCCTATAGCACTATTTAAGTAACATTCTAGGTATCTATGAGTGAAAGAATATTGGCAATCGGACCAGTGGTTCCAAAGATTACCCCCTACATACAAACTTACAAACTTACAAATGTTACCTCTTTATAATACTTATTAGTATAGATTGCGTTTGCGCCACAACCCCGTCTGAACATTGGGCCTGTGGTGGTCTATAGGATCAATAAAAATTATTGATAGACTTTGATATTGACCTCGATTTGAATTTTTATGTGATAGAACGGCCAACGATCAAAAGGATTACCTGATGGTAAGCAATCGGCGCCGCCCATGGAAATCCGACACCAATGGAGTTACGAGTGCGTTGTCGGTCTTTTAGGGGTAGGGATTTCGGGGTCTTGGATTTTTAAGGATTGGGAAGAGGGAGGAGTGGGAGGGATTGGGCCTCCGGTAACCTAGCGAAACTTATGTTTCGCGTGGTTACCGGCGTGAAATAACCATAGCGTTATCGCTATGGTTATTTCACGCCGGTTTTCTTTGAGGCCGTCGGTCGAGCAGACCCATTCGTGCCGAAGCTTGGTATTAAAATATTTAGCTCGACCCGGCAACTGAAAGTGAAACGACGCCTAAGCAACCATTTAACCAAGAAGTCATCGAAACACCGTTATCTTAACAAAGAAACGGATCAAGCAGTAAAATGTAACAATAACAGTTAAAATTGTTGTTTAATAAAAATTTACAAAAAAAAATGTGATTCAGAATGAACATCCGAACTCGATACGTAAGAGTAAATATTGTGGGTTTGCGATATAGTGAGGGGAAAATTTAGAAGTCGATAAATTAAAATATCGATAAAACATCTGATATGAATATTTAACTTTGTATAAAGGCAAACGATTAATTGATTAATAGCAAACATGGAGAAGTTTCGAGTGCGTTGCCGACATTTTGGGGATTAGAGTTTTGGAGATTTAGGGATTGGGGGAGGGGAAGGATTAGCTTTTAAGTTGCCTCACTCACACGGCGAAACACAACGCTGTAGATATCTATGAATTCTATGGGTAATTTTTATGATGATAAGCAATCGAAGGTAAAGGAACAATCGATGGTGCCAAAGCATGGGTCTCCCAGACTTTCATGCTATTCTGACAACATCGTCACGTTATAAAAGATCGCTGCTGGAGCAAAAACCTCGTCTACATGAAAGGGGCTGTCACTATCTCCGCGCTTGGCAGATGTTGGTTAAAGTCAATCACAACTATTAAAGTTTTTGAAAAATTCATGTTATTTTGGTAAAAAAAATTCTTGATGACACACGAACATTGTTAGATAGATAGAATAGTCATCATCATCATCCTGCCCTTGTCCCGTTTTATTTGGGGTCGGCGCAATATGTTTTTTTTCTTCCATTCTGTCCTGTCCTGTCACGCTATCACTAACTCCTCTGTCTTCCATATCACTTCTCACACAATCCATCCACATTTTCTTTGGTCTCCCTCTCCCTCTACATCCATCCACATTATTAGATAGAATAGAAATATCATAAGTAAATATTAATCCCAACAGTTGCACACACACCGATTTTGTAGAATCTGTGAGAATATATTTAACAAAACACGTAGTGCACGTGCACGTAGTTGAGTACTTCGTTTCTAAAAACTAAATTTATTTTTCTTTCTTATAGAGCGGTCTTGCCCGAATGAGTCAGCTCATACCACGGCTTCACAGGAAACCAGAGAAAGAAAACCGCAGCGTTGTGTTTCCACCCCGCATTCCTGCCATTTCCCTAAATGTCCGAAACCCTAATCCCCAAAAACCCGGCAAGGCATTCGTGGCTACTCTTGTACTGCAGGTGTCTATAAGCGGTGCCGATTGCTTACCATCAGGTAGACCGCCTGCTCTTTAACCGACCTATCACATAAAAATACAAACAAATAAAAAATGTTCTATCAGCAAAATCAGAACACCGGAAGCTTGAACAATATACAACAAAAAAATCCTACACATCGATATCGACGAATCCCAACACTATTACACGAGAAATTTACAAACAAAACGTACGAAATTTCATACGATACTCATAAGCGGCATTCCTCTCATTCACGGATCATTGCGAAGCGAGAAATGTACCTAATATGTTTTCAAAAGTCATCTTTGTATTAGTGTTACTAAAAAACTCAGGTTTCTGTGACTATTTAGAGTCAGAGGCCAACTTCCATAAGCCTATATTAGAACGAAGCAACATTGTCAACAAAGGCGTTTGGGTTCGAAATAAGGATAAAGAAAATCTCTTCGAGAAAAACCGAATCGGCGATTTCATTTTCCGCGAAAACTCTCTGGATGTGGACAACTTATTGCAGAATAATTTCGATGCGTTTGGTGCGAATTACATGCAAGATTCTCCGTTCGTTTCTGCGTACGTTAAAAGGAATAAAAGGCAGACTAGACGTGAGTATTATAATATTTTATTCACACATCCTGGCGTACGGCAAATATCCACCCTTACGTTGTTGAGACACCTGCGGCCTGGACTAAGCGTTTTGTCATTTATACCGCGTACATCGAGGGATTGGAACAGTTTGCCAGCTGCAGTCTTTCCGTCCAAATAAAATTTAAGTGTCTTCAAGGCTACAGTGAATAGGCTCTTAAAACTAGTGCGCCTTACCATTGACGATTGCATCACATCTTACCACCAGGTGGGATCGCGGTCAAGCACTAGTTTATTGCAAGTAAAAACAAAAAAAAATCAATTTCTGCCACGCACAGAGAAACTGTGCAATGAACTGTCAACGGTGGTATTTCCCAACCGGTCATATCATCATTATCATCAACCTATAAGTGCCTCATGCTTAGCAATGGCCTCTTCTCACGCGGAGAAGGTTTGAGCATTAACTACCCCGGTTACTCAAGGTGGGCTATCCATTTCAAACTTATAATTAGAAATTACAAATCCAGGTTTCTTCACAGTGTGTTTCTAAGTGTGGGAGAGCCATGCCTCGGCACGAACGGGTCGGCTCGACCGGAGTAATACCACGGCCTCACAGAAAACCGGCGTGAAACAACCACAGCGTTGTGTTTCGCCGTGTGAGTGAGGTTATTGGTATTTTTTTATGTAATAGGTCGCCAAACGAGCAGACGGATTACCTGATGGTAAGCAATCAGCTCTAATCCTTCGTTTTGGGTGTGCTCGGGGCCGCCCTTGGACACCCACCAACGAAGGAGTTACCTGTGCGTTGCCGACCGTTTAGGGATTAGGGATTTGGAGATATAAGGATTGACGAGGGATTGGGGGAGGGCAAGCATTGGGCCCCCGGTAACCTCACTCACACGGCGAAACACAACGCTGTGTTGTTGTGTTAATGATGTGAAATGTTTCATGGCGGTTTTCTGTGAGGCCGTGGTATCATTCCGGTCGAGCCGGCCCATTCGTGCCGAAGCATGGCTCTCCCGCACTTATTTCTATAAAATGTTTGCTGTTTTGGTTGGGGCAAATAATCAAATGACCTCTCTCGCCTTGTGTGAGGCAAGATAGTGTGTCTGAGTTTCTTATCCTGCACCGAGCTGGGACCGTGGTACATTATTACACTAGCAACTGCAAAGAAATGATGACACGATGATTTGTGTTTCGTTGCGTCAAGATGGCTACCGAAAGCATTATCTTTCCTTCATCCAACAATCCCATTTTTTATCTGTAAAAGTTTAACAAATAAAACCTCTTGTAACTTCTCTGGTATTGTAACTCTTTCTGGGCTGCTCCGATTGCTTACCATCAGGTAATCTACAGTCTTACTTGACTCCATATCTATACTTTTAATAAATCTGTAAAGAGGTCAATACTGAACACGAAATATATTTTCAAAATAACTATCAGGGGGTAATTTGTGATCGATACTGATGCCAAAAATGTTATCGGTAAAAATTTTTGTCTGTCTATCTGTCTGTCTGTATGTTCCTTTTAGAAACAAAAACTACTTGACAGATTTTAACGAAACTTTGTACAATCATTCTTTAGATTCCTGGACAGGTTATCTATAGGATACTCTTATTGTAGCGTGTTTTATCACGCTATCACGCTCCAATTCCTATCATCATCAATTTATAATGGCCCACTGCTGAGCTAAGGCCTCTTCTCACACGGAGATTGTTTGAGCATTAATCACCACGCTTGCTCAATACGGGTTGGCGATTTCAAACTTATAATTAGAAATTAAAGTTCAGGTTTCCTCACGATGTTTTCCTTCACCGTATGTCAGTGGTGTCTAAATAAAGAACACATAACTCGGAAAAGTAAAATTGGTACTTGCCAGGTTTCGAACCCACACCCTCATGCATGAGAAGTGGGCTTCTTAACCTCCGGACCACCACGACCTCTCCAATTCCTAATAACTGCAAAAATCTGGCAACCCAATTGTAACACCTCCGGTATTGCGATTGTGACCGATGGCTTACCATCAAGTGATCCGACTGCTCTTTGGCCGGTCTATCCCATAAAAAGTGTTCCACTACTCAATAAAGAGTTTGTATAGGGAAAGCCATGCTTTGGCACGAATGTGTCGGCTCGACCAAAACGATACCATGCCCTCACAGGAAACCGGCGTAAAACAACCACAGCGTTGTGTTTCCCCTAGTGAGTGAGGTCACTGGAGGCCCGATCTTTCCCCTCCCCTAATTCCTCCCCAATCCCTAAATCCCCAAAACCCTTATCCCCAAAAGGTCAGAAACGCATTCGTAATCCTTCTGTGGTTGCGGGTTAGGCGCTTATTGTTCATCATCATGTAATACGCCTGCTCGATTGCTGTCCTATCACATAAAAAAAGAGTTTTTCATATTTGGCAGGTTTGGAGATCACAGTAACGATCCCAAATCAACCGCCAAGTGTGATTATTACAAATCAGTCTAATCAATAGGAGGCCTACGGACAGCTGATCGATAATGATTATGATAGCTGATGAAAATATCGCGGGCTATCGGTGTGTTAATAATATTATTTGTTACAGATATTCGACAACAGCGACCTAGAAAGAGTATAATAAGAAGCTGCATCGGCAAAGGATGTAAAATGAGCCTCGAAGTAAAGGATCCAGCGCCAGAAATAATCAAAACTAAATTAAACGAGTTAACTAAAAGAACAACGTCAGTCTTCAATGACTATCCATACGAAGTAGCCATTTTACTAAACAACAAAAGCGACTCGAATACAGAGAAAATAAACACACCGAACGTTAAAAAGGAAAACTCGAAAAGCAATAGTTATAATTTTACTAAAAACTACGGAATCCCACATACGGTAGGTTTTTCAGTCGAAACCGAAAACGATACAGCAACAGTAAGAAACACAACTTCGCCAAAAAGAAGTATGAAATATGATTTCGAAACGGAAATTATTAAAAAATTCGAATTCACTGAAGATATTAATAAGACACATGGGAGTATGCATAATGACAGTAAGATAACAGATAGAAATATATTCGACAAAGAATCTGTATGGCATCAAAATGCACCAATACCAGATGTTAATGTATACAAAGTCGTGCCTAAAGAACCTCAAAAGAGTAAGCCTGTGACTGAAAGAGGTCTCATAAAGGTCATATCAATGCTAACGAAAACATTTAAGAAAATTATGAAACAACACAACGAAATAAAAGACATACATTCTAGAATAAGCGATATAAATGAAGACTTTATCAAAAACGCAGCTACAGTCACCGGTAAATTCCAAGATTTCGATCTTAAATACTTATATTTGTTGAAATTCCACGAAAAGTTGAAGGCCTTTGACGCGAAATTGGCGTCCAAACAAGAATATTTCAAAAATAAAGAAAGAGAAATGGCAAGGAACTTCAAAGAATTCGAAAATCAACAGAAGAAATTCTTACAACAGCAACGACAGTTTTACAATATACAAAAGTTGATGTTGGCACAGAATGAGAAAATAAATCTAAAACAGAATTTGATAGCGAAGACACAGAGCGAAATATCCCACAGGCAAAATAATTTCGCTAGAATACTGAAGAAAGCAAAACAGTTGTATGTTGAAAGCAGGAATCCGTCGATAACTAAACTAAGTTCAAGTTTGACCAAATTAAATAATCATAATCAAAAACCTGAACCAATCACACATACAAGCACGGTAACGCCATCGACAGAATCGATTAAAATCAATCTTTTTTCAATACCAACTTCAAATAAACTACAAAATCAGGACGATCTAATAATGAAGGAAAAAGACGAACAGAGTATAGACGATTTGGTCTACAAATATTATTTTAACAATACATTCATCGACAATTTGATGAAAAATAATATATTAGCGAATGTTATGGGAGTTCCAGAAAATTCTGCGCATCAAAGAAATGTCAAAAATAAGAGAAATGAATTACAAAGTACAGTATTGCTGCCAGTTTTTGAAACAAATAATACTGAAACTTATGATAATAAGAATAGGGAACGAAGATGGATTAACCATCACTCCAGACATAAGGCAAGGAGGCGTGATCGGGGAAAAGGTGCTCTAGCTCCTATAATAAATGCTACAGATGCAAAAATTCTTAGGAAAAATGTAGTTAACAATGCGCCACTAGCAGCAGAAGCTCCCGTACTAAAAGAGACAAAAGACATTAAAATCAAGAACGATCCTTTTTTAACTATGGCGACGAATTTCTGCAATGAAATTCGTCAAAATTTAAATCCACAAATGCTGAGATGGTGCGTGGAAAAGGCACTGAGGAGGTTACAGTTTCTTGGTAAGTTTTTCATACAATACTAGCGGTCCGCCCCAGCTTCGTACGGATCCAACTATCTCGCTATCAAAGGATCACTTTTTCCTAATCTTCCCCTCTACTTTTCTAATATTTTCTTTGATAAGAACCTCCTGACAATATCAAACACAACAAAAAAGAATTAGCAAAATTGATCCAGGCGTTGTTGAGTTATGCGCTTACCAACACATTTTGCGATCCATTTTTATATATAAAGATTATGAGTTTTTGGCTAGGGAATATTCAAGTCATAAAACCCTACATGGTGATAACTAGATGAATTATTTTGAATATGAATTTGTGATTAATAACGACTTAATCACGTGAATTGACTGAGAAGAAATACCTATATACTAGCTTTAAGTTACGACGGGACTCACGTGAGTCTCTTGCGCGTCGCTACAATTTCATTAGCTAGTCAAACATTCCCAAAAACCTTTATTATGTTCGGCTCCCGAGTTATCACACAAATTGGCAGGTATTCCTGTCCGTGTAGGGATTAAAACAGAAGACAATATACTTTTTTCTTTTTCTTTCTCTTTAATAAACCATTCCTTACTAGGATTTTCTCCTGTATCGTGGGTGCGCTTACAAACATATAATTTTACATTCAAATCACACCCAGACCCGAAACAACTATTGGTAGGCTAATCAAAGAGTTATTCCGTGCGGGAATCTCGACACGTTGCGCGGTAGCCAGTTGCCCAATCTACCGCATCAACCGTGCGGTCAGTTAAAATTACAAACTTATCTAACATGTATGTATGTTTTACAGACATGAAAACACCGTCACCAGCTGAAACCCCGAAAACCATACCAGCAGCTAAACCATTAAGTATGCCAGCCGTTTCTAAGCTGAACCAACCAGTCACCAGTTTTACTGAATCATCTAAACTTTCTGGAGTATCTGAAGTGGCCTCAGCGTTTACGACTGACAGAGTAGAAACTAAACAGTCTACTGTTAGCACTAGCGAAGTACCAAGTAAGATGACAGGTGGGTTATTTATTACTATTACTGTATTATCTGTGACTACGTCCTCGTTGTATTTGATAAAAAGATTTCTTCACAAACCTAGATACTAATATTATAAATGTGAAAGTTTTTTCCTTTCACGCTAATAAGGTATTTTTTATGTAGTAGGTCGGCAAACAAGCAAACGGGTCACCTGATGGTAAGCAATCAGCGCCGCCCATGGACATGCGCAACGGAGGAGTTACGAGTGCGTTGTCGACCTTTTAGGGTTTAGGGATTTGGAGATTTAGGGATTGAGGTAGAGGAAAGATTGGGCGGTAACCTCACTCACACGGCGAAACACAACGCTGTGGTTGTTTCACGCCTGTTTTCTGTGAGGCCGTGGTATCACTGCGGTCGAGCCGACCCATTCGTGCCGAAGCATGGCTCTCCCACACTTTGCGACATAGGTTGAACCGGTTTGTTTGAAATTTGGTATCACATAGGACACATAGTCATTTCCTTTTTATCAACATACCACGAGGGCGAAGCCAATGACGGAAGCTAGTTTATGATATTAGTAGGACTGAATTGAATAATCAGAAGAAAATAATATACCCAATTTGATCCGATGAATAGATGAATACGTCAAAGTCGAAGTCAAAATCATTTATTCCAACTAAACCATAAATAGGTACTTTTGAAACTTCAAAATAGAATAGTAGTCTGTCAATAAGCTAGGTGCTCGATCCAAATTGTAGATTCATATGGCCATAGGCTTATCTCCTTTTAGATGGGATGTGAAACGAACGGATGGCATCATTAGTCATGCTATTTACATCAGTATTTGCATCAGTATTTACATCAGTATTTGCATCAGTATTTACATCAGTATTTGATTTCAGTATTTACATCAGTATTTGCATCAGTATTTACATCAGTATTTACATCAATATTAACATCAATTTTTACATCAATATTTAAATTAGTCTGTATATAAAGAAATGGCGTGACTCAATGACTATTTTATTTTAGTATCACCATTAACACAATCAACATCCAGAATGATCACAACAGCAGCCAACAAAGAAAACACAAAGAGCCATATTTTAGGAGATATCAACCATTTCCCAGGTATGTTTGCACAATTAACTACCTTGGCTTCACCTAAATTATTACACAAAAAAAAAAACATTAGCCGTGTCGCGAAGTACAATCCGCATCTTCTATTTTTCTCTATCAAAATATATATACTTACTGATCACAAACTTCTTTCTCTAAGAATGTAGAGACACATAAAGTATGTATGGCAGGGCTTATAAGGTACCGAGGCCTTGGACTAAAACAGGAGAAGGAATGGAGGATTTTTACTGATTAACAGTCTGACATTCCCTCTCGCCTCGAGAGAAGTCATCTGATGATATTCCCCTCACAAAAAAGTGTGTAAAAAACTATACCTTTTCATTATCACCTTTCACGTTACAAAGGTGATAATAAGGCTGAGTGTGGGAGAGCCATGCTTCGGCACGAATAGGTCGGCTCGACCGGAGTGATACCATGACCTCACAGAAAACCGGCGTGAAACAACCACAGCGTTGTGTTTAGCCGTATGAGTGAGGTTACCGGAGGCCCAATCCTTTCCCTCCCCCAATCCCTCCTCAATCCCTAAGTCTCCAATCCCTAATTACTAAAAGGTCGGTAACGCACTAGTAACTCCTCCGTTGCGGGTGTCCATGGGCGCCGCTGATTGCTTATCATCAGGTAATCCGTCTGCTCGTCTGCCGATCTATTATTACCTAAAAAAAAACAAAGCTGAAAGGACATCATCCAATGACTTCTAGAAAGAGTGTCAGGCTCTTACTGACTAAAACCACCCTTTACCTTCTGCTCCGAACCAGGACCTTGGTATACCATGACGCTTGCACTCGCAATCCTGCAACCCACTAAGCCCTAAAGCATACTCACAGAATATTACATTTGACTGAATGGCCTTCTTCAACTTAATAGTTTTTTTATGAGGGAGAACAGCTATCAAATGGATAACCTGGTGGTAAGCTATCGCCCCTGGACGAGCGCAATGCTAGAGGAAGTTGGAAGTCCGTTGTCGGCCTATCAAGGGATTTGGGATTCGCGGGGGATTTGGAGATTTGGTGAATTAGAAATTTTTAGGTCTATGGTAACCTCACTCTTACGATAAAGCATAACACATTAATGTAATAAGTCGGCAAACGAGCAGACGGATTACCTGATGGTAAGCAATCAACGCCGCCCATGGACACCCGCAACGGAGGAGTTACGAGTGCGTTGCCGACCTTTTAGGGATTAGGGATTTGGAGATTTAGGGATTGGGGAAGGGTCCGGGAAGGGGAAGGATTGGGCCTCCGGTAACCTCACTCACACGGCGAAACACAACGCTGTGGTTGTTTCACGCCGGTTTTCTGTAAGGTTGTTTTGTTTCACGACGGTATACTGTAAAGCCGTGGTATCACTCCGGTCGAGCCGGACCATTCGTGCCACGACTCTTACATACTTTAAATGGAGAAAAGTATTAAAACATTTTTTTTTTCGATTTCACAGATAATGAAGAATTGGAATGGAATTTGAAACAGTTTGGTGAGTAATAAAATAAGTATTAATTCACGAAAAAATATTTTTTAGCAAACTACTTATACTACTACCCTGGAGCTACTCTTATATTATGTGGAACAGCAATTTATTGTACTTAATACTATGGGTTGTGGTTTATTATACAATTATCTTTTTAAGTCGTGTCCAAACGCTTGCACGATGTAGGATTACGTTATCTTTTATGAAGGATGACACATGTTAAATAATTATGAAAAGGTACGCCATCTTTCGGTGAAACTTCGTTATGTGATTTTTTCTTGAGTCGGGAAAATTCTTTACATATTACTTCTTTGATTAAAAGCCACCCCGTTCCTTCTCTTGTCCAGGCTGAGGCCTTATTGCTCTTGTAACAAATCCGCAACTAGCTCCGTTTTTATATGTAGAAGTTTGTGCTTTAATCATCTAAATATATAAAAGGAGAAACTGACTGACTGACATATCAACGCACAGCCTAAACGGCTTAACGTAGACACTTGAAATTTGGAAAGGAACGCTAAGAAACGAATTCCCGAAATTCCCACGAGAACAGGAATTACCGGGAAAACCCTTTTGTATGAAAAATCTAAACCACTTAAGTTTGTAGCGACATCTAGCGCACTACATTAACGACAGCATTAATCACGTGCAAGAGTCTACATCGCGCTATAAGAGTTTTCCACACAATAGGGTATTTGACAATTTTTGAAAAATATTATTTAACTATTCTTTGTTATGAAATAGGCATATTGTATTAATATTTTCGTAAAATATTATTTATTTTTAAAGAAAATAAATATTTAAGTTTAAATTCCCCAATTCGCGCGAAAAATGCTTTTTAGAAAATGGCGCCGGTCACATGACGTGGATGACGTCACACACAAGTAAACAAAGGTACAATCAAAGGAGACAAGCTGTTTTTCCGTGGTTTTTCTTTAATTAAACCGTGATAATGGTGTATAAATGGTGTACGGTGCCAGAATGTAAAAATACATCTATAAAAACTCCAGAAAAAATATTCGTTTCTGTTCCAACTAATCCCAAAAGACGAAAAATGTGGTTACAATTAGCTCGAAGAGACCCAAAGAACGTTTTATCGCATACAAACATTTTTATGTGTGAAGATCACTTTGATGTAAGTATTAAATTTAATTAGCTAAACATATAAATGATTATTTCATACCAGTTTGTGTATGTACCTATAACTAACCTATAATGTAATATAAAAAATAACAATTTTGTAAGTACTTAGCAGATTGTTGATATTATTGCCTTGTCAAACAACATTGATAGGCAAATGTTTGCTAATTAGATGTTATAAGTACTGAATCCTAAATAGAATAACTAATTATAGAGGTAATATATCAATCAAAACAAAAAAAACCTCTAATATTACTGTACCTATAATTACAGATGGAACAAGATACAACTAACTACCTGAAATACAAAATGGGCTTCAGTCAAAAGATATTATTGAGAGATGAGGCTGTGCCAACAAAATTTCACTGTCAAGAAGATCGCAAGAGACGGCTATCCCCTGAAGCTGGACCTTCTCGAGAAGCGTTCCTTAAAAGGCAAAGAAGAAGTCTTGTCACGGAATGTTTGGAAAGTCAAAGCACTACTGAAACGGAAGTTGAAAGTATTCAACAACTTGACAATATAATACAAGATGCGGTTATGCTGGAAGGTACTTGTCACCTATGTATTTATTATGAATTTATATTAAAACCAAAAAAAATAAGTAATAAATAATCAATATTATGTGTTTGTCTTTTCAGAAACATCAAAAACTCAAGAGAAAGAAACTTCTACTGAAACTATCATAACTCTAGAAAAATCTGTTCAAGTAACAACAAAAGTGACTAAACATTTCAGGAGCAAGGCTGTGCAAGTACGAATACAAAATAAAAGTATTTCTACATCTCCGTTGAAAGTGTGTACAACATCCAGTTTTACTTCGCCTTTTAAAATTGAACCATGTCGTCTTCAACCATCACAGTCAGGAGCTGTAAAAGCAGTGAAGAAAAAGATTGTGCTTGAAGATGATAAATCAGACAGTGAAATATCTTGTTTGGAAAGTGGCCATTCATCTCCTTTTGTACCTACAGCTACATCATCATCATCAAAAATGACTGACTCTGAGAGTAATGCCACCGAGACTGAAGATATGGAAAAATTGCAGTGCCTTAAAAATACTATGCGTTTGATTGAAAACAAACCTACAATGTATATTGGTATTTCCAAAGACTGTTATTTTTTGATTCAGTTAATTCATAAACACACAAATATAAGAATCGAACATATTTTACTTTGTTTAAAAAAAATTAGACTAAATAGCACATTTTCAGAATTAGAAGATAATTTTGGAATATCTCTATCATATGCAAGTAAAATATTTTTGTCTAATATCTCAATATTAAGTAGTGTATTAAACCCATTTATTGTTGCTTTAGATAAAAAAAATATAATTAAGAATCTTCCAATTGCTTTCAGACACAATCATTACAATGTCAGTTGTATCATTGATTGTCTGGAAATTGATATACAGAAACCATCCAAGGCTCTATATCAGGCATTAACATGGTCCGACTACAAAAAAGGGAATACTGTGAAGTATTTAATTTCATGTACACCCAATGGTTTAGTCAATTATGTTTCACAAGGGTTTGGTGGCAGAACTAGTGATGTCACCATAGTAGAAAATTGTAGTTTTCTAAATGGGTTACAGCCAGGAACAATTATTTTGGCTGACAGAGGCTTTAAGCACCTGGAACCTTTACTTCAGGCAAAAGGAATGAAATTATTAAGACCACCTAGTGTACGTGCTGGTGCAAAATTGACTAAATCCGAAGTTAAACAAACTAAAATTATTGCAAGCTTGCGAATTCATATCGAAAGAGTTATAAGAAGATTAAGAGAATTTCATATGTTGAAACAACATTCGGTTATAAACACAAATATATGTCGCGTTCTAGACCATATTATTATAATTGCTTGTGCGCTTATTAATTTGCAAGATTCTCTAATTAAATAATGTGTCTAGCCAGTTAAGGAATAAAAATAAAACAAGATATTTTCACCATTGTAAAATGTTTTTTATTCCTTACTCACTTATATCTGTATTACGTAGTAATATAGGGTATATATTTCCTTTCCAAAAAAAAGTTAATTTATTTATTAAGTTATTAACAAAATCTTCATCATAATTTTCTAACATTATATCAACTTTTTGTGTGTGTTCAAAATTACTATCCGCTATACAAAAATAACATTTATGAAGACCAGTTGCATACATTTGCAGTTGCACCTGCGCTTTACATTTTGCAGTAAGAATGCCATTTTTTATATAATTTGTTTTAGATTTGGCCTTTGTAGGACACTTTATTTCAATAACAGCATCTTTCATTACCCCATCAGGGGATGCAGCAATCACAGGGTTGTCTTTACAGACATAAAGCCCGCAGGAGGTTATTTTTTTTTTCAATTTGTTGCTTACAGCTTTCCGGACAGAAAGCTCTAGAATTCTTCCTCTTTTCATGGCCACTGTATCAGGTATTTTTGCCCCCATTATAGTGGCCACTAATGCTCCATCAGTTGTATGGCAAACACTCACTTCGTGGGCTTTTGAAGCAGTGATACGGCCATACCGCAGTTCATACCAAAAGTTAGTTTTATTCTGCTGCCTAGTCGCTTCTTCTATATTTTTTATTATATCACTAGTGAATGCACTTTTCATAACGCTTAAGAGCAAGCCTACATCATTCTTAGTTTCTTGAGGTAGATTAACCATGAAGCTATGCAACGAGTAACGAGTAATGTCACTATGCACAAAATCGTTTTGATATTTTAGCAATTCACACTTATTAATTTTTCTCTTTTTTGCTTCTAAAATAAAGTCTTCACATAGTGCTGATGTGCTAGGTCTGTGTGGAACAAGGGTCTTGGTCATTTGTTCTATAGTGATGAACTTTAAAGTGGTTCCTACTCTAGACAGAGCAGGCTTCTTCCAGTAACACTCCACCGAACATGCCGGTTCCTCGCTGCGACGATGGACCCACATCAAAAAGGCAACTGCATGTTTACATCCTCCAGCTGAAGCCGCACAGTCATGGCACTCACAGCTTATTATTTCACCGTCATTTTCATTAACGATTAGGGTAACATTGTAAGCTTTGGTGCGCACTTTATGTTCCGGGCACATTTTACATTTCACTGTACAAATTCCATTGTCGCGATATAGCTGGACGTACCCAACGGCATCATCACCGTATGACTCTCTTGCAGACCTGCAAATAAAACTATTACTGAAGGTACTGAAATTTTTATAACCTAAAATACACGAATGATTTTTTGTACAAAATATAAACAAATAATTGTTGCGTGGTACTTACACTGCTGTTTTTACATTTTTTAGTTCTGCAGCATAATAATCGGCATTATTTTTAAAAAATAATGCTACCATGATCGATCTTAGGTAGATTGCTGTTATCTGCTCGCTCGTAATTGGATTCCATCTTAGATATTTTGTACTCGAGAGTTTCGTAATAAAAAATTGTGTTAGAAATTAAATGAAAATATTAAATAATCACTCAAAAATCGAATCGAAACACTTTATAACAAGTAAACGGCGTACTAAACTCTGTCAAATGTGCTTTGTTTACTTGCGTGCGACGTCATCACAATGGCAACCAATGACAGAACGTTTCTATCACCGAAAAAAAAAAGAAAATGATTTTCAACTTTATTCACGAAATACTCTGAAAATACATGATATTTTAATTAAAAAAAATGTAATATGTTTAATTTACCTATAATTAGTTAGGATGACAATAAATTATAGTTTATTTTATATGTCGTCAAATACCCTATTAGCACCCATACAGATATCCCGACAACAACCGTCGGGCAGTAGCCCACCAGGCACAAACACCTCGCCTGGTCGGAGGATCCCCCCTTTTCAATGGAGGATGAAGGAACTTTCCACCCTGTTTCTCATACTTCTAAAAGTTAGACGCTTGCAATTTGGCACGTAGGTACCTAAGTAAACTTAAAGCTTACTTGCAACAGGACTTTGCAACATTCCAACGGGGACGGTATTTAGCGCAAAAAAAATGAATGAAAAAACTAGATAACTACAATGTTCTTTAGTGCTATATATAGGCTATAAATTATACTAGATTTGCGTATTTTAGTCGAGCTATCGCTATCAAAGTGTTTTTTTAACCAACTGTTTAAAAAATCCCGGGATACCTACACTTCTTTTATACGCGTGCGAAGCCGCGGGAGAAGGCTAATTAACTGTAAATTTTGAGTTCAATGTTTTGTTTTATTTTGTTTCAGATATGAAACCCGATACCGAGGGCAATGTTTATTTTGAAGGGAGCATCCACGCAAGCGATATATGTAAGAATTTACATTTTTTTCTAATATATGTATACTTACATAAAACAACTGACTAATAATCTACATAGATATATGCCTATAAAAATGCCGTTTTCATAACCAATAAAATTTTGAACATACGGTTACGATTAAGGTACTAGAATAAACCTAAAATTTCTCACGAAATAAAATCCTAACTCGTAGAAACAAATAGAGCTCTTCTCTAACTCAAGCGTGATAATCGTTATTTTCAAAAAAATCAGTATGCCTCACAATTATTACGATAAATAAAAACCGGTATTTTATAGGTAAATATTCTGTCTAATAATAATGCTTGTGATTAAAAAAATTTGAACTCATATCTAGCCTTGTTGTTAACACTTAGAACGCCATATCAGACAAAGATGTCCGACGCTAGCGGTAGGTTAGCCTTCAATATAATTATCTAACCTATCATTTGTATTATTCTACCTTTAATAAATACACAATAAAATAATTGGTACAATAATTATTCTACTCCCCGTACGAATCAACTGTGCACCTTACCTACTGGAATTCGCCCCCTTTCTCTTTAATACGAATTATATCTATTACAAAAAAGCAAAACAATACAAACAGCTATTAAAAAGCGCTTAAAATCGATAAAGATTAATACCTAATATTTTTGTGAGAAAAATTGTAAAAACAAATCGACACAGTAACGTCACTTCACCGAGTGCACAGTTTATTTGCACGGGTATTACCTACAGCTCTCGCCAAACTTTGTGGCCGCCCTGAATATAGTCGCGAGTCCGAACTTGCGCATGGTACAGTCGAGTGGGCAATACGTAATCAACCAATCTATAATATAAAAATGGATCGCAAAATGTGTTGGTAAGCGCATAACTCAATAACGCCTGGACCAATTTTGCTAATTCTTTTTTTTGTTATATTCGTTATTGTTAGGAGATGGTTCTTACGATAGAAAACTTTATAAAAGTTAAGGGGAATATCGGGAATTAACAACCCTTTCGGTGCCGAAACCGTTCGCTTGCAAAACAAATCTGGTGGTGTCTGTCACACCGGGGTAGTGGTATGGCCATGCGAAGCAAGGGCGATCCGCTAGTATTAGTATATACGTAATCAACCAGTTTTAAAAATGTTAGAAAACGAAAATTGTTTGGTTGATTACGTATTGCCCACTCGACTGTACCGTGCGCAAGTTCGGACTCGCGACTATATTCAGGGCGGTCACAAAGTTTGGCGCGGGCTGTACTCATAAATATAAACTTTGTATATCGATAACAAATACCGACACTTTATCATTGAAAACAGACCTGTGCATAACCATTTCTGTTTCCATACCTTGAAAATAGATGGCGTTAGCGCTCTAAGGGTCATTGCCCTAAGAGCACAGATAATAAAAATGAATTGAAGACCCACCCAATTAGGACAAAGCGCGTCAAAATTTTTGTTGTTGTTTTACAGTGGATAGTGAAAGCCAGGTTATTGACGATATTATCCCTGGATTGGATAGTAACTCCAAGGTCGATTTGGATCCTCTGGCGTTCGACCTTCAAGCCCAAAGAAGGGCGCTTGTCAGACAGTGAGTAGAAAAGATTGCTCTTTGAAATAAATGGGTGGTGGATATTTTGTTTTAATGTAATAGTTTGGCAAACGAACTGATGGATTACCTGATGGTAAGCAATCAGCGCCGCCCATTGACACCAGAGGAGTTACAAGTGCGTCGCCGACATTTTACGGTTTAGAAAAGGATTGGGCCTCCGGTAACCTCACTCACACGTCGAAACAACGCTATGGTTGTTTCACGCCGGTTTTCTGTGAATCCGTGGTATCACTCCGGTCGAGCCGACCCATTCGTGCCGAAGCATGGCTCTCCCACACTTAAAAGATATATTTAATTTTAATATACTCCGGCTTATCTCTAAGCTCGATTTAGTCAGTAAGAGTCTGACGCACCGTTACGTTTCACTCAGAGCAGGAATCATTTGTCAAATCATCAAGCAATTTGATGATTTGACATCTTTAGGTACTAAAAAGGAACAAATTCTTATTAACTTTTAAACTTTCGCGTTTCATATTTACAATATATAATTACCAGGGTATTAACGCGAAAAGTAATTATTTAAATACCCTGGTCTCACGACCATGACCTGTGCAACCAGCACTGTGATTCTGTAAGACTTCATTCTAAACTTCGAATCTGAATCCGCCGTGAGTAGTAGTACACTAGCGCTACACTTGCGAGTTGAACTAAATTGACCGCAACATTTTGATAGATATAATACTACTAGCTCTTACCCGCGGCGTCGCTCCCGTAATTTGACTACCTACCCTACTCTACCTACCCTGCCTACCCTACTCTACATACCCTACCTACCCTACTCTACCTACCCTACACTTCCTAACCTACTCTTCCTACACTACTCTACCTACACTACTCTACCTACCCTACTCTACCTACCCTACTCTACCTACACTACTCTACCTACCCTACTCTACCTACACTACTCTACCTACCCTACTCTACCTACCCTACTCTACCTACCCTACTCTACCTACCCTACTCTACCTACCCTACTCTACCTACCCTACTCTACCTACCCTACTCTACCTACTCTACTCTACCTACCCTACTCTACCTACCCTACTCTACCTACCCTACTCTACCTACCCTACTCTACCTACTCTACTCTACCTACCCTACTCTACCTACCCTACTCTACCTACCCTACTCTACCTACCCTACTCTACCTACTCTACTCTACCTACCCTACTCTACCTACCCTACTCTACCTACCCTACTCTACCTACTCTACTCTACCTACCCTACTCTACCTACCCTACTCTACCTACTCTACTCTACCTACCCTACTCTACCTACCCTACTCTACCTACCCTACTCTACCTACTCTACTCTACCTACCCTACTCTACCTACCCTACTCTACCTACCCTACTCTACCTACCCTACTCTACCTACTCTACTCTACCTACCCTACTCTACCTACCCTACTCTACCTACCCTACTCTACCTACCCTACTCTACCTACTCTACTCTACCTACCCTACTCTACCTACCCTACTCTACCTACCCTACTCTACCTACTCTACTCTACCTACCCTACTCTACCTACCCTACTCTACCTACTCTACTCTACCTACCCTACTCTACCTACCCTACTCTACCTACTCTACTCTACCTACCCTACTCTACCTACCCTACTCTACCTACTCTACTCTACCTACCCTACTCTACCTACCCTACTCTACCTACTCTTTCCTATCCTATGTCCTTCTCCTGGCTCTAAACTACCTCCCTGCCAATTTTCAGTTAAATCGGATTAGCCGTTCTTGAGTTATAAGTGGTGTAACTAACACGACTTTCTTTTATATATTTAGATAATGTAACCCCGTCACATCGACGCTCATTTCACACTCGAACAAGATTCAAAATCAAACAGATTTTATAAAATCGACGAGCAGGTCGAAACGTCAAGCCTTTCAAGGTGTTTAAAAAGATACTTTTCGGGTTAACACGTTCATCGCGGAAGCCCATTTATGCATCTAGTTGATATGACGCAACGAGATCTATAAGTTCTCGTCGTGATCCATCAGGAATAACGCAACGAGATCCAGCAGATCTCGTACGACTCAGTCACTTCAAACCCCAATAGTTTTATGAAATTTAACTAATTTTATATTTTTTTTGTATGTGCAGGTAGGAGATGATCAGACCTTTCAGTAGGTTTTCACCGCCTCAAGTTATGTCGAAAACAATAATGGAAAATTTACAAAATAGAAAAACGAGAACTTTTGGATCTCGTTCTGCACTAGATAGCAAGAAAATGCGAGTACTTTTAGATCTCGTTTTGCAGATATTGCATAGTATCGATAAAAAAAATAGTGATGAGAAACAATAAGACCAACAACATTATCGATAAAATTAATCATTTATTATAATACTATAGTGTAAGGCATTAGAAACTTATAAACAGTGCAAAAAATGTCAATGTTTTTCATTAAAACATGGAAGACACATAGTTTTTTCACACTTCACATAGAAACCTTTTACGTGTTTTGTCTTTTTATCCGCTTCCTGCTAGACATTGTTTTTCGTGCCTTTTCATAGCAACTCACACAACGTCTCTTCTTGGTATTCACTATATATTTGTGTTCAGAGGTCACTTCCGGATTATCTTTTTCCAGAAAAAAAAACTCCTGTGAATTTCGTTATGATGCTTTCAATAAAATTCTTTTTTGGTAACTTATTTTTTTGCATTTACTATAGCTGTTCCAAAAATTAATTCCATCGTCAATTTTCGAAACCAGTTGACACGACACTAATTATTTTCTTGTGAGGATTCGCACGAGATCGCTACGAGATCCTTTAGTTCTCGTTCCGCGCTAGATGCAAAATTTTACTATTTGGTCGCAACGAGACCTATTAGATCTCGTACGTTTTCATTCATAAAAATACTACATCCAATGTACCTAATATGAACAAAAATATTTGTCTCACTCTATCAGTAAAGAAACATACAGAAATATCATTTGCCGAAATGGGATAGACATAGGATTTCACTTGCGCGATACTAAAACGTCACAAACGAGAACTAAAAGGTCTCGTTCCGCGTTGAACGTGTTAATACCTGCTTAATTATATGTTGTAAAATTATTATTCGTAGTAATGGTGAAATAATTGTATATGCGTACCGTACGGCCGACGTATCTTGGCGAGTCTGAAGTTAGCTGTTTGTCTGCGCAATGGATCTTTTAGGAACAAAATTGTGTACTGCGCAGCTAATCGGCTAACTTCAGACTCGCCAAGATACGTTGGCGGTATTGTACGTTTAGTTTGTGTGTGTGTGTGTGTGTGTGTGTGTGTGTGTGTGTATGTAATTTAATATCTTGGTGTGAATTCTGTACACACTTTACAGTTTTCTACACACATGTTTTTTTTATACATGAAGGAGTGTGATACTACGTAGGTACACTCCTTCACAGAGTAGCTCTTGGAAGAAAAATTCATAAAGATATATTATAGGATATTAGTAAAAACACACTTGGCAGAACACATATTTATTACCTGACGTTCTCTTGTCAACTCAAAAAAAAAGAAAATTCAAAATACTATCATAAAATGCATAGAGATTAAAAAAAGGTCGCAATACTCTTGCTCTAACACTCCTCCTTAATCTCATGCATATGATATGTACACACACATCTTTACTTTATACATGTAGTTATTACCATATTAATCATGTTCCCAAAAAGTTTATTTTTAATTAAAATTACGTTTTACTTCAATGAATTAACTTAAAAAAACTCTACTAGTTCAAATCACAAAGTATTTCTCCATTTGAAACGAGCATCTAGCTTCACTGACGAACTGACTGACAGACTATAATAATCACTGATATTAAAAGAAAAAAGGTGTAGATAGGTTACAAGCGCTCAGAAAGTGATACATTAAAATGTGGCTAATTAGCCACATTTTTTTTATATTTGTCTCTTTTTCACTCGCGATTATTGAATCATGCTATCCCACTTTAACTTGTATCATAAACTTTATTCTTGTGTGCATCAGTGCGCCGTTTTTGAAAATCTAATTTTGTTTATGTAACCTATCTACACCATTTTACTTATAAAATCATGGATAATAATATTATATTTTAGACGTTTCAAATAACCTATGGTTTAGTTTGACGTTGACTTTGAAAGCGGACTGACAGACTGACAGCTTCGCGACATCGCCGCGACTCGCACGCTGCTCATGAATAAGAGTCCCGTTATAACTTGAAACTAGTCGAGTTTTACTCAGTTAATTCACGTGAGTAACACCCGGTTTCTGAAAGGCTTAAACGCTAAAATTAACTAATCTCCTGTTAAATCTCTTGTCAAGTCATCTGATTTGTTGTTGATAATTCAGTCAACCAATCAGGTGACTTGACAAGAGATTAAATTGATTTTAACATTGATCGGCCTTTCGGAAACCGGGTGTCAATCGTTTATTTTCAGTAGCTATATTTAGTATGTCTCAAGGTGTGACTGTGACATAAAAAAAACTAATAATTATTAATCATAATGTTTTCTTTTGTTTCAGATTGAATCAAAAAATTAAAATGTCTTTGGGATAACCGTCGCGTCGCTTCTAGCAAAATGCAAAACTAACCAAATACTTTTTAACTTTAATTTTAAAATCTAAAAATATTATTAATTAGTTAGGTAGTTGTAAGTTAGAAGTAGGTAAAAAGGAATAAAAATAACTTCACACCGCAAAAAAATAAAAACTTTTTTAAAGACAAAATACACGAGGTATACTTATAAAGAAACTTGAAAAGTGACTTTTTCCGAGTTATATGTACTTTCTATGATTATTTAGACACCACTGACATGCGGTGAAGGAAAACAATCGCTAGGAAACGTGGGTTTATAAATTCGAATTATAATTTTGGAATCGCCAATCCGCCTTGAGGAAGCGTGGTGATCAAAGCTCAAATCTTCTCCGTGTGAGAAGAGACCTTTGCTCAGCAGTAGGCACTTATAGGCTGATGATGATGATCATGAGATAGATTGAGCGAGAAACGATATATCAGAAAAGAGAATGACGAAGACAATGAAGAGAAGAAAATTAATGAAGAGAAGAAGATAATGTGATGTGACTTGAGATAAAAGCAGAAATATGAATAAACAAAAGAAGAAAAGTAGAGGAAAGTAGAACTCAAATACTATGACCTTGATCATACTTTCGCACGAATGGATCGTCTTGCCTGAAGTGGTTGGGTCATCTAGGCCGGAATGATGCCAAAGCCTGACCAAAACAAAGTCTTCTTATGTAGCGTTATGTTTTGCAATGTGGCAGAACCTAATCCCCTTTAAGTCTCCAACTCTGATGAATTTGACAAATCAATTGTAACCTCACAAATAACTGGTGTTGAAAACAATTCATGTTTACGACCAGGTGTGAGAAAACCAAGCTTCGGCACGAATAGGTCGGCTCGACCGGAGTAATAACGCGACCTAACAGAACACTGCCGTGAAAGCATCACAGCGTTGTGTGTTCTGTAAATTTACTGGAAGCCCAATCCTTCTCCTCCCCCCATCTCTTCACAATATCTAAATCTTCAGAACCCTAATCTTCAAAAGTTCTCGAAATACCTCCTCTGATGTTGCGGGTGTCCATTGGCGGCGCTGGTTGCTAACCATCAGGTAATCCGTCTTTTCGATAACTAAAAAAAGGTTATATATTATGTCTATTTCTATACTACAGTATAGTTCGAAACAAAAGAAAAAAGACGGATGAGATGATTAAGTGTGGGAGAGCCATGCTTCGGCACGTATGGGTCGGCTCGACCGGAGTGATACCATGGCCTCACAGAAAACCGGCGTGAAACAACCACAACGTTGTGTTTCGCCGTGTGAGTGAGGTTACCGGAGGCCCAATCCTTCCCCTACTCCAATCCCTTCCCAATCCCTAAATCCCCAAAATCTCAATCCTTAAAAGGTCGGCAACGCACTCGTAACTCCTTCTTTGCTGCGGGTGTCCATGGGCGACGCCGATTGCTTACCATCAGGTAATCCGTCTGCTCGTTTGCCGTCCTATCACATAAAAAAAAAAACAAAATATGAGAGGATGATTGAAAAAATGACGCTGGAGAATAATACAAAGCAAAGGTTGTTGAGGATAACGCGAATTTTGAATATAGAAGTAGATTTATGAAAAGTAAAGAAAGAAGATGAATGACGGCACTTATGGCATTTTAGGAATCCGTGGTTGAGTTCAAAGTCATTTATAGCAACTAAACCATAAAAAGGTACTTTTGAAACGACAAAATAGAATAGTAGTCTGTCAGTCTGTTCGTCAGTGAAGCTAGGTGCTCGTCCCAAAATGTAGTACATCGTATTTCGCATGAACTCAAAAAGAGATCCATTCCCCCGGACCAGTGCGCAGAGACAGTCCATTCCTTGAATGTTTTACGCTCTGATACCTTTTTTGCTTACCTTGCACCCTTTTTTGTAAGGGGAAAATCATCACATGACTTCTCCCGCCTAGGATAAAGCAAAAGGGAGTGTCAGACTCTTACTGACTAACAACACCCCCGTTCCTTCTCCTGGGCCGAGGCCGCAGTGCCTTATTAACCCTGCCATGATACTTATATGTTTCCCTACATTATTAGAGATAGGAGTTTGTGATATAATGTGGTCTGATAGAGAAGAATGGATAATGCAGATTGTACTTAGGGACAAGGATGTAAAAGATAATTACCTATACAATATTTTTTTATGTGATCGGACGGTAAACAAGCAGGCAGACTACCTGATTGTTAAGAGTAACGAGTATACGTTTCTGATCTTTTGGAGATAAGGGTTTTGGGGATTGGGGGAGGAGAAGAATTGGGCCTCCGGAAACCTCAGTCACGCGGCGAAATACAACGCTGTGGTTTTTTCACGCTGGATTTCTGTGAGGCCGTGGTATCAGTCACACACAGTTAAAAATCAAAGCAATTGACAAATAGGTAATCTTTATTTAATCCAAAATTATTATTGAACCAAAACTATTTAAAAATAATCTTCCACAAACTCTTTCCCTTATTATAAAACAAGATTTATTTTTAGTCTAGGTTTAAACGATTGATGCTCGGTTTCCGAAAGCCCGATCAATGTTAAAATCAATTTAATCTCTTGTCAAGTCATCTGATTGGTTGTTTATAATTCAGTCAACCAATCAGATGACTTGACAAGAGATTAAATTGATTTTAACATTGATCGGCCTTTCGGAAACTGGGTGTTAGTCAGGTTTTGTATTTTGAATCTGGAAACCTTTCGATCGTGGTAATTTGAGACACAGTAGAAGAATATAAGAAGATGCGCGAACGCCGAAGCGCGCGCGACGAGATTTCGGCTTCAAAATTTAGCTGCAAGAATCCATTTTGCTAACAAAGTTGTAAAAAATGTACCTCGTCCATAGAACTACATACAAAAGTGAAGATATTTGTTGCAAAACAGAAAAGATCATAGTATAATTCCTTTTAGGGAATAACCTATTTAATATAATAAGTATACTGTAAATTTCTATCATAGTTATAGTGAACAAAAAATGCAATTTTAATGTAACTAACATCTAAAATATTTGGTTTAATAAAATGCAATGCGTAATAATGTGTCATTTTTTTTATTTTAAAAACTTTCCAACCCTGTTTTTTTTAGTCATCATAGAATTTGAAAAAATCGTCTCTAAGAGTTCTCCAACATTTTATGAGGAGGGAAAACGATCAAATGGCTTCTCTGATGTAGGGTATGGTAAGAGGGTTGCGAGATAAAGCGTCGCTGCGGCCCAGAGCAAAGGAGAGAGAGAGAGACCTTTATAGCTCCATCTCTCTTTCTTGTCCGGAAGATTTAACACATCATGGTAGGCCTACAGGAGAAGGAACGGGTAGAATTTTTGGTCAGTAAGAGTCTGACACTCTTGCTCACTGCTTTAGGCCGTGGCCGCGGTGCCTCATTGCGCTTGCCCCGCAACCCCGGATAAACATCAGACCTGCTGGGCTCCCCTACATTCCCCTAGGACTACTTTCCCTTAGCACACACAGCTTGCTACCCGCAGTAGTTGGAGCTGTATGCCGTCCATGCGTGGTGATTAATAACAACCATTTTTCGCGTGAGAAGAGGCGTTTGCTCAATAGTAGTCAAGGCGTATAATTTAATTGAATAAGATAATTAAAGGCAGTTTTGAACGTCAAAATATATTTGAATATTATAACTAACAAAGTGTCAGTCTGTCCTTTACTTTTTTATGAGGGCAAAATCATCAAATGACTTCTTGGTGAGAGGAAGTGTCTCTTACAGCTAAAAATACCCTGTTCCTTCTCCTGCTCTGGGCCGAGACCGCGGTGAATCATTGCGCTTGCCCCGCAACCCCGGCTGAACATCAGCCCTATAGGGCCCCGTCTGTGATGGTCTATTGGCTCTTTGAGGCGGCGCAGAACGCTACACGCCGTACGCTAGGGTCTGGTTCTGGTCGGGCGGTGAACTACCCTTACTCCTAGACCCGTGAGTCTGTCCTTTACTTGCTGTTACTTATATATCCACTGCTGAGCAAATACTTTATATAGGCTGATGGATGGATCTGGATGTGAAACCTAATTTACGGACATGCACCTTGAGATGGTCGACGTACATTCTCGTAGAAACTATGAATAGTGTGTGTGGCCTTAGTTTTTTTAATATATACTATTATAGCCTATAGCACTTAGGAACATTGTAACTATCTATCAGTAAAATAATTTTGGCAATCCAACCAGTGGTTCCAGAGATTACCCCCCTACATACAAACTTACAAATTCTACCTCTTTGTAATATTAGTATAGATATAGATTGGTCGGCAAACCAGCCGTCACCCTTCCGTCCAACTGGATTACCTGACGGTAAGTAATCGGTACTACAAGTGCGTTACCGGCCTATTGTGGGTTATAAGGATTTAAGGATAGGACATTAGAGGATTGAGAATTGTGTATATATGTACACATAGACAAACAAAAATTATAGTAAAAACACAAGGAACTTAGGGAAGAAAGTACATATTCGTATGCATCTTGCCTACATGATACAGTAATCGCTCAGCATAATGCTGAGACTCTATACGAGACAAAGCCTCTTGCGCTGATTTTGTGCGAAAGTCGTAGCTAATGTGAGGGCGTCCGTTGGGGCATTTATGAATCAATAAATAAAATGCAAGATCATGTTATTCCCATTTTCTATTAAGTGAATATGTCCGGTATACCCGGAGGTTAAGGCGCCGCTTCTCATGCATGAGGGTGCGGGTTCGAAACCTGGCAAGTATCAATGTGACTTTTTCCGACTTATATGTACTTTCTATGACTACCTAGACACCACTGACATACGGTGAAGAAAAACATCGTGAGGAAACCTGGACGTATAATTTCTAATTGTAAGTTTGAAATCGCCAATCCGCCTTGACCAAGCGTGGTGATTAAACCACCCATCAAACCTTCTCCGTGTGAGAAGAGGCCTTTGCTCAGCAGTGAGTTCTTATACAACGGGAAACAAGCAAACGGTTTACCTAATGTTACCCATTTGCCGCCCCATAAGCATTCGCAACACCAGAAGATTAGTAAATGCGTTGCCATGGAAAAGGGGCCTTTTGGGGAAAAGGGGTTTTGAAGATTAATGGATTGGAAAGGAGCTCTGAGCAGGAGAAGGGACGGGGTAGTTTTAGACAATAAAAGCGTGACACTCACTCGTGCCTAACCCAGAGCGGGAGAGGTCATTTGATGAATTACCCCGGGAATAAGAGTCCCGGTGTGACTTGAAACTAGTAGAGCTTTTCTCAGTTAATTTACGTGAGTAAGTCGTTACTTTTGTGGCGTCCCTGGGACCCACAATTAGTATTGTTAATAGAATATCAGATACTAGCTACTCTCGCGCGGTTTCACCCGCTCCTCGTCTGCATTTGATCTTAGCGTGATGTTTTATAGCCTATAGCACTCAGGAACAATGTAGCTATATATCAGTGAAAGAATTTTAGCAATCCGACCAGCTGTTCCAAAGATTTCCCCCTACATACAAACTTTCAAATTTTACCTCTTTATAATATTAGTCTAAATAGTATAGATTGTTTATGGTCGCCATTGACTATCTATGGTTTTAATTTTGCCAGAATAACATTGGCGGGCGGTTAGACATGTAAGGAGAAGACGACAAGTTGATTACAAGTATTTAACATGGAACACATATTTTATTTATAAGTCCACCTATAATTTACCCGGCGTACGAAACCAAATTTTTAACTAAATTTGCTTAGTATCTCTCACGATAAGTTTTTTTTTTTACTTGCTTGACTGCGATCCTACTGAAACTAGTGCTTGACTGCGATCCCACCTGATGGTAAGCAGTGATGCAATCGTTGATAGTAAGGCGCACTAGTTTATTAAGAGCCTATTCACTCTAGCCTTGAAGACACCTAAATTGTATTCGGACGGAAAGACTGCAGCCGGCAAACTGTTCCAATCCCTCGATGTATGCGGTATAAATGACGAGGCAAAACGCTTAGTCCGGGCCGCAGGTGTCTCAACAACGTAAGGGTGGATATTCGCCGTACGCCGGGATGTCCGAAGGTGAAATTGGGATGGCGGAATCGAATCGTGCAATTCCTGGGCACACTCTCCAAAATGCAAAAGTCAATGTCTAATCATTTCTTTTAATCAGACCATTAAAGGCACTTAAGAACATTAAACAAAATAACTAATTATAAGAAGTTAAAAAGTGTCCAATCAGTCTATCGGTCTTTTTTTTCGCCCTAGGTGGTGAGTGAATGAGCCCCGGAAGGTGAATGACACTTTTACTGACTAAAAACCGCTCTGTTCCTTCTCCTGCTCTAGGCCGGGGCCAAGATACATTATAGCCTCGACCCGCAACCCCGGCTAAGTCTGTCGGAGTATCCTTCATAGTCGAGAACCTATTTGCTCATTCCAAAGTTAAGATTCCTATAGAGAAGAATGAACAAAGTAAGTAACTTTCTATACAAAAATAATTAAGTATGAGAGAGCCATGCCTCGGCACGAATTGGTCGGCTCGACCGGACTCATACCACGGCCTCACAGAAAACCGGCATGAAATAACCACAGCGTTGTATTTCGCCGTGTGATTGAGGTTACCGGAGGCCCAATCCTTCCCCTATCCCCATCCCTCCTCATTTCCAAAATCTGCAAATGTCTAACCCCCAAAAAGTCGGCAACGCAATCGTAACTCCACCGTCGTACCATCAGGTAATCCATTTGCTCATATACCGATCAAATAAAAAAAATGTGGTAGGGTCAGTTCCTTTGAACATTAGGTTCAGAATACTCACTACAATCTATAAAAATGAATTAAAACCTTTTAATTAAACAAACAACATCAACCAAAACAAAATGAAAACATCTCTTCAAAAAAAATTCTTTCTTTTAAGTTTGAAATTTAAAAAAAGAACTATGGAAGCAAAAATGGCGGCCGATAAGCTATTGTTTACGAAATATTGTTCACTTGCTTACAAACCTATCGAGGAACCAGACGCGCGTCCATTGTGAGTATTTAAGGAAAAAAGTGTATTACATATTTCTTTATTGATAAGGTTCTTTATGTTAAACTGGTGCTCTTTTGCCTAAATTTGTCTTATTCTGCTGCTATCTGTACTGGCTGCATTCATAACCCTTATAATCCGAATAAATAAGTATGCATGTTAATTATTATGTTTTCGGCTTACTCACGTAATAATTTAACGAGATACTCGACTAGTGTCGCGCTGCTACAGTCGCCGAGTCGCGTGTCGCGGTTCGCGGAATGCTCATGAATATGGGCCTCTAGCATGGCTTGAAACTAGTCGAGTATCTCGTCAAATTATTACGTGGGTAAGTCGAAAACATAATAATTAATTTTGAATGTCTCACGAAAGTTATAATAAAAAAAGTATGTATGTATTTCAAAATCACTTACAATTTTGAAAACTGGACTCTCTATTTCTAAGACTCTGTTTTCCATCCATGTTTCACTTACTAGGTCTCTATCTCATAGCTACACAGCTCTGTCTGTATAGATAATATATTTCTTTTGCCGTTATATCAATACAGACTAAAAAAGCTATTTAAGGGTAGGTTTCCATAAATAAAAAGTTAAAAGTGAGTACTATTTTTTGCTCGAATTAATACAAACTAATAATTTTATTATAAATGCGAAAGTAACTCTATCTGTCTGTCTTTATTTTCTTCACGCCTAAACTACTGAACCTATTTGTGTGAAATTTGGAACAGACATAGTTTGGAACTCGAGAAAGGATATAGGATAGTGTTTAAACCAAAAATCAGCAGCAAGTCACTATACCACGCGAACAAAGTCGCGGGCAAAAGCTAGTAAATGAATAAATGGAACGGTGCGCGAGTTCTTCGCGGGGCTTTTGTTTGTTTTGTTCTGTCTTCTTAGAATATAAACCCAACTTTCATATATAGTATAACCTATGAAATTGCCGTTCTGCAGTACTGGCCATTTCAAATCAAAATAGTTTTTGTAAGGCTTAGGCTAATTAATTTTGTTTTAAAAACATGGGATTCTTTTTCCAAACGTAGTCATTTGTTTATTGATTAGTGTTACATTTTCATCGCATTTCAAATAAAAAAATTCGTTTAATTTTTTTAATGCCAAACGGCAATTTCATAGGTAAAGACCTATTATTATATGAATACAAATACATTATATATGTCACCGGAAAATAACAAGATCCGTAAGTTTATCAATTTAGTAAGAAGTTTATAAACTTTCGTAAGATTCTAAACGGGAGGTAAATTGTAATATTTTACGTCCACATTTTCGTAAATTGATAAACTTACTGAACTCATTCGTAAAATAATAAGTAAGCAGTAACCAAACGCTACGCGCGATCTGATTGGTTGGCTGTCACGTGTCACTTCTATGGACACAAGCATTGCCACTATGAACGTTGACCAATCAGAGAGCAGTGTGTTATTTTACGTATCTCAAAGATCGTATATTTAAAAGAGTTTCTGTGATTGGTCGAACCATATAAAATCTTACGAATATATATTCGTTAGTTTATAAATTTACCGTATAACGTCGGAAATTGATAAATTTACGAAAATATGGACGTTAAATATTACAATTTATCTCCCGTTTAGAATCTTACGAAAGTTTATAAACTTCCTAGTAAATTGATAAACTTACGGATCTTGTTATTATCCGGTGACATATACATAATAATATTATGTTGGTAACCAATGAGTCTTGCTTACTCTAACTTTAAAATTTGATGTTTTTTTTTCAGATATATAACAACAACTTCAATATTCTACCTATGACACGATGCGATTACGACGCTGTCTTCTACAGGGTGTTTTGTATCACACTGTTGGCCATAGCGTTTACTTTCACAGTGATACTGACCAATGTTTTCATAGATATTGATGGATTACTTGCTAGTAAGAAAGGTATACTTATTTTAAAACGTTACCTAAATTTCAATTCGCGCCGAGAAGTAAAACAAAGCGGTGCGCGCTTTAAAAACTGAGAACTAAAAATTTTAATTTTGAATCAAAAATTGTTCACGTTTACACAGGAAAAAAGTTGTGGTACTTTAAGCCATATAGACATAAACATAAGGTTCAATACCTAAGAGCTTCGATGGTGAAGCGATCGCTCGTCGCTGCTAGACGCATTGCAATACACTTGTATCTTGTTATTTTTTTTTTAATTCGCTCTTTTAGGAGCGTTTACGCACCGTGGATTTTTTGTTGTCAGGGGAAAATCATCAAATCGCTTCTCCAGTGTCAGACTCTTACTGACTATAAAGGCTCCCATTCCTTCTCCTGCTCTAGGCCGAGGTCGCGGTAACTCATTGCGCTTACCCCGCAACCCCGGCTGAACATCAGCCCTATAGGGCCCCGTCTGTGGTGGTGTATTGACTCTTTGAGGTGCGCGCAGAACGCTACGCGCCTTACGCTCGGGTCTGGTTCTGGTCGGGTGGCTAACCTTACTCACCGTCCACAGACCTACGCTTACAGTAACCGGAGATCATCTCACGACAAGCAAAAAGACCAACTCAAAAAACAACCATCTGTTTAACAATATACGTGACGACTGGTTCACTGGTCTATTAGACCTTATCTCTCATAATGGCGCTTCGAGCGTTCCCATCTCTCCCCATTAACATATGAGCATTATGTACGGTAAATGCACGAGTAAACTAGACCCTTTAAAACCGTCGCGTTACGTGGCTTCTCAGTGTGAATTAACCCCAATAGTTTTTAGCTGATGGCTATACGTCTAAAAGTTCTTTTATTTCTCTGTAAAGCTGCACATATCAAACCTCACCTTTTCTAGGTTGTGATATGAATTTCGAATAAAATCAAGTTTATTTCAAACTCCAACTTCATTTAACTACAAAATTTCCAAAAAAAACATAAATACATACATAAATGTCATCTACCGGAGCTGGGGATCGAACTCGATACTATATTCCCGACAGTCACACTAGTCAAACTCAACCATTGAGTCAAAGTTTCCGATAAAGGTCCACCCAGTAGGGAAATGCATTTTAGACGCTTCCCAAGCCAGTGATATGCATACCAAAGTCTAAAAATAAACAAAACCATTAATCATTACAGTTATGCATATCAACTAATTAACTTTTAATGACTTTGCAGACAGACACGACACGCATATTAATGACGATGTAGTACATGATGAATTTACTCCAGAAGGTAACGATATTAATGAAGAAAACAATTACGGCGAAAATGATGATTCATATAGAACCAAGCGATCCATTGGTAAGATGCTTAATTACTTTAAAGATAGTCCAGTCAACAAGGATGTAGCGAGGTTGACTGTCCAGGCGACACACGTACTTAGGTATCGTCATGAGCTAATGTTCACATGTAAACAGCAGCTCATGTAGTGTAGATGTCCAGTCAACAAGGATGTAGCGAGGTTGACTGTCCAGGCGACACACGTACTTAGGTATCGTCATGAGCTAATGTTCACATGTAAACAGCAGCTCATGTAGTGTAGATGTCCAGTCAACAAGGATGTAGCGAGGTTGACTGTCCAGGCGACACACGTACTTAGGTATCGACATGAGCCAATGTTCACATGTAAACAGCAGCACATGTAGTGTAGATGTCCAGCCAACAAGGATGTAGCGAGGTTGACTGTCCTGGCGGCACATGTACTTAGGTATCGTCATGAGCTAATGTTCACATGTAAACAGCAGCTCATGTAGTGTAGATGTCCAGTCAACAAAGATGTAGCGAGGTTGACTGTCCAGGCGACACACGTACTCATCCACAAAGACTATGGTGGAGTTGATCTTACTATATATTTTGTTTTAGCAGAAACCCAAAGTTTCTTATTCCATATAAAGAATCCAAAAGTCAAAAACATACTAGCCAATAAGCTATCAGCTCTGCTAGAAGAATTGGATACAGGTGAAGCTGCGGATGATAAAATTAAAGAGAAGAAACCTAAAGAAGTCCAAAGAACATCTGAATCTCCACCGTATACACCAAAATTAATTGAAGATGATAAAAAGAAGAAAGATGATGAGCTACTTCATTTGACGATGCACAACATTCTTCTGCAAGGAATCATAGGTCATATGGATTTGAATGAGGTTTATAAACGTGTCTATTCGTTAATGTCCAATTTCAATGATTTGCAAAATAAGAGAGGTGAGATATATATTTTTTGAATAGTAACTATCGTGAAATATAGGTTCGTAATTTATTGAAATCGAAGATAGTCAGGCATTTTAACTGAGAAAAGTTATTTTCGACGTCAGCCGACGTTTGCTGCGACGTGCACGCTGTACTCGGATAAGAGTTTCGTAACTTTAAGCTAGTTTCTCATTTTTTCTCTCATCACTTGAGAGAGTTGCTCCTGCCTAGTGTTTTCTCCTGTGTTATGGTGGCGTTTACAAACATACAATTTCACATAACACACAATCACCAGACTCGAAACAGTAATCGGTGGATCACACAAACAGTTGTTGCGTGCAGGAATCGATCGAACCCGCGACACGTTGCGCGGCAGCCAGTTGCACAGCCACGGCGCCAACCGTGCAGTCTAGTAATGATGAAATTGTCTAAATATTTCATTTTTTGGCCGTGACACTTTTTGACTGTCCTAATTTTTTTAAACTGTGATCCGCCTGACAAATTTGAAGATTATTGCAAACCGTTTAGTATAATAGATGAGATCAATACTCCAACACAGTCTTATGATGATGATGACGATGAATATTTTCTTACAGATGGACTGAAACAGAAACCAGATGAAAAATCAAATGTTGATACGGAATCGAGGATACTACCTAAACCTATTGAAGCGAAGTTGTTTGACGAAATGATGAATTGTAAAGAACTGCAGGAACAAATTGTTGAAAGCGCTACAGTGAAGGAAGAAATCAAAAAGCCAGTAAAAGGTAATGAAAAACCGATGGTCGCGTTGTTGGAGATCAATGAACGTCATACAGCTAATATGATGAGCTACAATCATAATTTAGTTTTGAATTTGAAAACAAAGCCCAGATGTAATATTCCTTTAGCTATTGTTAGTCTGATCGTAATAGAAGATGAGATATTTTTATAACAGCGACAATTAAACAATCCTTAGAAATCATGAAAGGGTAGAAGGATAAAATGTTACAATCATTTTTATCCAGAATTGCTAAGAATATGGCCCATACACTTAATGTGGAGAAAGCTAATTGTTGTACACCAGGAACGATCTCACACTTCATACTATTAAAGAGATTTTTTGGAAGACAGTTCCGCTTTGATTGATTTTTGTAATTGCTAGACATCTTCAGCGAGGCGCCAGGGTTGTAAGTAGAAGAAAGAACGGAATGGTTTTAAGTCAGTAAGACTCTGATAATCCCTCTCGCACCATCCAGGGCCAGATCAATAATTTCATGATTTCCCCAAATATCCAGCGATCTAGGAAATTGATATACAACATGTTATTTTTTCAGCCAAACCTAACGTGATGATTAAGACTATAATAGATATATCGTCGTTAACAAATGAGAAGGCAAAGGAAAATGACACTAAGTAAGTAAATGCACATGTTAAAGTATTGTTTTTTATGTGATAGGTCGACAAACGAGCATACGGATTTCCTGATGGTAAGCAATCAGCACCGCCCATGGACGTCCGCAACGGAGGACTTACGAGTGCGTTGCCGACTAGGGATTAGAGATTTGGAGATTGAGGGGTTGAGGAGGGATTGGGGGAGGGGAAGGATTGGGCTTCCGGTAACCTCACTCACACGGCGAAACACAACGCTGTGTGTTTCACGCCTGTTTTCTATAAGGCCGTGGTATCACTCCAGACGAGCCGACCCATTCGTGCCGAAGCATGGCTCTCCCACACTTATTATTCACTGTTATTAAAATAAAACAAAGTACTTTCAAAGAAATTTCAACTTTAGTAGTTTAAGCACTAGGAGAAAAAATCTTCAAAAACCTAATCCCGAAAAGTCCGGGAACGCAATATTAACTCTGGTGTTACGGGTGAGCACGGGCGGCACCAGTCCTATCAGAATAAATAAACACTTTTTGACTTTACTCCCCATTTTAAAAGGGGGATGGTAGCGGTGCCTAGTAATTTTATTCTTTATACTCGTATTACTCACGTGTATATCCATTTTATATTTTTATACATTTTTACCTAGTAAACTCAAACTCAAACTTTACCAAACATTGCAAATGTCTAAACCACTTCAAATTAATTTCAGATCATCAAAGGACAACGTGAAAGGTGTTATAGAACTTGTATACAACGGCAAGACAATTAAATTTACAAGCCCAGACATGGAATCATCTCCAATGCAACCATCATCACCGAAATATGTTCCAATAATTCCACCAAGAGTGCAACAACCAAACAAAATAATACCAGAGACCACTTCTGCAAAAGCTAATGACGATTACAAATCAGTACCGAAAACGTATTTAAATAAATTCATTGAAGAATACTTTAAAACATTTCCAAGAGATAAGTTCAAAGATTTAAACAATGAACTTAAAGAACATTATGAAACCAAACGGTTTAAAAGACACGTAAGAATTAAGTACGATAATCAGCCTACAAAAAATCTAAAGAAACCAATCAAAAATACCTCAGAAGATGAGTTGTACGTTGAAATAGAAACACATTTTGATAGCAAAGGTCTAAAAGGTGAAAAAAAGAAGCAATTGATTAGAACTATTATTGATAAGATTCAGAAAGCCATACATTCTGATATGAACGGTAAACTTATAACTCCGAAAAAAGACTCAAATAAAATGACACGAGCACTTTACAAAAAACGCCTTCAAGATCCTTTGGAACATAAAAGTAATCATGTTCTAGTCAACAAATATAGCTTTCCGTTGAAAAAATTCATCCACCGTCAACTAAACCCTATCAGTAAGTCAGTGTCAATGCAAGAGAGCTCACAGTACATTGGTATTAAATCTGGAGAGGAATGGAAGAAACCATACTTCGAACCACAATATTTAGCTGCTAAAAAGGCAATAAAATCAGAAATGAGTGAAGTAGATGTTGATTATAGTAAAGTTGTAGACATTAATACTATACCTCAGAGATTACAACAGCCCTTGAACTCAGATAATAGCGGAGAGAATCTAAATACAAATTATTTTGATGAAATTGGTAAGATGAACTTTTTCATCAAAGACATTGATGGGTCTGGTTTCTCAGTTGGCTTCAATCAATATGTTGATGAACCACCAGATCCAGATACCATGAAATTGTTCACAGGCTTAGAAAATGTTATACAGACATATCATCAGACTTATGATCCTTTACCTGAAGCCTCACAAGATAGTTTCACAAGAGAAGCTAAAGTTAAACCAGAAAATCCACCGAACACCTCAAGTAAGGCCGAACATAATATAGAAAGGAGATCCGTAAACAAGAATCACGATTATCATTCCAACGAATACAAAATAATTTACGACAATAATTTCATGCCTTACCACAGTTATCGTGACATTTTCGAATCTAACAAAATCCAGCCAAAGAGCAAATTAGCTTTCACTTCTCATAGCAATTTAAAACTACCATTAGTCGTTGACGAAAATATTTTTGACAAAAATTTAAAACCAGCTGAAATATTTGGTCTCGCTGATTTGTTTGAAAGAAAGAAAAGATCTATAAGTGTAAAGAAGATATCGAATTTGAAAAATAAAATCAAGTTGAATAGGTATTTGAATACAAATGCTATGCCGACGAAGCGAATCTATTTAAATAAGAAGAGAAATAAGAGGCAGATTAATAAGATAAGGATTATAGCAACGGACTTGCCACATATGTCTAAGCATTCTGATGAAAATGTTTTTGTAGTATCAGATGAGAATGTATTTGCTGATAGAGCAATTGTAAAAGATATTGAGACATCAGAAGGTGATCATGATAAGCAAGAAGACTCCGATACTCTTCCTTATCAGAGCGAAGATAATAATATGCCTTCTTCTTATATTACCAAATTATTCGATGGCCGCTCCAGACACAATCCATTAATGTCCAAATATCCCCACGTTTTTATGGAAGAAATATCTCGATCCAGAGAAGAATACATGCCAAATCATGGTTTGCTTTTCGGTAAAATTCCTGCTTTATCTACATTAGGGCATGGTTTTGAAATGGGAAAAGATGATGATAAATTCGACTTAGAGCATTTGAATGTTTCTAATACTGCAGATGCACGCAAAAACATTAAAGATGAAGAAGATGCTTCAATCCCACCGGCTAACAGAGCTAATTATAAAGTAACAGTTAAAATCATACCTAAAAACCAAACAGGCTTGCATTCAGGATTTAAAGAAATACACACAAGTATCAATAAAAGATATAACAAGAATGGTTTGTTGTATTCTTCTCTGGTAAACGTATCAGAAATATCAAACATTATAAAAGTTAATAGAACAAAAGAAGAAAAAGAAGCGGACGTTAGAAGTGGACAGCACGGAAACTATTATACCACAATAATGAAAGAACAACAAGACAAAATGTCTTTCCTTCTAAGGCAACACGCGAAACACATAAACGAACAACTAAGCAGACTAAATCAAGAAAAGATTATTCTACAATCCATGTTAAACAATAATAATTTGACTAATATCAAATACTTAGACGATGATAGCATTGGAACTCCTAAGCCGTATTTACTTAAACTGCCATTAAAAATGGAAAATAGTCATGAAAATGAACCAAAGGAAGAAGTCAGAACAACAACTGGAATGCTGAGAACTGTTATGCCTACAACAATAACGACTGTCTTACCCACAACTACAACAACGACAACGACCACACCTAACCCAATCATACAACAACAAACGTTTTCGGAGAACATCAAAAAGCACATAATAAGCACTATCGAAAGAAATGGCAACTTAACAGATCAAATACTAAGAAAGATTGACAAAAACACGGAAATATTGCAGATATTTTTGAAAAGACTAACAGAAAAAATACAAGTGACGACTTCGAAACCAGTGACAAGGTATGCGGAGACGTTTAATAACGAATGGAAGAAGCAAGGCGAGGATTTCAATCACAATATGGTGATGAGAAAGAATGACACCCACATATCAATACCATTCGTCTACGCGTACCAACAACCGATAATGCCGCACAAAATTAACACTCCAGTTGCAAGCGTGATATACCACGGACACATACATACTAACACAATTCATCCAAAAGAAACGCCAATTGAAAAATTAAATGTTATTCAAAAAATAGACCAGAATAATCAGTCCAGATTTTTTATTGATGAAATGGAAAATGATTACAAAGTTATACAAGTTGGTAATGTTAAAAAAAATAGGGAATATAATTTGGTCAACGCCAGTAATAATACTATGGCTTAGTTTTTTGATGATGTTTATTTGGATGTCCATGAAAACATTGAGCTTAGGGATAATACTGATAATGTCGTGCTAATTAATTATTTGTACGTGCACACTGAACGTATCTGTGTACATTAAAAACTTGTTTATACTTTCTTATTAATGTTTATAGTTTTGACAAATAAAATAGAAGATTTTTTTAAATATTGTTTTTATTTTTACCGCAGATTCCGTTGCGTCAATGAGGTTAACGGAGGCCCAATTTTGCCCTATCCTGTATCCTTTTATCTTTAAAAACATAATAGGCCGGTGACCAACTCGATTCCCTATAATATGGTTGAGTTGGGCGGTGCTAGTGTACGTGTCATGATAGTGAACGGGCGTCATCAATTGGGACTCGTTAACTCAAGACTACCTTCTACGACTACCGTCTTTGAGGTTATTTTTAACCGACTTCAAAAAAAGGAGGAGGTTCTCAATTCGATTGTATTTTTTTTTTTTTATGTTTGTTACCTCAGAACTCCGTCGTTTATGGACGGATTTGCAAATTTTTTTTTATGATTAAAAGGATAGGCTTCCAGATTGGTCCCATTCTTTTCAAAATCAAGTTTTGATGATGGGATCCATGAGAAATCGAGGGAACTCCTCAAATATTATAGGCAACTATATAGTAATTTTAATATTTTCATAGAGCACTCAAGCACTTACAGTCAAAAAGTAATATTTGATGAGGTAGAACTGGTGAAGAAGATCAGAAATGGGTGATGAAACTTGACACTCGCATAGATATCACAATCAAGGTAGTTAAACAACTATGAAAATGCACTGTAAACCAATGATCTTAAATAACTATGTTGAAAATGTTATCATCCAACTGATCTAATCATGATGATGGAGCTGGAAGGTAGGCACTGGAACTGCGTACCTTATTTATGTATCCTAGCCGTGTTTGGGCTTGTTAGAATTGTTATAAGATGCACTTTGGCTGTAAGGTACTATTGAACTGATGTGATGATGAAGCTGGAAGGTGGAAGGTTGGCATGGGAACTTCAAAATAGAATAATGTATCCTAGTATTGTTTAAGCTTACTAGAGCTGTCAAGAGCAATGGAAAGGGCTATGCTCGGAGTTTCCTTGCGTGTTCGAATCAGAAATGAAGAAATCCACAGAAGAACCAGAGTCACCGACATAGCCCGAAGAAATGCCAAACTTAAGCGACAGTGGGCAGGACACATTGCTCGTAGAACAGATGGCCGATGGGGCCGAAAGGTTCTAGAGCGGCGACCGCACACCTTTGGGGGCGGAGTTTGGCCACAGTATAAATATCATACAGTATTGTAACTCGGCCGCTTGAAAGAAATAAATACCTACAGCCGCGCGGTACGTAAACATGCGTTAGGGCTGCTCGTCTCCAGTATTTTAATTACCTTTGTCTACTTTCTGTTTCCATTTAGTTTTGTGATTGTAAATATCCATTTTTATATAAACATATAAAGTGCTTTAAAAATAAACAAACAAAATTTCTTTGGCCACTAATGCCGAACTGAACAGCTGACTACGAATGTTCTAAAATCACAACCCTCAAACATCAAAATATTACATGAGTCTAGCTGTTTTATTGTTGTTATTAAATATTTTCTAGTATTATTCATAAACGCAGATAATAAACAAATATTATTAATAATAAAATACCACACTCTCTACTTTGAATTATACAAACTAACAAAACATACATGAACCGTTTTAACACAAGCGTAAGTAGGTAGGTACCTAACGTATCATGATTCATTCAGAACCAGAACCGCCTATAACTACCTATTTCACTCGTCTCAATAACTTTATTCATATTATTTATAAATTCAAACATCTGTTTTCGTGAGATAACTGGAAATAATGATCCATAAAGACCATCGATCACTAATAAAGAATTCTTCTTCTTTCTTTATTAGTTCGTTCTTTATTACTTCGTTCTTTATTAGTGATCGATGATAAAGACACACATTATGTACCTACCTAGGCTACTAGTAAGTAAAATTATTTTATATTATTTGTCATACCTTTCAGAGTTTCCAGGTAATTTAAAAAAAACTTATGTCTGGATGCGTTATTGACGAATTCATGCAACCAAACATAATAACAGCACAATATTTCCTATTCGTCATATTAAATAATGTACTCGAGCTGATTTCTAAATAAAAGACAACACACCGTCCGTTCGTCACTGCGGTACAGCCGCGTCTGTCTGCGTCCCGAGCGCGTCCCGACATCGGGCGCGTAGGTATAGTTCGCGTTTCGACCGTTTCTATGAAGTTGAAATACTTGTAGATATTATTACCTTGGTTTGGCCTAGTATTGGCTATTTTGCATTAGTCCACGTGGACTGCGTTTACACATTAGTGTTGAAATGAGTCATAGTGTTCTTATCGTTTTCCTGGTTAAGACAATTCATTGGCATTTTTAACAAAACAGTCGTTTTAAATGGGTTACAAAACAATAATTGCGTCGTACAAAACAATAATTGTGTCTCTTTTGTGTGCACATATGTAGATAATACTTAAAAAAGGTTCATACATTGAATGAGTCATAAATGTATATATTTACAATAGCGGTGGTCTTTTGTATTTTTACCAACTTGTATATATATGAATGTTCTTAGTAATAACAAAATAGTTTTCTTCATTTAATGGGTTACAATTGATACAAAACAATAATTGCATCGGTCTTTTTTCTATGTACGAATGTATTTAATCATACTAAAATAGATTGCATAACGTTGGTATTTGAATCTGTCTGTTGATGAAAATATCTAGTTTTTTGTTATTTTGCGAGAACTAATATGAATTTATGATAAGATTATTTTTTTTATTTTAACCATAAGAATCATAAGTATTTAAAGCATCATATCATCTCTCCTCGAGATCAAAACGATTACTTACACTGTAACAATGCACCTATGATATGTATTCCTACTTAAATGACATTGGTAACTTTTTCAAAAGAAATGTAGTAACGATATTGACTTCGTTGTCATAACACATTATAATAAAAAAAACACTAAACGGCTACAAATAAAAAAAAATTTACAAAAAAAAACCGCCTTCAAAAAAAGTCAAGTAATAAAGGTTCCGACTCCAAAAATAAGTAATAAATTTTGAATATTTGCAAAATATTACCTAATGACAAATAAGTTTACCTATAAATTAAATTTGTTTACAGCAGTTCAAATTTTTATTTTTTACTTTTTAGTGTAGGAATTTTTATTACTTGACTTTTTTTGAAGGCGGTTTTTTTTTTGTAAAATTTTTTTTTATGTTATTCAGATTCTTTGACTAACATTTAGTGATACACTGTTCTCACATACATATAATAGAACCTACCAAGTGACGAAGCTAACAAAGAAATGAATTGTGAAACTGATTGAAAGAAACTCCATCTTTAATGGAGTTACAGGTCTATTTGTAAAGTTTGAATGAAATTCCATGCCACTCTAAATTGATTTCTTTTTATGTGATACGACGGCTTGTTAAGCAGTCATCGCCGCCCATGGACACCTTCAACAACGGAAGACTTACGTCAACCTTTTGGGAATTTGGAGATTCTTGAATTGAGGGAGGATAAGAATGGGGCCTCCAGTAAACTCACTCACTCACACGGCGAAGCACAACGCTGCGGTTGTTTCACACCGTTTTTCTGTGAAGCCGTGGTATCACTCCGATCGAGACGGCACATCCGGGCTGAAGCATGGCTCTCCTACACTTAAAATTATATGGATTATCTCCAATAGTTGGTACTTCCTCCGACACAGACATCCAACAGCTGATTAGTGACCACAGACTAAATAAATGAGGTATCAATTAAAAATATAACATTTGCAGTCTCATTTTTATCATCCTCTTTATCAGGTCATCACAAAAACTAGTTTCACCATAATTACCTTATTTTTATCTGACCAGTTTAATGCCGTTATGTGTTGTGATTCTATATTTTTTATATTTATAGATTTATAGGGTTTCAGATATATAAGGATTGGGAAGAGATGGGGCATGGGAAGGTATTGGGTCTCAGGTAACTGCCCTTACACGGCGAAACGCTGTGGTGGTTTCACGCCGGTTTTCTGTGAGGCCGTGGTATCACTCCGGTCCCGAGCCGACCCATTCGTGCCGAAGCTTGGTTCTCCCACACTTGGCTGCATATTTCTAAACTACGTTATACTGAGTAAAGTAAGTTATTAAGACTTTGGAACTAGGATTCGATTATAATTTTGGATAAATACTTCATGCAAGCAGTCTTGAGTTGACCAGTCCCAATTGACACCCAAGTTCACTGCAATGCGTTACGGGGAAGGGCAGCCCCCTTCGATGGAACGATGACCCGACGACAAATTCAAAGGGGCGCCAAAGTTGAAAACTCCTGCCTTCCCTGATGCAAACTATCACTATGGTGAATATATATTATTAGAATCACTCTTTTCTTTTGTATTTATCTCAATACATTTAGATTTTTTTATTTCGTATTAGGCAGGCATTTGGAGGTATTCCACGGTGGTAAGCGATTACTTTAGGCATGTTATGACTTGCTACAGTTCAAACCTGACAAGTACCACTGTGAGAAACCACTTACACTATCATCATCAGTATACCTAGTCTAGCCATAAATACTGTAACAATTTTTTTTTAAAAAAAAAAAAAAAAACGTTGCCCCACTGTAGGATTTTCTCCTGTGTTGTGGGTGCGTTTACAAACATACAATGTCACATACACATGACACCCAGACCCGAAACAACAATTTGTGGATCACACAAAGTGTTGTTCCGTGCGGGAATCGAACCCGCGACACGTTGCACGGCAGCCAGTTGCCCAGCCACCGCACCAACCGTGCAGTCAAATTTCTATTGCAAATAACATTTATTACTTTTACAGTATGTAAGTTTAATACATAAATATAAAACAATTTTAAACATAAAAAGCTTATTCGAAGTGGTCTCCATTGGCTGCAATATAGTCCTTTAAACGTTGAGGCCAGTTATCAATAGAAGCACGCACTCTTTCCATGGGAAAATTCTTCACTGCCAATCGTATGGATTGTTTTAGGAAGTCCAAATTATCATGACGTTTAGAGCAAGCCCTACTCTCTAAAACTGACCATAAATCATAATCCAGCGGATTAAGATCGGGACTAGACGACGGCCGGTCTTCAGCTCTGATGAAGTTGGACACATTCGTTTCCAACCAAGACTGCGTGGACCGAGATTTATGACCCGGCGCCGGCATGGTGTTGTTAAGGGGCTTAACTACCTTCTCAAGAATGGTATTTTGATACACTTGTGCCGATGTTTTGATACCTTTTTTGCAAAAGTATGGCCCAGTCACTCCTTTATAGCTAACACCCCACCAAACCATCACCGAAATCGGATAATGCCCACGTTGCACTCTATCGACTAATTGAGAAGCTTCCTTAGAGCTTTGAGCATAAATACGGTCATTTGTTTGTTAAAATGTTGCTCAATTGTAAAAATTTTCTCATCCGTAAACAAAATTTTTCTGTGACCTCCCTTTGCGTACCGCTTCAGTAGTTGTTTAGATTTTATCACCCTATTCTTTTTTGAAAATTATCATTTAAAAAATGTCCAGTGTGTCTCTTATAGGCTGCAAGTCCTAAGTCGTCTTTTAAAATACGCTACATGGTTCTAGGTCCTATCTTCATCTCCCGAGATAAAATCTTTTGCTTTCGGACAGGATTTCTTCGAATTCTTTCCCTTACTGCTTTGACCACCTTTTTCGAACGAACACTACGTGGACGGCCAGATCTTTTTCGGTCACAAACAGAGGAGGTCTCATTGTACCTATTAATAGCCCGGTACACAAACATTTGACTAATGCCAAGCGTGTGGAGAGTTTTAAAAATTGCATTTGGCGCCATACCCACTTTGTGTAATGCAATCACAGCGATTCGGTTCTCTTTATCACCCCACTACATTTTAATATCGCAAAAATTGAATATGAACAATTTATTGGCGCCAAAATAAGAAAACACAATGAAAAATTATATAAAAATGACAGATTCCAAATTCGAATGTAATATTTTGTTTATTTTTAATTGTAACAGTATTTATGGCCAGATTATGTATTATATAAGTGCCCACAGCTAAGCAAAGGCCTATTTTCACACGGAGAATATTTGAGCACTAATTCCGCAAGCGTGGAATTAGTACACTGTATATTTTTATTGTCTAAGAATCCTAGAAAGTTTAAATAACTAAGAAATAGTCACATTGGTACTTGCCATGAATGAGCGTGCCCCCACGCATGAGAAGCGTGTGCTTGTTGTACCTACCTCCGGGTCTCCAAGACATTTTTTTAAAGAAAAAGCGTTGCCCCGCACTATAATTTTCTCCTGTGTCGTGGGTGCGTTTACAAACATATAAATTCACATACACATGACACCCAGACCCGAAATTTGTAAATCACACAAATTGTTGTTCCGTGCGGGAATCGAATCCGCGACACGTCGCATGGCAGCCAGTTGCCCAGCCACCGCGCCAACCATGCAGTCAAACTAACATTAAACATTATAACTCCTCATACGTCAGGATTGAGTATCTTGCTCGTTCTTCTCCATTCAAAACTACAATTTGGAACGAGCACCTAGCTTCACTTACGAACAGACTGACAGACTACTATTCTATTTTGACGTTTCAAAAGTACCTACTTATGGTTTAGTTCGAATAAATGATTTTGATTTGATTTGAGTGTCAGACTCTTACTGACTAAAAATCACTGCGTTCCGTCACCTGCTCGCGGCTCGCGGATTAACATTACTTTTGATCCACTACATTAGGTAGAGGATCAAAACAAGATCAAAACACCAGGCCCCGTAACCCCTATTTTTATGGCAGGTCAGCAAACCAGCTGACGGATTACCTGATGGTAAGCAATTAGCACCGCCCAAGAACATCCGCAACACCAAAGATAAAAGTTTTGGTTATTAAAGGATTGGGGGGAGGGAGAGGGATTGGGCCTCCGGTAACCTCACTCACACAACGAAACACAACGCTGTGGTTGTTTCACGCCGGTTGTCTCTGAGGCCGTGGTATCACTCCGGTCGAGCCGACCCATGGCTCTCCCACACTTGAGTGATTTCACTCACACACTTTACCAGGTCTAGGGATAGTCACAAATTTTCCAATCTTCAATCACCAATCACCGTCATTATAACCTATTTAGATTTTAACCTCAAGAATGAGAAAGTTTGTAAGATAAGATAAGGTTTTCCATCAGCAGCTCTATATAAACGATATTTAGAATCATTTGATTGATTATACCGTTACTGTGTGGCAGCATCATGAGGGTTTTAACTGTGAGTATTTATTTATTAATATTTTTAACACACTTCGTCATAAAGTGGCTTTAATACCTTGGCAATTTGGCACATAGTGACACCTACATATTATCAAATTTTAACTTTTTTATTACAAAATTCACGAATGAGTAATAGAGTTTTTTTTTATATTATTGGTTGACGTATTGTTTGTACGCTTACACTTGCGCTAAAATACTATGCGTGGCAAGCCCAAAAAAAAGAAACCTCTATTTTTATCTATGCTTTCAGTGAAAAGTCCAAAAAAATGACGTCTATTTTTCGCGCGCATTTAATAACTGATTAATATTTCCCGCCATTACGAAACTCATTTCACAATTCGTCTAGTTTTCTCTTTTGAAGTTATTTTTTTAAGAATTGTTTTATTCAGAAGTGTGTTGAAAAAGGTCGTATGATGCACGTGTGTATTGATTATTACCGTCCTCGGCTCCTTAGGACCTCAGCTGTGATCACCAACATTACACATTTGTACCATAACGGGCTGTAATTTAATTTAACCTTAAAACTGCAATTACCGGTACTAACCCAATGAGATAGGTAGGTCTTTATAACTTACTAGCTATTCTCGCGCGATTTCACCCTTTTCACAATGTTTCTGAATGCTATAAGCTATAAAACATCACGCACAATGAAGCAGCGAGTTAAACCGTATTTTTTGTTAGGAGATAATCATCCAATGCCTTCTCCCGCCCAGGGTAAGGCGAGAGAGAGTGTCAGACTCTTACTGACTAAAAACCCCCCGTTCCTTCTCCTGCTCTGGGCCGAGGTCGCGCTGCCTCATTGCGCTTACCCCGCAGCCCCGGCTGAACATCAGCCCTATAGGGCCCCGTCTGTAGTGGTCTATTGGATCTTTGAAGCGCGCGCGGAACGTTACGCGCCGTACGCTGGGGTCTGGTTCTGGTCGGGTGGCGAGCTACCCTTACTCGCCGCCCGCAGACCCGCGCTTACGGTGGCCGGAGATCGTCTCTCAAATAGCTAGTATCTAATATACCGATTTGGTTGGAATTTCGTATGTAAATACCTAGGTGCTTTTTATCAACATACGAAGTGGGCAGATACTAGGGTTAGGTATATGTTATTTTCTTAAAAGCTAATTATAAAAACTAATGCATGTTTTTTCTTTACAGTTAATTATATCAATACTGTGGCTGGGGTCCTTCTGTTGTTCAGGATTTACACTAACAAAGGTAAGTGTCGACATTTTCATTTATTTACTAAAATACAAAAAAAATATTGTTCGTGATATTTATTTAGCAAAAAAAATCCAAAGGACGAAATGCATAGAATAATTAAAATAGCACACGCAATAACTATTTAACGTCCCGAGGGTAATTGTCGCCACGCGAGCCGATGTCCTGCGTGCGGGCGGTCGGTGTGTCAAAAGATGGCCAATCACGGCTCGCTGGCGCGTCGAGCGATTAGTTGACCGATCTCTCTCATTACATAAGAAACTGAGATTTGTAGATACTATATGGTATAATAATAGTACACTGTATATGTCTTTTTTTTGTGAGGGGAAAATCATCAAATGTCTTCTCCCGCCCAGGGCCGGGCAGGAGGGAGTGTCAGACTCTTACTGACTAAAAACCCCCCTGTTCCTTCTCCTGCTCTATGCCGAGGTCGCGGTGCCTCATTGCGCTTACCCCGCAACCCCGGCTGAACATCAGCCCTTTAGGGCCCCGTCTGTGGTGGTCGAATGGCTCTTTGAGGCGCGCGCGGAACGCTACGCGCCGTACGCTCGGGCCTGGTTCTGGTCGGGCGGCGAGCTGCCCTTACTCGCCGACCGCAGGCCCGTGCTTACAGTGGCCGGAGATCGTCCATCGATCCCCGACGCCCGTAGTGTCGCCAGTTGCGGCTGCTGGGGCGTGAGGAGGAGGATTGCTCCCTCACGCGGGCCGCCTCTCTCTTTGCGAGCATGACTGCTTCACAAAAGGAGGAGACGGCGTCCCAGTTCCTCTCACTCCGCACCATGGCCTCGACTAAGGCCGGGCGCGAGAAGTCACCGCCGCCGATCACTTCCCTGAGGATACGGCGGTGCTCAGCCCAGGCAGGGCATACCGCTACCGTATGCTCCTCCGTATCCTCTAGGTGGTCCTCACAATGACGACACTCGGGCGTTTCCTCCCGCTGAATCCGAAACAGGAACCTACCGAAGCTGCCGTGCCCGGTAAGCACCTGCGTCAGACGGAAGGTGAGGACGCCGTGGCGTCTCTCAAGCCACTCCTCAAAGAGGGGTCTTACCGCTGCTATGGTAGCGTGCCCACACTGTATATGTCAGATTTTATGTATACGTTTATGAGCACCGTCCTCCAAGTGTAGGGGAGCCATGCTTCGGCACGAATGGGTCGGCTCGACCGGAGTGATACCGCAGCTTCCCAGAAAAACGGTGGGAAACAACCGGTTGCATTCGTGCGGTTCCATGGTTTCTTTTAAAATATGAGTATGAAAGTGAAAATAATCCAAACATTTTTTTTCCAGGTGAAACCGTCAAATTTAGTCTACAAAGTAATAGAAGATAAGGTTAGGAATTCCCTAACGATATCCAGCCCAAGATTGAAAAACTCAACTTTGAGAGAAATTATTTACTATCATATTATAGAGAGACCATTTTGGAAGTCTGAAGATAAAAGTGACGAGGTTCGTATTAAGATAACTAACATTAACTTATTTTATTAATTGAAAGGATTGGAGGCCTAATCCTTCCCCTCCCCCAATCCCTCCTCAATCCCTAAATCTCCAAATCCCTAATCCCTAAAAGGCCGGCAACGCACTCGTAACTCCTCCGTTGCGAGTGTCCATGGGCGGCGCTGATTGCTTACCATCAGGTAATCCGTCTGCTCGTTTGCCGACCTTATTACATAAAAAAATTTTTTGAATATTTTTTTGAAGTTTTTGAAGAAACGGGGTAGTTTTTAGTCAGTAAGAGTCTTTTTATGTAAGGGAAAAATCATCAATTGGCTTATCTCACCAAGGATATGGCGCGAGGGAGAGTCAGACTTTTACTGAATAAAAACCCCCCGTTCCTCCTCCTGCTCTGGGCCGAGGCCGCGGGGCCTTATTGCACTAGCCCCGCAATCCCGGCTGAACATCAGCCCTGTAGGGCCCCGTCTGTGGTGGTCTATTGGCTCTTTGAGGCGCGCGCGGAACGCTACGCGCCGTACTCTCGGAGCCTGGATCTTGTTGGCGAAGATCGTCGCTCGATCCCCAACGCTCGAAGTGTCGCCTATGGCAGCGTCTAGGGCGTGATAAAGATAGAAGCGTCGCTGCTTCGCAAAAGGAGGAGATAGCTTCTCAATTCCTCTTGCTCCGAACCATGGCCTCATATTGAAAACAATTGCTTATTATTTTTTTGAATAGTTACTATTCAGACATACTTAATTCATTAAAATTAACTACTTTCTCATCTGAATAAAAATTGACAAAAGCTCTACTAGTTTCAAGTCACTTATTCATCAGTTTTTGATTTTTTTCAGTTTATTAATAAGTCGTTATTTTCAATTACCTAATTATTATTGCTTGTGTTAAAATGGAAAGATGGATGGACAACCTTGAAATTAGACTGTTTATATTAAACACCTCTGCTCACATTATGCTATGTGTAGCGACATCTATCGCACAACATGTAGCAACAGCATCAATCACGTGCAAGATCCTACATCGCGGTATAAAATTTCTCCACGCAATTAAATCAGATACAAAATCCCGACAGTTGGGTAGTTTCCTAGGTCAAAAATAAATTAATTCGACGTTTCAATACAATAAAATATTGAAAAATAAACTATACTATCAATCATCGATTGATCGATACACTGAATTTTAGATATTTGTTTAGCTAAATTTTAAAAAATATGTGAACTATTTGACGCAAAAAAACGGTGACGTCATAACTCAGTTTTTCATACAAATTTAATAGAAAACTATCTTTTTTGACATTCGGATAAAAGTATTGAATTTGACTAGTTGAAAACTACCGTATTACCGTCGGGCAGTAGCCCAGCAGGCATGATCACCACGCCTAGTCGGAGGATCCTTCATTTCCGATATTAGGGAACTTTACTGTCTGTTTCCTAAACTTTGTTTTATATTCGCAGACCACTTCTGAAGAAGTTTCTCTAGTCTCCAATGATGGACGAACATTCACCAACGGACAAGGGTTCCAGTTTTTAGCTGAAGATGACGATGATAAAGCAAGTATCTTTACAATTTTTCTACCATTCTTTAATTTCTATTTTGGCAATCGATTTTTCGATGATTTTACCTGATGGTAAGCAATCAGCGCCGCAGCAACACTAAAAGGATTACAAGTGCGTCGTTGGCTTTTTGGGGATTAAAGTTTTGAAGATTTAAGGTTTAAGGAGGGATAGGGATCATATTTTTTTTAAACAGGAAAGAAAGAAAGTAAGAAACATTTATTCACATAAAGAATGATCATGAAGAAGAATGATCTTTACAAAGATAACTATTGTAAGTACCTAAGGGCAAATGAAACGTAGCGCAACCACACCTCAGATCTGGTAGAATCGACTCACCCGCTGTTTCGAGACTCAATACCTTCCCATCCCTGATTGGGATGGGCCCTTCCCAATCCTTAAATATTAAAATAACCGAAACCCTCATCCCCAAAAGTGTTGCGTGCCATGGGCAGTGCCGATTGCTTACCATCAGGTAATCGGTCTGCTCGTTTACCGACTTATCCTATAAAAAATATTACTTGCAGTGAAGCACGTTTTGCGTTTTGTTCGTAAACTCAAAGTCAATTTTTTTTTTTTTTGTTAGACTAAACTATAATCAGGTCTTTTGAAGGACTTTTGAATGTTAAAATAAGTACATTAATTGTGTGTCAGTCTAGTAGTAGCCATGAGTATAAATGTGGGTGGATGGAGAGGGAAAGGGAGACCAAAGAAAATATGGATGGATTGTGTGAGAAGTGATATGGAAGACAGAGGTGTTAGCGATATCGTGACGGGTGACAGGACAGAATGGAAGAAAAAAACATATTGCGCCGACCCCAAATAAAACGGGACAAGGGCAGGAGGATGATGAGTCTGTTCGTCAATAAAGCTAGGTAGTCGTTCCAAATTGTTGATACGAGTGGAGAAGAACAAGCAAGAGACTCCATAAACCTGTTTTTTGTTTTTCAGGTTGAACAATCTGATGATGAGAAACCTGATTCTGATATCGAAGCAATTAATCAAGAGGATAAGTTGAAGAGGTCTACTAATGAGGTAACTATTATGGCTATTTAATTTTAGCCAATTTTAATCATTTATTTTCTGTGCTACTGTAATTGAATAGTTACTAATGCGAGTGCCGAGCAAGAAATATTGGATGCGATCCACGGGTTAGGTCATATACCTATATATGCAGCCATATTTTATGTTTTTAAATATAAAGATTTACAACTCTAATAGTATCTACCTAGGTTTATTTCTTCTGTCATTGTGTTAAAAGTCATCAATAGCTGGCTAAAATCCCCTTTGACGTGATGTCATGTTGCAACAATATCATATTTCTATTCTTTACCAATGAGCTGTCTGCTTGCTTCTTGCATATCATCCGTATTGTTCTCTGCATCACCTAAATATCAGGCTGGTATATTCAGTCCACCTTATGTACATTTTCTTGTAAATAAAATTAAATATTATACATAAATTCCTTTATTTCAACGTGAAGATATATGCAAAGAAAATTCTTGTTCAATAAGAAATATTATATTAATCCTATCGGTTACTAAACAGGTTTCAGAAGACAGCGACGTAATACCAGAAGACACAGCAAAAGAAGAAACAGAAGATGAAGTCAAAGACGCGTCAGGTGATGCTCTAGAAAATACACCGAGAGCTGAACCAGAAAACGGACAAGAAGATTTGCAAGGAGATACAGAAATAGACAAGCAAAAAGACACAGAGGAAGTGCCAGAAGTCGCACATATTGACGGATTAGAAGATAAAGTAAACGAAGTGTCAGAAAATACAGCAAGAAATCCAGTAGAAAATGGACAAACTGATCTACAAGAAGATATGCAAGGAGACAATATAAAGGACGAACAAAAAGATACAGCAGAAGTACCAAGGGATGCCCTAGAAGGTGGAAACCAAGATGCATTAGAAGACATACATAATTCTGTATCAGAAGAGTTACTAACAGAACAGAAGAGAAGGAAACGTGGTGTTGTAGAAGCAGATGAGGTTAGTTTTATTGTTATTTGAAACGCATTTTTACGTTATTAATTTACCTACCTAATCAACGTCTCATGACAATGATTCGGCGACAATGAAGATGATGAATCAGCGTTTACTCAACCAACAAGTTATAGGCCTATAAGTGCCCACCGCTAAGCAAAGGCCTCTTTACACACAGCACTCAAAAGCTGATGATGATGAAATGCCTCCTTCTCTTGTTTAAGTATCTAATTAGTTATTAATTCTAGCATATTTTTTTATTTTACAGCTTTCAAAAGATCTACGGCTGAAACGGGAGATTCAATATGGTGTAAGTTTCTTAAATGTTTAAATGAAATTTCAAGTTAATTTATTCCTTAAAAAACGAAACTTCTACTACTCTCTTAATTCGCGGAAAACGGGACTTCAAAACAGCAAAAAATTTTCAAACACGCGTTCTTGAACAAAATTCTATGTTTTTTCAGCAACGCATCCTTCCACGCGTTCCGCCTGCAAAACTGACGAATTACGTGAAGAATATACTATCATTAAACGCACAGAAGCCATTTACCATTAAACCACCTAAAGCTGAAAGTAATAATGTAAGTTCATACATATTAAGATAACTAGCTTTTGCACGCGACTCCGTTCGCATGGAATAGTGACTTCCTGCAGATTTTTTATATAAAAACTATCCTATATCCTTTCTCGAGTTCCAAACTATGTCTGTACCAAATTTCACAGAAATAGGTTCAGTAGTTTAGGCTCATAGAAAAGACAGACAGACAGGCAGAGTTACTTTCGCATTTATACCTAATATTGGTTTGGATACATGAAATTGTCGATCTGGGAGCTTTTGGCGAAGGTATTGGCTCCCAAAATGGTGTTCAGATTAGTAGCAGTCTGATATGATGATAATGATGATGATGATGATAATAATATTATCCACCACCCTATTTTTGAGGGAGCATAACCATTTAATGACTTCAGGAGAAGTCCTTGGGTGGGGCTAGAAGAAGAGCCAGAGTCTACTCTTACTGACTAAAAACCACTCCGTTCTATTCTTCTGATCCAGCTTTTGTGAGGGGAAAATCATCAAATGACTTCTCCCGCCCAGGGCCGGGTGGGAGGGAGTGTCAGACTCTTACTGGCTAAAAACCCCCCTGTTCCTTCTCCTACTCTAGGCCGAGGTCGTGGTGCCCCATTGTGCTTACCCCGCAACCCCGGCTGAACATTACTTAACATCAGCCCTATAGGGCCCTGTCTGTGGTGGTCTATTGGCTCTTTGAGGCACGCACGGAACACTACGCGCCGTACGCTCGGGTGTGGTTCTAGTCGGACAGCGAGCTTCCCTTACTCGCCGTCAGCAGACCCGTTCCGATCCAGCCTGGAAATCCAATCCGGCCTAGACTAACGAAGTATCGTGATTAAACATGTTTTTTTTATTATTTCTAGGCCTTGAAAAGTGAAATAAGTTCTTTCAAAGACGCAGCGCATCGCCTCCCTACTGAAGTCCCAAGAACTGTTCGTCCGAAAACCTACGGAATGGTCCTACGAGGGAACGATGCCATTGTATGGAACGTAAGTATAAATACTTCCATCTACATAAACTAATATTACAAATCTGAAGAGTTTTATGATTGTTTTCTTAAACGCGATGATCTATGAAACTACTGGTTGGAATTGAATAAATCAAGTTAATTCAAGACTTATCATCACACATATCTGGAGTGATACCACGGCCTCACAGAAAACCGGCGTAAAATAACCACAGCGGTTTGTTTCGCCATGAGTGAGGTTACAGGAGGCCCAATCCTTCCCCTCCCCCAATCCCTAAACCTCCAAAACCCTAATCCCTAAAAGGTCGGCAACGTGCTCGTAACTCCTCCGTTGCGGGTGTCCATGGGCGGCGCTGATTGCTTACCATCAGGTAATCCGTCTGCTCGTTTGCCGACCTATTTATTACCTACATAAAAAAATCCGCGGTAGAGCTAGAATATTTATATATACATACGTAGGTAAATTTACGCATTTCAATCCACGTCCACCCCACGGGTCCTTCTCCTGCATTTAGTGCAATTAATGTTACATACTCACTACCAGTGTAACCTTGTTATAGGGAATGAGTCTGATGGGATACATAAGCCAAAACTTTAGACTCCGTATCATTACTGTGAATTTTTAAGTTTTTTTCCTGAATGACTTTTGCGCAGTTCTTTTACTTTAACGCGATCATAACGTTTCTGTGTTTTTTCTCTGATTGGTTGGTTAGCTAGGATCTGGCCAATCAAAGAGTCGAACGCCATAAACTTGTCATATTGTAAAGCAGACTCACAATAGGCGCTCTTGCGTCCGGGAACGATCAACTCTTGCGTTCCACTCGATATTTTTGTACAAAAATTAAAAGCACTTTAAAGATAACTTTTGAGTCAGCATTTTTCTATAAAAGATTATTTCTATCTGGTAACAAAGCCATATCATATAACTAGCCTCTGCCCCCGACTTATTTCGCGTGGAATGGTGACTCCCTGTAGATTTTTGGTTTAAAAACTATCCTATGTCCTTTCTCGAGTTCCGAGTTCGAGTTGTGTTAAATAGGTTCAGTACCTAGTTTAGGCGTGAAGAAAAGACAGACAGACAGACAGTACTTTCGCATTTATAATATTAGTAATATAATACACACTATTTTATTTTCCTTTTCAGGATCTCAATGGTCGTATAGCCTACCATGTTGGACCTGGCAGCTTCGAAGATATTGGAGAGGTATTTTTTTAAGATTGTCATTATTGAATACAAAAATGTCACGATGAGCATGGTATAGGCACTCAGCAGGATTCCCATGCATTAGGGCAGGGCACGAAACCTGACAAGTACCAATGTGTGATTTACAGACATGTATATACATTCAAGTTCAATTAGTCACCACTGACAAACGGTGAAAGAAAAATGAAGGTTTAATCGTACGGTTATTTTTTTTTTTGGCCCACACTTGTGTTTTCTCCTGTGTCGCGGGTGCGGTTACAAACATACAATTTCACATTCACATGAGACCCAGACCCGGAACAACAATTTGTGGGTCACACAAAGAGTTGTTCCGTGCGGGAATCGAACCCGCGACACTTTGCACGAAAGCCAGTGGCCCAGCCACCGCACCAACCGTGCAGTCATTCACTTGTTGATGTCTTGACACTTCACTAGCAAGATCTTAGATTTCTTCGCCAGTGTAAGTGTTGTGCTCAAACAATAGGGCGATGGAAATCATCCTAAACAATATTTATTTGTCCAAACCTAATGCTTAGGTCAACCCAAGCGATAAGATAATAATCACACTTTGCCTTATTTTCAAAATTATCTATCTAATAAAATAATTTTGATATTTCAGTTGAACAGCGAAAGTAAAGAATCGGATTCTAAAGAATCCAATGAAAAGAATTCTTTTTCATCAAGTCAAGAATCTTTTGAGAATGTTACTCACAGCCAAGTAGTTGTAAACGGCCTTGAAGATAACAAAAATTCAATAGAAGAAATTGAAGAAAATTCCAATGAAATTGCTTCAAATAGCTCAGAAGAAAGCTCTGGTGAAGAAGATAGTGATTCTGCTGAATCGAATGCAAGTTCCGACAAGTCTGAGGATAGTGAGGTGAAATCTAAAGAAGAGAAAGACAAATCCGACAACAAAGTAGCTACGAATGATATTGTTAATAAAATTGATAAAATAATCGATGATGTCCATGATATAATTGTAAAAGGTAACACAAGTATTGTCATAGATAAGGACAAAGTTCATGTATCAAGTGACATTAATAAAAAAGAAGAACAAAAACTGAAGCCTGGACTTGACATCAAAATCAAAGATTCTGATAAATCTAACATAATAAATGTGTTAGAAGGATTATTTACGAAAATTGTCAAGAACAAAATAGTTATCAATAATAATGTTCCTTTATCTGAAGAATCGGACAAAATTGTCCCTGAGAAAGAAGTAGTTGGTACCGAAAAACAGAAAAATCAAGTTGACGGTACAGTTGTAAAAATTACGCCTGAAAAAGACGAAGATTCTAAAGAAAATGAAAATCCAGATATTGATACTGAAAAACCATCTAAAAAAGAAAATGATGAAAATATAACAACAGAAAAATCTTATAATACTGAATCCGAAAACAATACACAAAAGCCAGAAAGTCAAAAAGAGGAAGATGATGATTTTGAAAAAGACTCTTCAAAAGATAACGAAAGAATACATAAAACTAAAGATACTAAAGAAAACGACGCTATAGATAAGGAAAACAACCAAGAAACTACTTCAGAGAACAAAGATCAACATTCTGAGATTGACGAAAAACAAAAAGAACCATTAGAAGATGTTAAAAAGATCACAGAAGATGTCAAAGACGAAAAAGAAGAATCACAAGACGTAACAGAAGCGCCTGATAATAAATTGAAGGAGCCTGTTCAAGAAAAGGTACGTAAACTTTTTTTATTAACCAAAAGAGGTTACTGTACTAGAACCAAAGTCAGGTAGCAATCAATGGGAATAAAACAAAACACACATAGTTTATCTTATAGTGCAGCCAAGCAAACTATGTATTTATAAAACATTAAATCAAAAAGTTAACAAAGCTGTTCATAGTTTTTTTTTTACCAAAGGGGATGGATAAGTTTAGCTACAACGCCAACGCGCTGCCGTCAGGGCGCGCAATCGTGGTCGGGTTTGCAATGAGATATGGCGGCCTAAATTGGAGCTTCGTTGGATTAGGAGTCCGAATTAGGTGGCTTTTAGTCACGCCTCACCCAGGGTGGAAATAGTAATATGTAAATTTTCTCCCCTTGAAAAAAAGACACCATGTTTATAAGGTCTGACACTCCCTCCCGCCGGACCCTAGGCGAGAGAAGTCATTCAACGATTTTACCCTAACAAAAAAATTATACTTATAAGAGGTTCTGCTATGCAAATTTTTCTGCAGTTGCATATGATGTGTATTCGACTCCTATCGTCGTAAATGGGGTTCGACGAAATTAACAATGCGTTTAATGTTCCTGAAAATTTTGAAATATTGCGATATATTATGTCCTGATAGTGACTGGGTAATCGAATCCATGTCCAGCAAATAAAATCAATTGTTTTTTTAAAACTGGATTCATATTTTTACAGGAAAAGGATGATAAGGATGCCGAACTGGATAAGGTGATGGACTTGATAAATAATGTAAGTGATATCAAAATAAGGTCGTTACATGTAATAGACTGGTCTCTTGTCCTTTTCCCAAGTAGATTATGGCACTGAGTTATTACTAGATTCTGCATATTATCAGTATTGTAAAACGTTCACATGGCCAACATAACATCAATAGGTCTAAAATTTATTCAAAAATATACGAAAAGAATAAGACTCCAAACAGTATTACTGGAGAAAATTCTAGTGTGATGAAGTATTTAAAAAAAAGTATAGCATATTACTACAAAATACTTAATTATTTTCAGGAAACATTCTGGGATTTTATGGGAGACTTGGGCAAGAAATATATCGCGTCTTTATCAGAGGTTTGTACTTTTAAACAGTTAATTAATTGTATTTCTATCTAAGTAGCTTGGCACTCGCTAAAGTTGTATTTAATTTTGCACTCATTTTATGACAGATATTATAATAAGTTCATTAGAAAGAAAGAGCCATTTTTCGGCACCAATTGATATTTGATATTGACCTCACATAATACGGGCTTGGAACAACGCATGCGTTGTGTTTAGCCCTGGAAGTGAATTAACCAATCACTAAACTTATACATACCAAAGGCCGACAACGCTGCACTCATGAGTTATTGCAGGTGTCCATGTGCAGTGCAGATTTCTTACCTTCCAAGTGATCTGTCTGCTCGTTTGACGACCTATCCTATTAAAAATATCATCAATAACAAATATGTTCTGTATTTACAGCGCACCAAGAAATTCATCAAAGAAGAAGTAACAGAACAAATAAATAAATATTTCGAAGAACATAAATCTGAATTGAATCCAGAAAAAGAAGTACTACGCGAAAATAAACCTGAAATTAGCCCTCAAAAAGATGAGATTGATGTAAAAAATTCTGATGATTCTGATAAAACAGTTGCAAATCCTTCTAGCGTTGAAGATAATACAGAAAAACCTGTCGAACAAGAAAATACTGAGGGTGATACTAAAAAAACAAAAGTGGATAAGATTTCAGACGAGAAAATCGAAGAAAATAAACCTACAGAAGATAAATCAAGAAAAATACCATCAGTTAATGTAAAAGCTAATAACATATACGGTAATTCTGTAGGTAACGATAAAGTTACTAATGTTTACATTTTCTACGGAAGCAAAAACTTAGGAGATGTCATAAAAAATGTTAAAGGTCTTGTAGATGGTACTGATAGTACTAATGTATTCGCTTTTGGACCTGAGAAAGAAAAACATATTAGTCATAAAAAAGATAAATTGAACAAGGATAGTCACAATGAAGAAGGAGCTAATAAATCAAGTAAAGAACAAGATATAAAGGATTTAGTTAAGGAAAAAGTAGATAGTAAGGAAATCAAAGAACAAACTGAATTAAACGTAGTCAAGGATTCAGAGGAAACTCCAAATTTGAAGGTTGACTTAATCGCTGAAAAGGATACCGCTACAGAAGTTGAAGAAGAAAAAGATAACGCTTCCGCAAAACAGAAAGAACCTGAATCATCAGACCAATCTGATAAAGAGTCATCATCCAATAAGAATGATGACTTGGATAAAGAAGTTAAAAAACCTTTAAAAGAAGACCCAGTGTTGTCTTCAGAGAAAAAGAAATCTACTGAAACAGAAATTACTGCGGAGGAAGACGAATCTAGTGATAAAAAAGATGCATCTTCCGAAAAAGATGCTACTAAAAAAACAGATAAATCTACCGAAAACAAAGGTGAATCTGCTAAGAAAAAAAATGATTCAGCCGCAAAAGATAAATCTGTCGAAAATGACGCAGACTTGGAGAAAAAAGATGAGTCCACTGAAAAGAAAGACAAACCTGCGGAGACAAAAGATGACTCTGCAGAAATAACTGAATCTAATAAGAAAAATGAAAAATCTGCTGGAAAAAAGAGTGAGTCAGCTGGGAAGAAAGATAAATCAGAGAAAAAAGATAAAGCAGAAGAGACGAAAAATGAATCACCTGAGAAATCAGAGGAAAAAGATATTTCTACCGAAAAAGATGTAACTGGTGACAGCAAGGATGTATCTCTTGAGAAAAATGAATCTTCTGACAAGAAAGAAGATGAGGTTTCTGAAAACGAAAAGTCTGTGGAAAAAGACGAACCTATAGAAAAGAAGGATAAATCTGCCGAAGCAGATGCATCTGGTGAGAAGAAAGATGAAAAAAATGAGAAAATAGAAGATTCTACTGAGAAAAAAGATGAGCCTGCAGGAACGGATGAAGGTGCTAAGGAAAAAGGTGAGCTATCGGAGAAAAAAGACGAAACAGCTGAGAAGGAAGATAAATCCCCTGAAAAAGATGTATCTAGTGAGAAGAAAGATAAAACCACTGAGAAAAAAGATGATTCCACTGAGAAGAAAGATGAGTCGGCTGGTAAAAAAGACGAATCTAATGAGAAAAAGGATGAAAGTGCTGACAAAAAAGATGAGTCCGATGAAAAAGAAAAGTCTGTGGAGAAAGAAGAATCTGATAAAGTAGATAACACCGAGGATACGGAAAAGAAAACACCCGAAAAATATAATGTCTCTTAAAAAAGCGTAACTGACAAATACATATATACAGGAAAAGATAAAAAATATACGCTGAATCGAAAGAAAAATATAATGCTTCGATAGATAAAGGCATTTTTTTTAGAAAAAGTCGATGCCTACGAGTATTATATAAAACTGAATAAAACGAAATCTTTACCGAAAAATAATAAAATCAGTAAAAAGAAAAAAAGCAATTGTCAGTCCGAACATATTTCAATAATACTCCTATCAAGTACCTACCTTTAAAATACCAGATTTATCGATTCGTGTCCAGAGAAACGAGTAAGAAATTGAATCGATATTCTCAAACCTTCTCTGTGTGAGAAGAGATCTTTGCTTACTGTAGACTCTTCTTTAGCCATAAGAACTTCCATGGCATTTTCTTCACAATCAAGAAGTTTTTCTTTTTATTATGTAACCGCCACGATCGTTCAAGGTGATTTGAATAAGAATTTAAAATTATGTAAATAGTAAATTATGTAGTCTAAGTTAATAAATATCAATAGAAAATATTGAATAACAATCCCTTGTTTCAGTGAGTTATCCGTTGTTTTTGCCCTAAAATACATTTTTCAAACACCACACTAGGATTTTCTCCTGTGTCGTGGACTGTGTTTACTAGCAAACAATTTCACATACACATCACACCCAGACCCGGAACAACAATTTGTGGTCCACCTCCAATAAAAAACTTTTAAGAACCGTTCAATTCTATTTTTTATGAATTTTTCAATTGTGCTCGACCTAAAGCAGGAGTAGATACGGAGGGATTTTAGTCAGTAAGAGTCTGAAACTCCCTCTCGCCTCACCCTGGTCGAGAGAAGTCATTGCGTGATTTTCCCCTAACAAAAAAGGGGGATTTGAATGGTTACATCAGGACTTTTTTCGATAAAATATAGAAATATATACCAACCACTAACACAATAAGGCAAAAGTGAAAAAGGTTTAAAAAAAGAAACAAGAGATATATTTTAAAAACCTTTTTATTATTACTAGATAACAAGGAAATATCTTATGGCACTGAGGAGTTGGAAATTATAAAACGGGTCAGACTTATCATAGACAAAAAATGTGATAAAAAGCTATGCCAGACATCGCCAACCACATTACTTCTTGTAGGTATTTAAATTTTTATATTAAAAAAAAACAATTGTTTAGTTGCCTAGGTCAAAAATAAATAAATTCGACGTTTCAATACAGTAAAATATTGAAAAATAATTATACTTTTATTCATCGATCTGTCGATACACTAAATTTTCGATATTTTTTAGCTTATTCTTAAGAAATAAGTAAACTATTTGACGTCATAATTAGGAGTTTCATACAACTTTCATAGAAAAGTATCGTTTTTACATTTGGATAAAAGTATTGAATTTGACTAGTTGGAAACTACCGTATTATTTTTCCTTCCTGAAGGGTTTAAAAGCCTTATTCACACATATCTTAATGTTCATAGAGTTTGTGGTTGGTGACGAAGTTTCCTGTCCAGTCTGCAACGCCTCGCGTATGAGCAGACGAGGTCTATACTTCGTTTACATGTGACATAATTTTTATAACAAAATTTCAATTCAATGTATCTGGCATAGCTCTTTATAAAAGTTCAAAAGTTGGCAGTAAAGCAAATTTTAACTTAATTAATAATAATAATAGTTATCAATTATATATATTTAAAATTATATATTAACGTAATGTGTATATATAGCTACGTGTTTATTTATTCTTACATAATTTTGAGAAGACGGCTCACCAGATGGTAAGCAATCAGCGCCGCCCATTAACACTCACATATATATCGCATGTAACTGGCAACTAAAACTAAATTGCAAAATTTTTAAAAGAAAAGCAGCTTCCAATTTCAAAAAACAAAATTGTGATGATAAAAAAATCAATATTTTTAATAAAATACGATAAACGGTTGGTGTTAACAACACATAATTACGCGGGTATTAACGCGAAAATTCGCAAGCAAGTGATTGTGACCACGACCTGTGCATTCAGGTCGAAACATCAAGCCTTACGAGGTATTTAAATAATTACATTTCGCGTTAATACTCGCTTAAATTTATGTTGTAAATACGATAAACGTTTTTTTTTCCAAATAAAAGGTAAAAGTCAAAATGAATGAAAAAGCTTTTTTTATTTACTTTTAAATTCATTCACAATTACATAAAAAATATTTATTTAATTAATATAAAAATATACTGCGTTTATTTCTTATTTATTCTAAAAAATATATTCAGTAAACTTGACAACTAACAGTCAAATTCAAAACCTTTTTTGATTTGTCGAAATTGACAGTTACCTATAATTTTTCAAGGTTCAGTAACGAAACGAAAAGTCGTGACGAAACACGAATAAAATCAACGAAAATAAACTGTTTTTTATTTTTTTATCAAATCCAGTTCCTAAGTAAGCCAAACCCAAAAATAGGTGCAGGTATATGATTAAATCCAGGATTATACCAGAATGTTGATGTTATAAGGTTCCTCAGCAAAAAATATAAACTTCACATTACAACAAATACAAAAAAACTGTTATAAATATTTATACAAAATAAATTATTACATGTAGCAACACTACGAACTTTAACATTATTATGCAAGCAACACTGGATTTATAAAATATAATATGTTTTAATGTTTTTTGAAATATGTCGAATACATAATTTCTATTTAATGAGCAAATAATTAAATACACACCTTTTTTATACTTAAAAGGCTTCACTCAGATTACAACACTAAGTTTACACAAATAGAATCGTTTTTCTTTAAATACATCTTGACAAATAATTTATAAAAATAATATAGGTATAGTTACTATAAAAAATCTATAAAATATATCTATAACAATAATTACTATATTAAGTAAAAAATATATTATATAAACTATAATCTTTCATTTCGAGACTATAATAAAAAAAAGTTTTAATATTAAAACATTGCGGCAAGATAAATATTGCTTTTTTTAATAGGCAACATCTTTTATAGTTTGTATATAATTACAGTATTAAGTAAAAAAATATTATATAAACAATGAATGATATTTCATTTCGAGACTATAATAAAAAAAGTTTTAATATTAAAACATTACGGCAAGATAAATATTGCTTTTTTTAACAGGCAACATTGTGTATAGTTTATAATTTTATAATTTATATTGTTTAACAATTATATAGACTGGCAGGTAATTAGTGACCTATATTTCAACACGCGATTGTACTCATGACACCAAACAACTTTTCCAACGAGACTATTTTATTTAGGTTTGATTTTACAATAGTCAGATAAATGTTATCTGAGGAATGAAATTGTTGCTGTCACTGTCTTATACAAACATTCTGACGCGACAGCATCATAATTATTCTCCAGCTAACTTTTATCTAACCACTGAAAAATCAGCCCTTACTACACTTGTTTTAAGTGTGGGAGAGCCTAACTTCGGCACGAATGGATCGGCTCGATCGGAGTAATACCACTCCGGTCTCACCGAAAACCGACGGGAAACAACCACAGCGTTGCGTTTCGCCGTGTGAGTGGTGTTACCAGAGGCCCAATCTTTCCCCTCCCCGAAGTAATTTTGTTAAAGTAATAAAAAGAAAAACTGATGAGTATAGAAAAAAAGTTTCTTTGTTTGTTATAATGAGTACAATCACGTATTTAAATATCTGCCACTAATTACCTGTCTACCTATGTACATATAACTCTTTTTCGGTCAAATATATAAACATTTCTTCATACTTCAAACTATTTCGTGATAAAAACGAACACATTAGAAAGAATTCTACAATACTTATGGATGATAAAAAAATATATATTTGAATGACTATATTTTTTATTTCTTTTCTTATTGCATCAAAAACTTAATTTGAAATATGCATGACGTAGCGATCTCCAACATAAACTTTGAATTCATTATATCCAAGTACCTTTTTCTTATAAAAGCTAGCTTTTGCCCGCGACTTTGTTCGAGTGGAATAGTGACTTCCTGCAGATGTTTGGTATAAAAACTATCCTATGTCCTTTCTCGAGTTCCAAACTATATCTGTACTAAATTTCACAGAAATCGGTTCAGTAGTTTAGGCGTGATGAAAAGACAGACAGACAAAGTTACTTTCGCATTTATAATTGTAGTATAGGTATAGCTATTAGTATAAATATATGTCTCACTAGCTTCCGCCCGCAGCTACGCCCGTGTGGTATGTTGATAAAAAGCAGTCTATGTCTTAATCAAGCGTACCACTTATCTACATACCAAATTACAATCAAACCGGTCCAGCCGTTTTTGAGTAAAATAATAACAAACATACGTTTTCTTACAAACTTTCACATTTATAGTATTAGTGGGATTTATTATCCAGCTGGTGTACTGAATAGATTTTTAATTTTCATTCTTTACAACCATCCTTATTGGTAGAGATTGTACATTTATGAATTAGAGTGATAATATTTTTTGTGTATATATGTACATATAATAATATATTTCTTTATAATTTCTTTTACCAATACCAAATAAATAATGGAAAAAATAGAACATTATATTTAATATAATGTCGTTAATTTTATTTAAACAATTATTTACGTCTTTATTATTTGGACTTAAATTCAAGTCTAGACAAATGAAGCCGTTTTCGGGAAATAAAAAGATATCTTTTGATATATCTTTTCTGAGTAATGAGGTAAATAATGTATAAATATTCTATGTAATAGAGACATATTGTAAAAGTATGTTATGTGTTCAACACGATATCATTTTATATAATAGGTCTTTACATATGAAATTGCCGTTTAGCATGAAAAAATTTAAACGATTTTTTTGATTTGAAATGCGTAACACTAATCAATAAACAAATGACTACTTTTGGAAAAAGAAACCCATGTTTTTAAAACAAAATTAATTAGCCTTAGCCTAACAAAAACTGTTTTGATTTGAAATGGCCAGTACTGCAGAACGGCAATTTCATAGGTAAATACCTATTATTAAAGACATAATAATAGTTTACAGTTTATATACCTATTTATCACTGATTCTCAATTCTGCCAGTTCCTGTTCCTCATCGACCTCGTCTTCATCATCAGAGCCGTGGACTGATGCGGCCGGGGTTGTACCTCCTGGAAGGAAAAATAATTAATATTACATATAATATACTAGCACCCATCGCCCCGGCTTCGCACTGAATTTCTCCATTATTCAATGGATTATTTTTCTCTTCCTCTTCAATCACTCTATCTATATAAAAAACCGCATCGAAATTCGTTGAGTAGTTTAAAAGATTTAAGCATACATAGGGGTATAGGGACAGAAAAAGCGACTTTGTTTTATACTATGTAGTAATGTAAAAAAAACTTGCCATGGTAAAAATAAATAATAAAAAAAACATTTTACGTTTTAAATTTGAATTTGGTAAAACATCGGCAATAGTGGAATTCCAAAGTTTTTAAAGTGTGAGAGAGCCATGCTTCGGCACGAATGGGTCAGCTTGACCGGAGTGATGTCATGTCCTCACAGAAAACCGGCGTGAAACAACCACAGCGTTGTTTCAGGGTTACCGGAGGCTTAATAAATACTTCCTTCACAAATTAAAAACCAAACCCAACAGAATAAACAGTGCCTCACGCGTGCATTATCAAAAAAATAAAACCTAGTGTAGAAAAGACGTGTCAAAATTTTACTACTAATTATTGCCATACTAAAAAAACTTAAAACTACCACAAAAATAAACCTTTCTAATGTCCATCCGAATTGCGACCAAAACCCCGACCGAGACAAACCGAGATTCAGTGCCGCTACAGTTTCCATTTTCCCCGGGTTCGTAGTAATTTTTAGACTGGCAACCCACTCGCCATCTGTCAACACCATACAGACTATTATAGACGTAACGCCTTTCGAGATAGTTAAAGTTTATTTTCTAAATCAAAGGCGCGTTGGTATTGACAGATGGCGTAAGTGTTGCAAGTTTTTTGACACAATTTTTACCGATTACAAAATTTTTATGTGTCGACGATATTTTTATAATAAATTTAAATTGGAGGGCTAATTATAATCTCGACTTTTCTAAATCAAAGGCGCGTTGGTATTGACAGATGACGTTTAGTGTTGCAAGATTTTTGACACAATTTTTACCGATTACAAAATTTTTATGTGTCGTCGATATTTTTATAATAAATTTAAATGGGAGGGCTTATTATAATGTCAACCCAATTCACCTCACCCTGAGCGGGAGAAGTCAATTGTTGATTTTCCCCTGACAAAACAAAAATGACCCAATGGTGTAAAGACAAAAACCGTCGCCAAAAAAACTGCTTGCTTATCTAAATACCTACACAAGTGTAATAAAAAACATTAACTTTGCATCAGTTACATAATGCCACCTATATATCCCCAATAGCGACTCACCGGCTAGAAACACACAAAAAAAAACTTAATGAAACCGAACCTAATTTTGACCATCGGCGCAATCATGAAGCTTAGCGATCAACTGATCGATTTGTTCCACCATAGCTTCGTTGAGTGGTTCAAGGAAATTTTCGTTTGGCGTTCGGTAGTTTTCGTGTTCGGATTCAGCGAAGTTCGGTTTTTCGAAACTTATTTCGAGCGCCGGATCGGTACCGTCATCCGAAATATTTAATATTTCCAATGATTTTCGTATATTTATCTGATTTTTCTTTGCGACCTTTTCTTCGTTCATTTGGGCTTCCTCGTCTTTCGTTTCGTCTGACACTGACGATTTTCTTTCGCGACGTACTGTGATATCAATTATAACATGATCATTATCATCAACTGTCTTATTAATATTACTCAAAAGAGACCGACCTGTCGTTTCTTCTCAGAGTAGTCAGACAGGAAATCCCGACTTAATCTAATATTTTTTAAAGCTAATGCGTTTTTTTTTTTTTGGTGTGGTAGATCCAGGTTTCGTCTTGATGGGAGTGATACCACGGCCTCACAGAAAATCGGCGTGAAGCAACACTTACGTTGTGTTTCGCCGTGTGAGTGAAGTTACCGGAGGCCCAATCCCTCCCCTCTCTCAATCCGTAATCCCGGCAACGCACTCGTATCTTGTCTGTTGTTGCGGGTGACCATAGACGCTAATTGCTTACCATCAGGTAATCCGTCTGCTCGTTTACGACGGGGCCTATGATAATGAGTTGACGGGTCACGTAGTTTGACTTATGACTGCATTGATTTAAATCCAAAATGTTTATTTGAATTAAACTAAAAACAGGTAATTTTGGCATGCCAAAAACGAATATAGAATAGCCCGTCAGTCTGTTCTTCAGTGAAGCTAGGTGCTCGTTCCAAAGTTTAGATAGTTATGGAGAAGAACGAGCAAGAAATTGAATCGTTACTCATTTAATTCATGAAAACCCCAATCAAACGCCGGCGTTCGCGTTGTTCATCTATTGTGTATTGAATTACCACGGTTAAAAAGTGAAAATAAAACATTTTTCACAATCTCATTGACGCGTAATGTGTGTAATTATCAAATGGAAAATTTTTACTAATGAACAAAACTCTTCCTTTTTTAGGCTTTACCATATCCCTAATTATAGCAGATCTAGATATCTCAGAATGCTTGTCTTATGGTCTACAGATAATAATCAGTAATTATTATAAAATTAAAAATGGTCAGGACCATAGACAGAACTTGATTTTGATTTAAGCCCTAGTGTTTTAGGTTTTTTGTTGTGTTTTTTTATATTTTCCTGTTTACCTTCACTTTCTACATTAATGTTTTGTTCTAGTCCTTAATCTCATGTGTGTCCTGCGCAGAAATAAATGATTTTTCTTTCTTTGTAGATGACTATCTAGACATCCTATTTTGGTCCTAAGTAAAGGACCAAAATGGGATGGATTTACAACAACTTGAAAATAATATTACTTACTAGAATGTGTAGGGCTGGGTGGCTCTGATATAGGTCTTGGGTAGTTAAATCTTTTGCCCAACTCCTGATCCATATGGTCAACGTAGTCTGGGTACACTATTTTTAAGGCTTCAGCGCGCGCTTGACGATAATACTGTAACAAGATACATATAAATTAAAAATTAAAAAAAAACCGACACAAAAACATAGGCTACAGGAGCTATGATGCCACAGACACACAGACAGTCACGTCAAACTTATTAAAATTTTTGTTTTTGTGACGTACAAGTCATAACCTTTCATTTGATACCCCACTTGTGCATATTTGCAGACATTCAGTTTTTCGTCCCCACTTTAACCCCTCATAACTTTTAAAAGGCTCTATCGATTTTCATCAAACATGTCTAAGAACACTCGCCCGTAAAACACCTGTTATACAAAAAAAAATACTAAATTGAAATTGGCTCACTCGTTCAGGAGCTATGATGCCACAGACAAACAGACAGACAGACAGGCAGACACGTCAAACTTATAACACCCCTCTTTTTGCATCGGGGGTTAAAAAAGATATTACTGATGTTATTTTTGCATTAGTAAGATTAAGAAAGGGATAAACTATAGAAAAATGGGTTATTTCTTTTATTTTTTTTTCATAAAACGTTGGGGAGTGTCTTTACAAACATACAATATCACATACACAAGACACCCAGACCCGGAAAAGCAACTTGTGGTACACAAAGTGCAGTTCCGTGCGGGTATCGATCCCAGGACAAGTTATACAGAAGCCAGTTGCCCAGCCAGCCGTGCAGTCATTCAGTAACTTATCACTATAAGCTACTAGCTACTCTCGCGCTGTTTCACCCACTCCTCGGCTCAATTTAATCGTAGCGTGATATTTTATAGCCTTTAGCACTCAGGAACATTGTAGCTATCTATCAGTGAAAGAATTCTGGCAATCGGACCAGCGGATTCAAAGATTACCCCCCCTACATATAAACTTACAAATTTTACCTCTTTATAATACTAGTATAGTTTAAGTTTAACTTACAATTCCCAAATTCCTCCAGTCGAGAAGGTCTGACAATCTTTCGGTTCTGTTTCTCTGGATAATACGTTGTCTTCGAGTCAGTCTGAAAAAAAAATACAAATGCTGTGAAAATATTACGTTATGGCACAAGTGGGACATGGAACGTGGGAGAGCCATGCTTCGGCACGAATGGGTCGGCTCGACCGGATTGATACCACGGCCTCACAAAAAACCGGCGTGAGACAACCACAGCGTTGTGTTTCGCCGTGTGAGTGAGATTACCGGAGGCCCAATCCTTCCCCTTCCCCAATCCCTAAATCTCCAAATCCCTAATCCCTAAAAGGTCGGCAACGCCCCCGTAACTCCTCCGTTGCGGGTGTCAATGGGCGGCGCTGATTGCTTACCATCAGGTAATCCGTCTGCTCGTTTGCCGACTTATTACATAAAAAAGTGTGTAATGTTGGAGATTACCGCTAAGGCGTAAATGACCTTGAAGTAAAATTTAAGGAGCCGAGGACGGTAATCATCAATACACACGTGCATCATACGACCTTTTTCATTTCACTTCCGAATAAAATAATTCTTAAATAAATAACCTCAAAAGAGAAAACGAGACGAGTTGTGAAAAATGTTTCCGGCGTAATGGCGGGAAAAATTAATCAGTGTTCCTACATTTTTTTTCATTGGAGTTTATGGCCTGGATACAAGTCCTTTAAGCCAAAGTGTTCCTACACGCGCGCATCGGCTATAGACTAAAAAATTAGGTTTCTTTTTTTTTGGGCTTTTCGCGGATATCATTTTTTTTATTTATTTATTACCAACATACAACTATTATCACAGGAGTTTCCTAATACAATAGTGTAGTAACATTATAAAGAAATACATAGAATCAAAAACAATACAAAGAAACCTTACATACTAATTATAAAATAAAATTATATTAACTATCCTTTATTTAAACAACTTAATTTACCATGGAAGTTATTCTTTATGCGGTCCGAGTGAATTTTTTTTAACGCAAGTTTTTTAGCGCAAGTCAAATCAAATCAATCAAATCAAATTCTTTATTTCAAATAGACCAAAAAAGGCACTTTTGAACGTCAAGCAAAAAAGATATCATAAGGTTTAACTTTATATGTGTCAGTCTGTCCGTCTGTCCTCTAGTGAAGCTATTTGCTCGTTCCAAAGTGTAGATTCCTATGGAGAAGAACGAGCAAGAAACTCCATGGTTACTCTATTTCAATCACTTTTTACAATGTACAAGTTTGAGAGAAACTCAACCAATAATTTAAAAAAAGAACTCTATAATAATTCACTAGTGAAAAAGTCACAGTTTGATTATAGGATATAGGTGTCATTACGTGTCTAATTGCCGTGGGATAAGAGCCACTTTATGAGGAAGTGTGTTGGAAAAATACAGATACATCTTTCTCTTAGCGTCGCATTCTTCATTGCTAAAGATTTCATATACAAAGATCTAGCTTTGTGACTCAATTTGAAACGAATTCGAGAAATATTTAAAGCTGTTTACCATCTTAATAAATCGTAATATCCCTATCTTACTGAAACTAGACAAATTCACTACTTTTATCCAAATGTCAAAAACGATACTTTTCTATAAGATTTGTATGGAAAAACTGAGTTATGACGTCATAGTATTATTGCGTCAAATAGCGTACTTATTTCTTAATAATTAGCTACCAAATATCTAAAACTTACACCCGGTTTCCGAAAGGCCGATCAATGTTAAAATCAATTTAATCTCTTGTCAAGTCATCTGATTGGTTGACTAAATTATCAACAACCAATCAGATGACTTGACAAGAGATTTAACAGGAGATTAATTAATTTTAGCGTTGACAACCCTTTCAGAAACCTGAACCTGCTGTTAGTGTATCGACAGATCGATGAATAAAACTATAGTTATTTCTGAAACGTTGAATAAATTTATTTTTGACCTAGGAAACTACCCAATTTCGAACATAAAAACAACTTAAATAAAACCTTAATCCTATAAAAATTAGCCTTAAACTCCCATGAAGGGCAACTTACTTCTTAAATACAAACAAATACTGAACAAGTTTTCATGCCGAACCTTCTAAAGACATATTACATTCTAAAATAAACTTAAATATTACTCCAATAAAACTCACATTCTCATATCCTTATAACACATCACAAAAATAACTTAAAAAAACCTTAAACCTATAAAAATAAGCTTTAAAATGTAATAAAGGGCAACTTACTTGGTAAAATCGAACATGTACTGAGCAAGTTGTTGTACGGAACCCTCTAAGGATATGTATCGGCGGTCCACGACGTATATTCCATACGACATTGGGTCCGCTATGTGTTCTTGCATGAAGCAGCCGAAACCTGGGGGTCGATAAGAGTTGTTGAGAGTTGTTGAAAGTTGTTGAGAGTTGTTGAAAGTTGTTGAGAGTTGTTGAAAGTTGTTGAGGGTTGTTGAGAGTTTTCAAAGTTGTTAAAAATTGCTGAGAGTCGTTAAGCATTATTGACAGCGATTAAGATATTTTGAGAACTTTTAAGAGCTGATAAGTGTTGTTGAGACACATGTTAAGAGTTGTTGAGAGCTTATCAGAGTTGTTGTAGATAAAATTAATTGCAGGGCCGACGTAAAATTGGTTTTCAATTCATTATTATTATTCGGAGCCTAAAGGAATATCATGGTTTTAAGGGTTGTTTTAAGCTGATAAGAGTTGTTAAGAATTATTAAAACTTGTTGAGAGCTTTGAAGAATTGATAAAAGTTGCTAAGAATTGTCCTGAGTTGCTGAAAGCTGTTTTTAAGTTGCTAATAGTTGTTGAGAATAATTTACATCACCGAGTATTAACATGTAACGTCAGAAAACTCAAGATTCGAAATATTTCTTTGCAATTTTCCTCAAAATGTTCATAAATTATCATATAGGTGACAAAATGCACACATCAACATTATTATCAAGACTCACAAAACTCATTAAAAATTCAATATATAAAAATACTAGCTACTCTCGCGCGGTTTCAACCGCTGCTCGGCTTTGTTTAATCGTAGCGTGATGTAATTCATTATAGCTATCTGTCAGTGAAAGAATTTTGGCAATCCGACCACCGGTTCCAAAGATTACCCCCTACATACAAACTTACAAATTTTACCTCTTCATAATATTAGTATAGATATTGCCATATTTACCTGATAAATTTGTAGTAATACTTGGTATTCCCATGACTGTACACTCGGCCGGCGTGTAGCCCCACGGCTCGTAATACGACGGGAACACGCCTAAATGACATCCCCTTACAAACTCCTCATAGTCCAAACCAAATAAGGGGTTAGTCGACGTCAAGAATTCTGGGTGGAAAATAACCTGAAAAACGAAATAAATAAAAACTACATCCATGCTTCAACCGAATTGAAAACACGGAATCTCACAGAAAACCGGCGCGAAACAACCACAGCATTGTGTTTCGCCGTGTGAGTGAGGTGACCACTGGAGGCCCTGTGCGGTAGTTTCCAACTAGTCAAATTAAATACTTTTATTCAAATGTCAAAAACGATACTTTTCTACAATCATTTTGTATGAAACATTGAGTTATGACGTCATAGTATTTTTGCTTCTAATAGCGTAGTTATCGAAAACTAAGTGTATCGATCTATCGATGAATGAAAGTATAGTTAGGTTTCCATATTTTACTGTATTGAAACGTCGAATTAATATATAAGAAACTACCAAATTGCCAAATTTGACGTCGTTACAACAATTACAAGTGTGTGTGTAGTAAGGTAAATCAGATTCTTGAATATAGAATTATATTTCATGTCTCAGGTCTACTGGATGAAATTCCAACAGGAATAAGTAGCACCTATGTACTCTTATTTTATATATGTACGTCGGAGCGCCAATTATTTAAATTGAATTTTGAAGGAGGTTTTATCACAATTCATCGGACGAGGGTACCATAAATTGTACTCTGGCGGAACGTCAAACTGGCAGTTCTGCGTGCGCATTATGTTGGAGAGCGAGCGCTGTGACTGTCATAGGAGACGGATAGCCGACGTCCGTTATTTTTGTAATTTATTCGGTCTGATTATAAAATCCTACGCCCTACGATGGACTGTGAAGACGATGATCAGGATGTTGATGTTTGTACCAACCCCCCGGTGCCTTCATGTATTTTCCTCTGTGCTGTTTGTGTGTACATAAATTATTAAATAAATAAATAAATATAGGAGATGTGTGTGTGTGTCTGTTTATCTTACCTTAACTTTATCGTTGACTGTATTGAAGAGTTCACATCTCCTGATAGAGTTCAATACGGGATCGCTCCAATCATCCACCTGGACAAAATTGAAAAAAACAACCTTAGAATTAGTAAAAAATTATAATATAGTGTCGCTGATTTAAATTACATAGGCAGACTTAATGCCATAGGTATTCTTACCAATCAACCTTAAAGTGATGCAGAGAGTATGGTAGTTGCAACAAGAAAACTTGAAGTCGATAGAGTACAAAATACAACTTAAATATAATATATATTTGGCCGCCGTAAGCGCGGATCTGCGGACGGCGAGTAAGGTTACTTAATCAATAAGTACTTTTATAGACAAAACATTATCCAAATCGGTAAACGCATTGTTACAACTAAAAGTGGCATTGATTTTTATATATAGGTATGTAGATAAATTATACACCATAACAAAGCTGAGAATAGCGGTCATAATTATAGCGTATTTTTCTTTACAAGTGGTGTTTAAGTCAACCAATAACAGTAGTAATATATTTGAACGACGTGAATTCAGCCATGTCACTTATATTCCGACGTCGGAGCTTATGGCACGTTCGGGGGCAAATCTCTTACGCACTACGGTTTTTTTTGGTGAGGCCAAAATCATCAAATGACTTCTCCCGCCCGGGGTCGGGCAAGAGAAAGTGTCATATTCTTACTGACTAAAAACCCCTGTGCCTTCTCCTGCTTTAGGCCGAGGTCGCGGTACCTCATTGTGCTGGCCCCGCAACCCCGGCTAAACATCAGCCCTATAGGGCCCCGTCTGTGGTGGTCTATTGGCTCTTAGAGGCGCGCGCGGAACGCTACGCGCCGTACGCTCGGGTCTGGTTCTAATCGGGCGGCGAGCTGCCCTTACTCGCCGTCCGCAGACCCGCGCTTACGGTGGCCGGAGATCATCTCTCAACGCACTACGGTACGGTGATAGATACTTACAACATTATGCGTAGTAATAGGAGGGAGTCCATCTCGTTGCAAGCTGTAGATACACCTCTTTAGGCGCACCGTATCTTCTTTATGTAGCAGGTCCGACGCATCGGGGAGATGTCCACTGCAATACGACGTTTCAATAAGGAAAATCAATGAATTTATATATGTACAAGCTATTCTCGCGAGGTTTCACCCGCAGCTCCATTTAATCTTAGCGTGATGTTTTATAGCATATAGCACTCAGGAACATTGTAGCTATCTATCAGTGAAAGAATTTTGGAAATCCGACCAGCGGTTCCAAAGATTACCCCCTACATACAAACTTACAAATTTTACCTTTTTATAATATTAGTATAGATGTGTTACATAAACATTGCTTAGTTAATGTTTTAAATCGATTATTTTTATTGAATTTATTGAGATAAATATGTGATAGGAGCAAACGAACCTACGGATTACCTGATGGTAAGCAATAGAGCAATCGGCGCCGCCCATGGACAGATAAGACTACATCAGAGCAGAAGTCAATGCGTTGCCGGTATTTTCCGGATAAGGAGTTTTTGGGATTAGAGATTAGGAAGGGATGGGGGGAAGGGAAAGGATTAGGGCTACGGTAACCTCACTCAAACGGCGAACCACACACTCTTTCTCCCCGTCCCAAAATCTCCAAATCCCTAATCCCCAAAAGGTCGACAACCGTAACTCCTCTATCGTTGCGGGTGTCCATGGGCGACGCTGATTGCTTACCATCAGGTAATCCGTTTGCTCGTTTGCCGACCTATTACATAAAAAAATACAATTTCACCCGGGTCCCGGTTCCGGGAACAACAATTTGTGGATCACACAAAGACTTGTTCCGTGCGGGTATCGAACGCGAGAAACGTTGTGCGGCATCCTGTTGCATAGCCACCGCGCTTACGACTTTCTTTACCTCAAACATATATCGTACATCCTCTTGCCAATTTTCTGTTGGATATCATTGATGGTGTCCCTCAGGGCTTTGGTGACGGCGTGACCTCGAAGACTTTCCACGTTGAAGTTATTTGTCTTGGCCGGGAAGATCATGAACGCTACCACTGTCATGTCTGAGCCTGATGACTGTGGATAGAAATTATTATTATTATTTTATGTAATAAATCGGCAAAGGAGCTGACGGATTACCTGATGGTAAGCAATCAGCGCCGACATGGCCATTGCGCCGCGCAACAGAGCAGTTACGAGTGCGTTGCCGACTGGGACAGGGATTAGGGATTTGGAGGTTTAGGGATTGGGGTAGGAGAAGGATTGGGCCTCCGGTAATCTCACTCACTTTGATGCGTTTGTACTCTTGAACAACACAAAGAACTTTCCCAAAAAAACTTTTTTCTATACTTATTGGTTTTATTTTTATTACTATAAAAAAAATACTGTGTAAAGTTCAAACGCGGTCGCGGTGGCCTCGCCGCTAACAGCTGATCGGGCGACGCAAGGAGGGCGCGCGAACTTTGTTATAAGTGAGTTATGACTGGCTAGTAGGGATATTGTGGATATGAAATTTCGGATCCGCGTAATTACGGATCTAGGAATGATTATATTATTATACTGGTGTATATTTATATACACTGGGGTTTTAAATTAAAATCCGAAAAAACTTTGAACAATATATTTCTATTTTGTGCGTACAGAGGTGCGGATGACGAATTCAAAGGAATATAATGCAAATGTACTTGCAATACAATGCAAATGCAATGATACGGTCACTTTCGGATAATTTCGGTTACGAATATTAAAATTTAAAAAAGTAAAATACAAACATAAGGTGTCTCAGTTAGGTTCCACCCCTTTCCGATATTATCCGTGGCTTTATTTCGGATTCGGTTACGGTACCGGATATTTTTTATATCGGACTAGCTCTTACCCGCGGCGTCGCTCCCGTCATTTGACTACCTACGCTACTCTGCTTACCCTACCTACCCTACTCTACTTACCCTACCTACCCTACTTTACCTACCCTACTATACCAACCCTACTCTTCCTACCCTAATCTACCTACCCTACTCTTCCTACCCTACTCTACCTACCCTACTCTACCTACCCTACTCTACCTACCCTAGACTACCTACCCTACTCTACCTGCCCTACTCTACCTACCCTACTCTACCTACCCTACTCTTCCTACCCTACTCTACCTGCCCTACTCTACCTACCCTACTCTACCTACCCTACTCTACCTACCCTACTCTACCTAACCTACTCAACCTACTTTATCCTATCCTATGTCCTTCTCCTAGCTCTAAACTACCTCCCTGCCAATTTTCAGCTAAATCGGTTCAGCCGTTCTTGAGTTATAAGTGGAGTAACTAACACGACTTTCTTTTATATATATAGATATCCGATAGTTATGGTCACGGAGCTCCCAAACATCGCTGGTGGGTATACCTGACTACAGAGCTGCCATCTACCGGGAACACATTTCAGAAAAATCTTTTAAAACTAACAATCATGATATTATGGTATATTTACCTTCAAGTAATGATTAAGTCTAGCCAAAGCTTCAATGAAGATATCAGCTCCTTTGTTGCCGAACTCGTAGCGTCCGGCGATGAAGAAATACAACGTCTTGTCCAAATCGAAGTTGAAGTGGCTGGGGACAATATTTTATAGTATTTTATTACCGGACGAATAACCTGATGGTAAGACATGCACAACACAGGTATGAGAGAACAGGGTGGAAATTTCCTCATCTTCCATTGAGCAGACTGGTGTCGTGTCTGGCGGACTACCCGACCGATGAAGACAGGAGGAAGGACCGACGACTCAGGCCCGGAAGGGAGTGTTTTGACTCTTACTGACTAAAAAACCCCCCGTTCTTTCTCCTGATTTAGGCCGAGGCTGCAGTGCCTCATTGCGCTTGCCCCGCAACCCTTGCTAAAAGCTATAAACCATCACGCTACTATCAATAGGAGGCAATCAGGAAGAGGGCTAGTTAAATAAAAAAGGCTCACCCATAAAAGTGTCCTCGGGCGAATTCGTTGATTTTATCCTTGGCGAGAGCGTGTAAGTTCTGAAACTCGTGGAGCGCTGAAAATTTCTTCACGTTCAGTCCGTTCGGTGTTATGATGTCAGCCTTCCTTTTCAGGAGATGTTCAGCTTCGTATCCTGAAGAGAAAATTGACATAATGACAATAGACATTAAGTGTGGGAGAGCCATGCTTCGGCACGAATGGGTCGGCTCGACCGGAGTGATACCACGGCCTCACAGAAAACCGGCGTGAAAGAACCACAGCGTTGTGTTTCGCCGTATGAGTGAGGTTACCGGAGGCCCAATCCTTCCCCTTCCCGGACCCTTCCCCAATCCCTAAATCTCCAAATCCCTAATCCCTAAAAGGCGGCGCTGATTGCTTACCATCAGGTAATCCGTCTGCTCGTTTGCCGACTTATTACATAAATAAAAAAACATATTTATTTAAATAACTATACAATTATTATAATAATAAAATAAGATAAATTTAAAAATATATAAATGGACCCAGCTGCAGCGGGAGCAAGCTCCAAGCTACGGGTAGCTAGGGCTCCAGAGACAGAAATCTCCTCACAATTCGTGCCGTTTCAAGGAGGACTGCCTTCTGTATGAGGCCCTTGATCAATCCGCCTAACGTCAGCCTCTTAAGGCGGTTGTCGAGGCTTTAATTATTGAAGACAAAATTATTCTTCTAATTATTATTTGTGTGTGTTTTCAGTGTCTGTAAATTGTTAAAAGCCCTGGTGAGATTCGAAACCATTCGAGCAATTTTAAATCTTAAGTCTTTGTGTGATCTACAAATGGTTGTCTGGGTGTCTTATGTATGTGGAATTGTATGCTTGTTAACACACCCACGACACAGGAGAAAATCCTAGAGTGGGGCAACGTTTTTTCTTATAAAAAAATAGTTTTGGAGATTTCATTATAATCAGCCGGTAGACGTCCACTGCTGAACAAAGGCCTCCCCTTTGACTTGGAATAGGGTTTTGGAGATTTACGATTTATTATTAACTATATTATATAAAATCAAATCAATTAAATCAATCTTTATTTGTGAACATAAGTACAAAAAGGTGTTATTTATACATTTTAGCTGATCTGTATGTTCGGTCAAAAATCGGCATACAAATATAATATTATAAGCCGGTTATTTTTTTTACTGTCATAATTATTATAGTCTAGGATAAAAAAATGAAGCAATTGATAAATGTCATCAGCCGCATAATATAAAGTAATTGAATATTACTTAATTAAAAATTATTGACTATTTACTACTACTTAATAATTAAGAATGTCAAAGAAAATCAAAATTAGTCGCAATTTGTCATTTAAAAAGTCTTCAATCGAGTAATACGTCTTTTGAACTAGAAACAGGAAACCTTTTTTTTTTAACTTACTGACATTTTCCTCACTTCTGATACACTTTGGCAATTTATTGTAACTATACATGGGAACTTACCGGTTATGTCAGAGACGGTGGTAAAGATATGCGTCATATGCGCTGCGGCGCGTTCCATGCAGTAGCGGTGATAGATCTGACGCTTGCCCGCCTCCTCATCCACTGAGAACTGAACAAATTGTATATTTATTTCAGTAAATTCATAGACTAGTCACTCTCATCGTAAGGCATTCTAAATTTATTACAAACTAGCTTTCACCCGCGGCTTCGCCCACGTGGTATGTTGATAAAAAGTAGCCTATGTCCTATTCCGGAGTATATCCTATGCCTGTGCCAAATTTCATTTTTTTATGTAATAGGTCGGCAAACGAGCAGACGGATTACCTGATGGTAAGCAATCAGCGCCGCCTATGGAGTTACGATTGCGTTGCCGACCTCTTAGGGATTAGGGTTTTGGAGATTAAGGGATTGGGGAGGGATCGGGGGAGGGGAAGGATTAGGCCTCCGGTAAATTCACTCAAACGGCGAAACACAATACTGTGGTTGTTTCACGCCGGTTTTCTGTGAGGCCGTGGTATCACTAAGGTCAAGCAGACCTATTGCTGCCGAAGCTTGGCACAGTTAAAAAATGAAAAGAAAAAAATCTCAAAGTGTTACCTTATCAAGATTATTGTAGAAGTCGGTGTTGCCAGCGCACAAATATCGTCCGAGAAGAGTGGCGTGTGTTGTGAACACTGTTGCAACGTCCACGTGTCTCGCTCTATACAAAAATAAAATATGAAATATCTAGCTTTATTAACGAGAAGTATTCAAGGCGCTGATGAAAGTGTTTGACTCTATTTATAGGCCCCAGTCATTGCTCGAAACTAGTCGAACATCCTCGAAAAGTAATGTAACGTAATATCATACTAGCTTCGGCTTCCGCCCGCGGCTTCGCCCGTATGTATCATATATATGAATGTCGCAGTCCAGCCTTTTTGCGTCAAAAAATAACAAACATACATACATCCATACAAACTCATAAACTTTTACATTAATAATATTACAGTAGGATGGTAAAAAGACCTTGCCTCACATTAGGATTTTCTCCTGTGTCGTGGGTGCGGTTACAAACATACAATTTTACATACACATGACACCCAGATCCGGAACAACAATTTGTGGATCACACAAAGAGTTTTCCCGTGCGGGAATCGAACCCGCAACACGTTGTACGGCAGCCAGTTGCCCAGGCACCGCACCAACTGTGCAGTATTAGTACGATAAGTAGGATAGTAGGATTAGTAGGATAGCAGGATTGGTAGGATTGGTAGGATTGGTAGGATAGTAGGATTAGTAGGAAATAGGACAAGTGGTTCTTACGTTACCCGTGGAAAGGGTAGGGATGTGATGTGTATTCTACTCGGTATTTTTAGTTTATTCTTACCTGAGCATTATAAGACCGATTCCTGCCTGCCACTCGTGGAAGTGGGCGACGACGCGGGGCGGAGTGTCGCTGTAGCCCTCCGCTGCTTTGCGGAACTGTCCAAATAAAACATGTATTTGAATAAATTTTTGGTTATAATCTTCAATCAATCAATCAGTCATTCGTTTTAAGTCATTTATTCATTTTATTTTCATCGTGGTGGCCCGGAGGTCAAGGAGCCCACTTCTCATGCATGAGGGTATGGGTTCAAAACCTGGCAAGTACTAATGCGACTTTTTCCGAGTTTTATGTACTTTCTTTCATTATTTAGACACCACTGACACACGGTGAAGCTAAACATCGTGAGGAAACCTGAACTTGTAATTTCTAATTATAAGTTTGAAATCGCCAACCCGCATTGAGCAAGCGTCGTGATTAATGCTCTAACCTTCTCCGTATGAGAAGAGGTGATGATGATTCATTTTATTTTCATTCATTTTCTTTATGTGAAACGGCGGCACGCGAGCAGACGAGCTACCTCATAATAAGCCATCGGCATAGCCCATAGCCCAAAGAAATTGCAAGTACGTTTCCAGGCTTTTAGGGATAAAGACTTTTAGCGATCTAGAGTTGGGGCACGAATGGGTCGGCTCGACCGAAGTGGTACCACAGAAAACCAAGAAGGCCCAATCCTTCCCCCCACCCCCATCTCTTCCCAATTTTCCCAATTCTTAAATCTCCAAATCCCTAATCCCTAAAAGGTCGGCAATGCGCTCGTAACATGTTTATCGTTGCATTACCATGGGCGGCGCTGATTGCTTACCATCAGGTAATCCGTCTGCTCGTTTGCCGACCTATTACAACATAAAAAAAAACTTACACTGTGAAACCATGTGAGTGAGGTTACCGAAGGCCCAATCCCTCCCCCTCCCCCATCCCTTCCCAATCCTTAAATATCCGAAACCCTTATCTCTAAAAAGCCGATAACGCACTCGTAACATGTTTGTCGTTGCATTTCTATGGGCGGCGCTGATTGCTTACCATCAGGTAATCCGTCTGTTCGTTTGCCGTCCTATACCATATTTTTTTTACCAAGTAAAAACTCACCTCCCCTATAAACTGAGCAACCATGAACCCAAGTATAACCGCGTCGTTGGCTTCGATATCCAGGTGAGGTATACCAATACCGCACGTATTCCACAACTCCTGCTTATACCCGTCCAGTTGCCACGCTCCCGAGCCGATGTCGAATAATATGATCTGAGGGTTGCCATCTACGAGCCAGGTTCCGGTGTGAAGCTGTGAAGGATAGATAATAAAATAAATATAATTTTTTAAACTTGTAAAGGTTCGATGTGGTCTTCCTTTTGTAAAGTCAAAATTGAAATCAGTGTCAATGTCAAATCAAAATCAAAGTCAAAGTCAAAATAAAAGTCAAAGTCAAAGTAAAAGTCAAGTTCAATCTTAATGTCAAAGTAAAATCAAAGTACAAGTGAAAGTCAAAGTCAAGTTAAATCTCAATGTCTATGTCAATGTCAAAGTAAAATCAAAGTTTAAGTTTAAGTCAAAGTCTATTTGAAATGAATCTAGACTAATATTATAAAGAGGTAACATTTGAAATCTGTAGACTCAAAATTCTTTTCATTTCCAAAATTCTTTCACTGATAGATAGCTACAGTGTTCCTGATTGCTATAGGCTATTAGAACCGGGCAGTGGGTGAAATCGCAGGAGAGAGGCTACTCTAAAATAAATTCGACTTGGCGCGTTAGCTGTTCAGCTAGCTGCCGCGCAACGTGTCGCGGGTTCGATTTCCGCACGGAACAACTCGAACTCTTTGTGTGATCCACAAATTGTTGTTCAGGGCCTGGGTGTGTGAGACAATTGTATGTTTGTAAACGCACCCACGACACGGGAAAATCTTAATGTACGTTCCTATTTTTTAAAGAAAAATAATAATTGGTATGGTAATGTCTTTTCATTTTATACTAGCTGCTCTCACGCGGTTTAACCCGCTGCTCGTCTCCATTTAATCGTAGCGTGATGTTTTGTAGCCTATAGCACTCAGGAACATTGTAGCTATCTATTAGTAAAAGAATTTTGGCAATCCGACCAGCGGTTCCAAAGATTACCCCCTACATACAAACTTACAACACCTCTTTATAATATTATCATTTTATATAACGTACCTTATACCCTTGGCTCCTCATAGCATTGACGGCGGTGGTCAGGGGTGAGTTGGGAGGGAAATCTGCCTCCTCCACCTCCGTCCTAGCGCAGTGTTCTTTGTAGGGCCCTGGAGGGAGAAAGGGAAGGTTTTACTCAAAAGTCATTATTCTATACTAATCTATACATATATGTATATAAAAATCAATGCCACATTTCGTTGTAATGTTATAACTCAACAATGCCTTTACCAATTTGGCTAATTTTGGTCTTATTCTTGGAAGTCCAGAGAAGGTTATTGTGTATGATTTGTAACAAAAAATGACTGACCTCATGAAAATAGGACCCTCTCGGGAGTATATCCTTTCAAACAAAACAAGAATTTTGGAAATCGGTTCATAAATGGCGGAGTAATCGGTGAATATACAAAAAAAAACAATCAGCCGAACATAGTACCTCCGCCTTTTTTTGAAGTCGGTAAAAATCGACAACCACGCTGGCGGAGCAGCAGGCGGCCGCTAGTAATATTATAAAGTGGAAAGATGTAATTGTTTATTTGTATTGAATAATATCCGAAACTACTAGACCGATTTGAAAAAATCTTCACATTATCCACGAGTAACATAAGCTGTATTTTATTTTGGCAAAATATGGTTCCGTAAGATATTTCGGTTTTTCGAACACAAGTTGGTAAAAATCAATCAAAAAAGTTAAGTTATTTAAGGGTTTAATTTGATTTCCTTTTAAGATACGGAATCCTGTCACTAACTCGAAATCTACGCGGACAAAGTCGCGGACAGAAGCTAGCAATATTATAAAGATGGAAGATTTGATTGTTCGTTTGTGTTGAAGAGGCTCCGAAACTACTCGACCGATTTGAAAAATTCTTTCACTGTTAGAAGGTGCACTATACTCGGTGAACATAAGCCACATACAACATATAATATGTATTATGTATTGTATATCTTACCAAGCAGACAGTAATTCTCTCCCATTTCTTCAGTAGACACGTACGCTTTTGACCTGATCACCGTGTAGATACCGCCAACTGGAACAGACAAATAAACAAAATTATTTATAAATTAAACAGACTATATACACAGTTAGTGAGACTAGAAGAATAATAGAACAATTCGGTACAAAGGCACAGCTTATTTTTTCAGAAATCTCTTAGTTATCAGAAACTAGCTTTTTAGCTAGAATAGTGACTTCCTGCAGATTTTTTGTATAAAAACTATCCTATGTCTTTTCTCGAGTTCCAAACTATGTCTGTACCAAATTTCATAGAAATCGGTTCAGTAGTTTAGGCGTGAACAAAAGACAGACAGACAGACAGTTACTTTCGGATTTATAATATTAGTTTGGATGGATAGTTTGGATAACAATAATATTATTTTTAAGTATTACTTTTAAAGCCAACAGATCACCACAGATAGGCCCAACAGAGCAATGCTTAGCCGAGTACGCAAGTCAATCGCAAAATGGGTAAAGGACATGGGCAATTTTTGTATAGGCGTTTGCATAGTTATTGAATTCAAGGTACATTAATGATTTTTGGTGTTTACAATTGTGAATATTGTTAAATTAAATTGCAATAAATAAAACACATGAAGAACTCGTAATTACAACACACAAGACGAAAATAGTTTCACTAAACCTATAGTCGAAATGAGATTTGCTTTTAAAAACCTTTTAGGCGTTTGAATTATTTATTTATTTATTAAATAAATCAAAAAAATAGGTATAAATAATAATGGTTTATTTATTAAGGAGAATAAATAAAATACTGTAAAACTACGTAATAATTCACTTTTATATTTTTATTTTACAGTGTATTTTATTATGTTTGTGTATATGGAATGTTCGTTTCTGTATGGGCGTTGGCATAGTTATTGAATTCAAGGATCATCAATGATTTTTGAGGTTTTACATTTGTGAACATTGTTAAATTAAATTGCGATACATAAAACACATGAAGAATTTGTCATTACAACACACTAGACGATAATAATTTCACTAAACCTTTTGTCAGATTACTGGCAATAAGCAAAAAATAGGATTTGCTATTAAAAACCATAAGGTGTATTATTTATTTATAAAATAAAACAAAAGAATAGCTATTTATAATAATGATTTATTTATTAAGGAAAATAAATAAAATAAAACTACGTAATAATTCATTTTTCTATTTTTTTTATTTTACAGTGTATTTTATAATGTTTGTGTATATGGATTGTACGTTTACATGCATTACTTTTACATTTTTTTAATAATAATTGTCAGGTCTGGAGAGGCTAAAAACTACGTAATCATTCATATTAATATTTTTATTTTACAGTGTATTAATTATGTGTGTGTACGTGGAATGTACTTTTTTGGCCATGTCCTTTGTTCACAATTAAAAAAAAAGTGTTTTTTTTGTCTCTTACATTTTCCTTACACATGTGAATGAAACAGCCCCAGTATTATTGATTATTATTATACCCGGAATTTTAATTCCATTCCAGATTTGACAATTTCAGTGTTGCAACGTTATGACACGTACAAAATAGTGACGTTGCGAAATTATTCGATATGGAAATCTAATATTTCTGAATCGATTCCTCTCGTTTATAAATTTACCCTCGTAAACTAAGTTTATCAGGAAATAAAATATTTCTCACCCGATAATTTAGTTTTGACAATTAATTAACGATCAGAGACTTTTCTTTTGTAATTGTGTTTAAAATGAATAAAAAATGTGATCATGAAGGAACATGACAAATAAAACAGAAATTTTATAAATTGTCGCCGTCATCGCTAACGCTATCGCTGTTACTTTCTGTAACATTTATTATGAATTGTGCCTGTGATTTTTATTGTCAATTAACATATCTAGCTTACTCATTTTTTCCTCTTCTTTGACAACATGGGATACGCATTTAGACCATTCGGTAGCCGTAATTTTTTGAATGCCTTCCTGAAACTGGTTCGCTGATTTTTTATCGATTTTTGTGTTCATCACTACACTGTTATATGTGGTATCATTATTTCACAAAATGATAGTAGGTCATGTCAAATCAGGAATCGAATTAAAATTCCGACTATAGTATCTAATTTTGTTAGGTATTTAATAGATGTTATTTCCCATATAAACCTTCCTCGTCAATCACTCTATCTTTAAAAAACCGCATCAAAATCCGTTGCGTAGTTTTAAAGATTAAAGCATACATAGGGACATAGGGACAGAGAAAGCGACTTTGTTTTATACTATGTAGTGTTGATTAAATATCTTAGTCCTTGTAAGTCGCCCTATTCAAACATCTTAGCAGGTTTATGTGAGAAAACCTGAAATTCTAGTGCTTACAAGGACTGACCCACTTAGTAAACATGGACAAAAGAATATCCGGTTACTGTCTAGGACTTAGATAAAGGCTAAAACTGGACTAGATTTGAATCTATTCAAATAACAGGTCTTTTTGTTACCCTAAGGAGTCAGATAGGGATAAAGAGTTTTAGTTTTTTAGGGCTATATTTTCATAAATAAGCAAGCTATTCGTTTTGTTAATTTCGTGTGCGCGTAGTTGTGTTTGTTACCCTAACAGTCAGGACCCATATGAAAACCAGTGCTGTGCATTAGCACAGCATATACTAAGATGGACCCCTTGCTACACAATAATTTTTGGATGTTTTCAACTTATGTACAGTACGGCCGCCGTATCTTGGCGAGTCTGAAGTTAGCCGTTTGTCTGCGCAATGGATCTTTTAGGAACAAAATTGTGTACTGCGCAGCTAATCGGCTAACTTCAGACTCGCCAAGATACATCGGCCGCACTGTATATGTAGCTAACATGGTTTAAAGGGTTTAAAGAAATAACAAGTGGCAATCAAGTGTGGGAAAGCCATGCTTGGGCACGAAAGGGTCTGTTCGACCGGAGTGATACCACGGTCTCATATAAAACCGGCGTGATACCACGGCCTCACATAAAACCGGCGTGAAACAACCACAGCGTTGTGTTTCACCGTGTGAGTGAGGTTACCGGAATTCCAATCCAGCATCTCTCTCCCTGATCTCTTGCTAAGCCTTAAATATCCCCAACGCTCTTGTAACTCCTTCTTAGATGTACATGGGCGGCGCCGATTGCTTACCATCAGGGAATCCGTCGGCTCGATTGCCGATCTATTCCATAAAAAATATAAATATTACCTTTATTAGCGACTTCCCATGCCGTTTCGAAAGTCCAACGATTCTCATTGCTAGCTGCCTGTCCCTTATCCATATAGGACAAAAGGTCGTGTGTGGATTCAGCGCGGTAGAACCGCTTCGATGATCTGTCTCGAGACATTGTGACCTGTTGACAAAGAGATAGAGTTGATTATAGCTTAACATGTTTCATGTTTTACGCTGTTTTGGATTAGATTGAAGTTGTAAGTAAAGCATTGGAAATGAAAGATAGTATAAGAACTCATCGCTAATTGAGATATTGTGATTTGTTAACGAAGTAATAAGGTTGTGTTCAGCTTGGCTTATTTTTTTAATTCTAAATTCAAACTGTTGGTAGATAAATATGGCAATGTGAAATTGAATGTAATTGTGGAGAAGACTAGACCTATTGATTTCGAGACATTGAGCTCTGTTGACAAGGTAATAGAGTGGGTTCTAGATTGATTAGATTTTAATAGTGTACACTACTGTGAAAGGAAACTATTATTTTAGGGGCGGGGAGGGAGGGGAGACATCCAACGATTTCTCCGTCACTAGTGGGTCGAGAAGGAACGTCACTCTTTTTCTTTGTGAGGGGAAAATCATCCAATGACTTCTCCCGCCCAGGGTCGGGCGGCAGGGAGTGTCAGACTCTTACTGACTAAAAACCCCCGTTCCTTCTCCTGCTTTAAGGCCGAGGTCGCGGTGCCTCATTGCGCTTACCCCGCAACCCCGGCTAAACATCAGCCCTATAGGGCCCCGTCTGTGGTGGTCTATTGGCTCTTTGAGGCGCGCGCGGAACGCTACGCGCCGTACGCTCAGGTCTGGTTGTGGTCGGGCGGCGAGCTGCCCTTACTCGCCGTCCGCAGACCCGCGAAACGGTGGCCGGAGATCGTCTCTTGTCAGACTCTTACTGACTAAAAATCATCCCGTTCCTTCTTCAGCTCCAGGCCGGAGACATGGTACATTATTCCGCTTGGTCTTCTGAACGCCAGCTCTAGTAAAAGAAGGTACTTATCGGCTGATGATGTCTGTCTGACGTCAAGACAAAAGTAATAAAAGTTGATTTCTATGAGAGGACACGTCATTCCTTTTGTATTATGGATCGTAATGAGCTGCCCTTTATGTAGGTACGATAGGTACACTGTTACGTAATTGACTTTTAGAACTAAACGGGTTTCAGTGAAATTCTTGAACGGATTGATACCACGGCCTCACAGAAAACCGGCGTGGAACAACTACAGCGTTGTGTTTCGCCGTGTGAGTGTGGTTACCGGGGGCCCAATCCTTCCAAATATCCGAAACCTTTATCCCCAAAATGCAGGCCACGCACTCGTAACTCCTGTAGTGTTCCGGCTGTCCATGGGCGGCGTTAATTGCTTACCATCAGGTAAGAAGTAGAGGAATTTAAACTTTTAGGCATCACACTAGACTCCCACTTAAATTGGAAAAAACATGTTGACACAACAAAAATAAAACTGTCACAATTCTCATATGGGTTAAATGTATTAAAAACTAATACCAACGCACAATGTGCTCTAACTGCGTACTACGCATATGCCTATGCGTGGCTACGCTACGGTATCATCATGTGGGGCCACAGTGTCGATGCTAAAGATCTCTTTATTGCTCAAAAAAAATGTCTGCGAATTATTTATAACATTAAACCTAGAGATAGCTGTAAACCATATTTTAAACGTGAGAAAATACTAACATTGCCGTCCATCTATATACTAGAACTAGCCACTTTTGTAAAAAAAAATATCAAGATGTTTAATTTTAATAAAAACGAACGCCGGAAAAACAAATTAATCTTACCTGCACCTAGACTACAAATGTATAAAAATAGCCCAGAATACCGCAGCATTCAAATCTATAACAAGTTACCTGAGGAAATACGGTCAACCAAAACTCTCTGTATATTTCAATCTAGAATAAAGTCCTTACTACTTAAAAAATCTTATTATAGTATTCAGGAGTACCTTGAAGATAAGAATTGTAGTTATAATTGCAAAATTATTCCTCGATTGTAATTTAAGTTTTACGGTGAATTTATTTTAAACTTGTACCTTATAATTATTTATTTATTTTATATGATATTAATGTTCTTTGCTTTTCACTTAATTTTATTATGCTTTTACCTTTTGTTTTCTAATATTTGATTTCGTCCAAGGATTTTGTGTTTTCATACTTTTCATGTGTAAAATTATAAATATAAAATGATTATTATATAGGTAATAGTTATTATATGGGTAACACTATAGAATTGAATAGTTATTATTATGTATAGGTAACAGTTATAGCTTTAAGAAGTACCTAGTAATAATTTTTAGCTAACTTTAATAACGTAGTGAGTTAATGTGGACTATATTTTATAACAATGCATAAAAGTGTTTGTGATATAGAAGTGATAACTAATGTAATAAAAAATATAACATGTATTATTATCTAGTTATAAGTTAAATTGCTGCGCCCTAACAGGGTAATGTACTGTACTGGATGTATGTTATACTTGACATTATATGTACATTGTGCAATATGAATAAATAAATAAATAAATAAATAAATAAATAAATTCGTCTGCTCGTTTGCCGACATATCCCATAGCAAGAGAACACGGCATTCCATGTGTATAACGCATCATAATGAGCTGTTCTTTATGCTCCATACATTGTTACATAATTGACTTTTCACATATGTACAAAAGAACTAAACTTATTTTCACATATCTACTCTCGCGCGGTTTCACCCGCTGCTCGGCTCCTACAGACATTAGCGTGATGTTTTATAGCCTAAAGCCTTCCTCGATAAATGGAGAAACGAACACAAAAAGAATTGTTCAATTTGAACCAGTATTTCCGGAGATTAACGTGTTTAAACAAACAAACTCTTCAGCTTTATAATCCTACTATAATATTATAAATATTACTTTCGCATTTATAACACAGGGTGTAAAAAGACACTTAACGAAGCCGAAAGCGACGTATTCTACCCATTATTTGGATCATTTTTTTCTTTAAGACCATAGCTGGGACTCCACGGGTTCTCGAGATATTGAAGGTCAAAGATGCATTTTTAATTATTTTATTTTTTTGCGCAATCGAATTCTAAGTAATATTACAAAACTTTTTTCCAAACAAACATTACCTGAATTTTCGATTTTTCTAAATAAATTACGCATTTGAACTTACGAAAAGTAATGCACGTAATAAATAAATGCAGACCCGCACAAAAAGCATCGTGTCTTTCAGTAGGATTTTTATTTTACAGAATTGTTTTGTTGTTGCGGAGTAAAACGTCGACCTACGAACTTATCACAGGGTTTTAATACTAAGCTGTGAACCTTCGCACACAATGACACGAAGCCCGTTTGCTTTACATTGCGCGCAATAAAAATATTGTTTTTTTTTTTTTTCGATACCATAAAGTAAAAGTCGTTTCCCAGTGATAATTTTAGCGTAAAGCTACTTAGTTAGAACTGCAGTATGCGTAGTTAACGGCTTCGTTAAGTGTATTTTTACACTCTGTATTATAAATGCGAAAGTAACTCTGTATGTCTGTCTTTTCTTCACGTCTAAACCTAAACTACTGAACCTATTTATGTGAAATTTCGTAGGTAAGTACAGACATAGTTTGGAACTCGAGTAAAGACTAACCAAACCAAATTACATAAGATAGTTTTTAAACCAAAAATCTGCAGTAAGTCACTATAGCACGCGAACTAAGTCACGGGCAAAAGCTAATCTACATGTATTAAAATGAATCGCAAAAGTTGTTTGGCAAGCGCAAGCAATTTTGCTAATTCTTTCTTTGTTGCACTTATTATTGCCAGGAGAAGGTTCTTAGAAAATATTAGAAAATTGAGGGGAAAATTTGAAAAGTTACCCTTTTCTTTGTTCGCGGGATAGCCGCCGCCTATGTATGTATGTATTACAAATAATAATATTATTTGTAACCCGCCCCCGCTTCGCACGGGTCCAACTACCTCGCTATCATAGGGTCACTTTTTCCTAATCTTCCCCTCTACTTTTCTAATATTTTCTTCATCAAAAAAAGAATTAGCAAAATCGGTCCAGGCATTGTTGAGTTATGCGCTTACCAACACATTTTGCGATCCATTTTTATATATGTATAAAGATACATATACTACTCTGTCAAGAAAGTACCGGGAAAAAGTCAATAATACACAAAATGTTTGTTATTCATATAAATTTATTTTATCACCTTCAAAGTATGCTCCTTCAGAAACGATACACTTACGCCAACGAATAATCCAATCATCGAAACTTTTTTTAAACGCTGTTTCCGGAATTGAGTTCAGTGCTCGCCGCGAATTCTCCTTTATGTCTTCTAACGATTGAAAACGGGTGCCACGAAGGGGTAATTTGAGTGTGGGAAAAAGAAAGAAGTCGGCTGGAGCCATATCTGGTGAATATGGTGGCTACTCGATGGTGTTTGTTGAGTGTTTGGACAAAAAACGTTTACAATGATGGCCTTGTGCGAAGGCGCATTATCGTGATGCAAAATCCAAGAATTTTCTTTCCACATTTCTGGCCTTTTTCGTCGAATTTGTTCTCTTAAACGCCGCATAACGCTCAAATAATATTCTTTATTTACCGTTTGACCTTCGGGCAAGAATTCTGAGTGCACAACACCGCGATAGTCAAAGAAAACAGTCAACATGACTTTGACTTTTGATCGACTTTGACGTGGTTTTTTCGGTTTTGGTTCAGTTGGAAGGCGCCATTCCGAAGCTTGTTGACTAGTTTGCATGTCAAACTCGTAAACCCACGTCTCGTCACCAGTAACAATGCGTTTCATGAATGTTGGGTCGGTATTGACTCGTTCTAGCATGTCCTCAGCGACTTTCATGCGATTTAGTTTTTGAAGAAAATTCAGGTCTTTTGGGACTAGCCGAGCGGCAACACGTTTCATACCCAAATTATTTGTTAAAATGACTCGTGAGATACAGAAAGTTCGGCGGCCATCTCTCTCAAACTTGAATGAGGATTCTCAGTCACTATTTCCTTCACTTTTGCGATGTTAACTTCAGTTGCAGACGTTGATGGCCTACCAGAACGAGGCAAATCTTCCATCACATCTTGACCGCTTTTGAACGCTTTGTACCACTCATAAGCATGTGTTTTTGATAAAGTCGATTCACCGTAAGCCTTCTGTAACATTTTGAGTGCCTCCGAACACGAAATTTCATTGGCGATGCAAAATTTAAGACAAACTCTTTGTTCGATGTTTTTGTCCATTATGAAATTCGCAATACACACTAGATATTATAAAACTAAAAACATCACTGTTTTAATATAAATAACAGATGCAACTCAAATTCCGCGCCAAAATGGAAAACAGTTATGCCAATCTAACAACAACAAAAAAAAAAATACGAATTTGGAACCATAAAAAAAAACATTCATTCCCGATACTTTGTTGACTGAATGTATACATAGGCAGACTTAATGCCGGCTTTCTCTAAACGGCATAACTCTCCTACAAGCTGACAAAAAAAAATGAAACCTCAATAAAACTTTAGTCGAACTCGAAAACCGATTACAAGACCTCGTCTCTTGTTTATTTATCTCCGGAAGACATAATTCGCTGACACGTGTCGCGGTTGGCAGCCAAACTTCTGACGTAACAGTCGTCAACACTCATCCCACTACGAAAAGACTAGAAGACCAAGTCTTTTTTTAATGGAATAA